AATATTATAAACTATAGATCTCTTACTAAGTATAAATATATATTCTACTATATTAATAGATTTATTAAATATATCTCTAAAGAATAAAACTAATATATATTTACTAAAGATAAAATTAAAGCTAAATATAATAAACTCTATATTTATTATTAATAAAAGATATAAATATAAGATCTTAAAAAGATATATAGAATAGTATTATATAGAAAAGATATTATAAATACTATCTAATACTCTAATAATAGATATAAGAATTTAATATATATAAATACTAATTAGAAGTATAATTATAGATTAGAATTCTAAATAATATATTATAATATTTAGTATACTATATATTAATAAGAAAAAGTATTAAATAACTTTTTTTTATTTTTTAATAGAAAAATATCTAGAAAGTATAATATAATCTAAATATAATAATTTATTTATTAATATTATAAAATAGAATTCTATATTATTTTTAAAAAAAATCTAAGAGAATATTCTAAAGAGTATATAAATAAAGAATTTCTAATAGAAATATATTAAGAATAAAAAGTATTAAAATCTATTAAGAAAATATAAGCTTTTTTTAAATTTACTAATTATTATTAGTAATTTATTAAAAACTATAGAAAAATTATTATATTTCTATATAATAATATTAAAAAAGAGATAGAATTCTAATAGAATAATAAATAATAATAAATATTTAATAAAATAAAAAACTAAATACTTTTAAAACTTATACTATAGATATTTAATTCTATATAAAAAGTAGAATTTAAAATAGATATTTTAAACTTTATAATTAGTATATAAATTAGCTAAAGAAATAATAATAAAGTATTATATCTTATAGTATTCTTTTTAAAGAAATTATATAATATAAAACTTAATTATTCTATTTATAATAAAGAATTTATAATTATTATATATATATTTAAAGAATTTAAATACTATTACTTAGAAATAATATATAAGATTAAGATATATATAAATTATAAGAATATTTAGTATTTTATAATAATTTAATAATTAAATAGAAAATAAATATATTATACTAAATATTTATTTTAATTTAATTATAAAATTATATATTAAAAAGAATTAGAAAATAGAAAAACTAATATCTTTAATTAGAAATCTAAATATAAGAAAATAGTATTAAAAATAAATAGATAGTTATTTTTAATTAATAATAAAAAATACTTAATATAAAAAACCTTAGAAACTATACTTAAGGAAATAGTATATATTAAAATCTAAATAGAGATTATTTCTAGTTAAAAAAGTTATAATAAAATATTAAAATAATACTTATTAAGAAAATCTATAAATATTTACTTTTAGAATATTAAAAAATTAAAAAGATATTTAATAGAATTAAATAATATTATAATTATTTAAATTTATAAAAAAAAATATAAATTATAGTTTTAAAATATAATGTTTATATATAAATTAAATCTATATAATATAAACCCTATAGAGAACTTAAGCTAATCTTAATATTAGAATAACTATAGTAATTAATATTCTTTAATTATATTATTAAACTATTACTATTTAAAAAACTAATAATTAAAATAAAATATAATAATATTCTAATAGTTATTAATAGATTTATAAAATATATATATTTTATTCTATATAAAAAAATAAGTTCTATAGAAAATCTTATATATTAATTTCTATAATATATAGTTAGTTATTATAGATTATCTAATAAAATTATATTAAATAGAGAAATAATATTTATTTTTAAGTTTTAATAATTACTTATAGTATAAATAGATATTAAATATAATCTTTTAATAGTATACTATTTATAAAGTAATAGTTAAATAGAATAATTAAATTAAACTTTAGAATAATATTTATAAGTATATATTAATTATAAATAAAATAATTAAATATAATTATTATTAATAGTATAAATTACTTATAATAGTTTAATATAAAAATCTACTTAATTAATATCTATATATATAAATTATAGTTATAAATTATAATTTTAAAATTAATTAGAATTTAAAAAATCTAATATATTAATTATTATACTTATAAAAAAAATATTATATTTATTATATATAGAAATAAAAATAGAATTTAAATTTATTTAATAAAGAATAAAAAAATATTATAATAAAACTAAATTAGAAAAATTAATTTTAAAAGAGAAAAATAAAATCTATTTATTTTATAAAAATATTATAATAATAAAACTAAATAATAAATTAAATTATAAAAAACTTAAACTATTTAAAGTTCTTAAGAAAAAATTAGATATTAATTATAAACTCTTATTACTAAATATAATATATATTTATCTAGTTTTTTATATTTTATTATTTAAAAAAATTAAAAAAGTATTAAATAATATATTAGATTAAGATTATTTAATTAAGATTTATAAAGAAAAATTTAAATTAGAAAAAATTCTAAAGAAAGAAATTAGAAATAGATAAATCTTTTATTTAATTAAATAGAAAAGATATATTAATAAAAATAATATATAGAAATCTATTAAATATCTAAAGAAATATTAATATTTAATTTATTAATTCTATTAAAAGAAAAAAGAAAAACTAAATTAGAAAAATTCTTTTTAAAACTTAATAAATTTAAATTTATTTTAAAAATAATCTCTAAGAATTAGATTTTCTCTTAAGATATACTACTTAGAAATTTTAAAAAAATTAAAAGTTTAATTTAAAAATAATTAATTTTTTTTATTAAGTTCTTAAAAACTATATTAGATTTCTTACTATATTTTACTTTTAATATATTTCTATATTTTATAAATATACTAAATATATTCTAAAGTAGTAGAGAGATTATTTTAAAATTAAATTATTTATTAATATAAAAGAAGGATTTTTTTATCTATATTAGATTTTTCTTTAGCTAGTTTCTTTTACTATATTATTAACTTTTTTATTAAAATAATAAAATTAGAAAAAACTAGAAAAAAAAATAAAAAGAAAATACTTATAATTAGATATAACTAGTATTCTATTATAATAATAATTATTTTATATATACTTATTATAATAAAATAATTTTCTATTTAGAAAAATAAAATACTTTTTTTCTATTTTAAAATATAGAGTATATAATATATTAGCTAATAAACTAAATATTTAAATAATAGTAATAAAAAGAACTTATTTATAAGTTTTAAAATATACTAGTTTTTAAATATAATTAGATATAATAAATATTATAATATAATTATTATATATAAAAAAAAGAAAAAACTTATTAAGATTATATAGAATCTTAAGAATAAAACTAATAGAAAGAAGATATTATATTATAAATAAAGATATTTATAATAGATTATATAATTATATATATTCTACTATTTAGAAAATAGAAATAATAAGAGTATTATACTTCTATTACTAGATAATAATAGATTACTAAAAGTAATATATTTTATATACTTCTAGACTATTATATATATATATTTATTTCTTAAATAGAAATACTTCTTTAGATAGTTATTAATATAATTATCTATATATTTATTATTACTAGTTCTATAATACTTATATATTAATAATAACTTATATTATATAGTTTAAAATAATCTAATTATACTATTTAGAATAATACTCTAATTAGTTTAATCTTAATCTATTCTAGATCCTATCTAGTATAAATTATCTAATTATTATAATTAATAATTAAATCTAAACTCTTAAGTATAAAAGTAAGTTAGCTAGTAGAGATATTTCTAGAAATATAATAAGTAGGATTTACTTAATTATATTTCTTTATATTAAAAATATTTTTAAATTAATTAATTTTTAATCTATTAATATTAATATCTATACTTTTAAAACTAGAAAAAAAAATTAGTTTTTATATACTTTTATAATATTATAATACTTATCTTATTACTTAGATTTAAAATTCTTAATCTACTATTTAAAGATATATAAATTTATAATAAAAATATAAATAATAAGATATTAATATTATATCTATTTCTTCTATATACTTATAGCTATTAGCTTTACTTTTTATTAATAGCTACTTACTAGTCTATTATTAAAATAGTAAAAACTATTTTTAATTAAATACTAATACTCTATATCTCTATTAGATATAATATAAGAAATAGAGAAAAAGAGTTCTAATAATAAGTAGTCTATTAAAACTATTCTATTTATATAATTTATATATATAAATCTAGCTAGTAGAGATACTTAGTTACCTAATTAATATATTATCCTGGTATAACTAAGTAGGTCCCTAAGTAAGAGCAGTAAGAGCACTAGAATCAAAATAGAAGTACTATATTGTTTTATTACAGGTACTAGTTGTGATAAGCTGAGTGTCAAGCCATAGTTAACATACTGTATAGCTACAAAGCCTACATTAGACACTTCAACGTCGCTACTTTATTTCATAGGTACACGAATAGAGGTCATTCTATGCAGAAAACCTCTTGCTTCCAGCCATTGCGGGGAGTTGAGTAATTAATATCGCGAACAGGAGAAAGGTTGCCTCGGTTATGTGGCCCTTGGATTGGATACTGACTTTTGTGAAGAGACTCAATCTTCGTCGACCATCTCATGGTTTCAACGCAAAGCTATGTATCATACATAGGAACCATTAACTATTTTTCTTAAAAACTGCTGACCATTTTAGAAAGATTCATGGAGAACTCATACTTAAAATTGAAAGGAGGCCTTCCTCGGCTAAAGCCATCCTTCGGACCAGCCTCGGGGTAAGGCGAAGGTGATTATTCTCCAAAACAACGATGTGACCAGGAGGCTTGAAAGAACATGACCTTAACCGAGGGATTTGGTGTCTAGTGTAGATTTATTTCATGAACTCCCTGTAAATACTACCTTAAGGTGTATTTACACTGCATTCATATATAAGGCATGGCGGCGTGCCTACTCGAATTATACAGTTCAGTGCTATCTCTATCACACGCTACCGGAAACATATTTCGAGAGGTAGAACAATTTGGCTTTCTTGACCATCCCATATACAAAATGCCTCCTGTCGGTGGTTTCCGAAGCGACACTGTAGATCAGATCCGGCGATTGTTCCAAGAAGAAGCCAGAAATCCTCCCATCCTACGCCACTATGGAGATATACCCATCTCTTACGACGTGATAACTAGGGACTGGTTGACAGCCACCTTGGCCCGCGACTGCGATAACACCGTGGTTAAGAACTTCGCCCTTGGCCCGGAGGACAATGGATCGGCCAACAGACGCCGTATCGCGATTGAATGGGAGGGAGCCGATGCTGACAAGCTTCCGACATCTGTTTTCTGCAAAGCAGCGCATTCCCTGGAAAATCGAATTATCCTGTCTGTCGGTGGGACTTACAGTGAGACCTGCTTTTACAACGAGATTCGTCCTAAAATGGATATAGAAGCACCGTGGGCCTACTATGCCGGGTACAACCCCGAATCCTGGGCAGCCATCATCATGTTGAAAGACATGAGTGCCTCAACCACCTTTTGCAACCACAAGACTCGTCTGAGCAAAGACCAATTCGCCGAGCAGGTTCAAATGCTTGGTAAGGTACATGGAACATTTTATCGTTCTAAGGAGCCTTTTTTCGAACGCCTTTTGGCCTATCGGCAGAGATTTCAGAATCTTATCAACGTTGGTGCTGAGGGTGCTTGTCGTAACGGTTTCCGTGCGGCAAAGGGCGTTATCCCCGCCAGACTGTTCGAGAGGGAAGATGAGATTTGGCCCGCGACTCTAAAGTCAGTTGAGCGCAATTATTCTCTGCCTCCCACCGTTGTCCATGGAGATGTCCACCTTGGTACGTCGTCGTTTGATTTTCGCCCGGAAAATCCACTTCTGCAATTCCTAACAATGCTAACATTCATAGGAAACTGGTATATCACTCCAGAAGGCCACATGGGCCTCACAGACTGGCAAGCTATGGCAAGAGGCCACTGGTCCCGTGATTTGGCATACGTCATGGGCACTGCTGTCCCTACCGAGTCTCGCAGGCTCTGGGAGAAAGAGATTGTTGAGCTCTATGTTGCTGAGCTGGAGAAAGCTGGCGGGCCCAAGACGTCAGTGGAGGAAGCATGGCTCGAGCTTCGAAGACAGTCGCTTGGCGCTTTGGCTTACTGGACTCTCACTCTGACGCCTTCAGAGGCCATGCCTGACATGCAGACTGAGGCAGCATCGTTGGACTTTATCGGGCGCATTTGCGCGCTCATGGACGACCATGATGTGTTAGATGCGTTTGATTTTTAGGTTGCGATGAAACTTGGCCTGCCCTTTTCATGGTCTAGGGCATGCCCATGCGGCGCATATCGAAGGATAACCACAATAACAAGCGATTTATACTGATAATGAAACTGTTCCATACCTATCCAATGGCTATTATGTCAAGATATCGCTGGTATTTGTCCAGGTAGTCCGTCTGGTCAGAGCTCTTCCAATGGAGGGTCCAAGAACAGAAAGCGTCCAGTGGACGAGGATGATACGCCCAAATCCGAAGTGGAAAAAGTACCAAATCAAAGCCAAGGAGCTCCAGTAAATAAACTCCCCGGCAAGGGCAAAAGAACCGATGGGGCACCGGCCAGGATAATTCGACCGTTGCCTAAGCTGAAAGTTCCCCGTTGGAGAGCCAATCATGATCTTAGGCCAGAAGATGTACCCTGGGATGATACCCGCGGGAATCAGGTAGCCGATGCGAAGAGCAGAATAAAGAAGAACAATGAAAACAGCATGTAACTCATTGTAGAGCCGAACCCGTACATGGTCGATCAGAAGAACCTGCCAACTTCCTATCGGGTCAAGGTTGGTAACGGACGTTCAGAGGGAGATGACGGTTATAGGGTGCACAATAGGAACCACATCAAGGTGCACAGTATCGGGCAACATCCTGAAGTGAACTGAAGGAGGCCAGGCAAGAACGAGGCGGAAAAAAAAATAACCGAGCACCGTTCCGGCACAGGCACTTACTATCCCACGAGATGGCCACAATCTTCGTTCATCGCAACCATTGCACTCAGGTACTACCGGGGTTACATACAAATATCGTTGGAATTATTACCCAAGCAGAAGGCGGCCATTTCCCCAATATCAACACGTGTAATAGGAAGCTGGTTATGTCAGCCAGAAAGGCAGGACTGTGAAAGGGGATTTATTTATTAGGTGTTGATGTGACTTATTTTCAAGTGGTTTCACGATTATTTTTTATTAACGCTAGCTGCTAGCTTTTATACCTTCTTTTCCCTTTTCCTTCATCCCTTTGTAGCTTCCCAGAACTCACACGAGTTGGGTTCATCCTGTCATCCGGTTTGAGGACTTTCCATAGCTTCCGTCTATTTCCTTCCAATTCAGCGGGTCTGCTGAGTTGGGACTAGAAAGCCTTCGGGGTGCTCTACTTGAAAAACAGCTTCAGGCAGCCTTCAGGGTCATCGTACTGGTTCCCATCCTTGGGACCCTGGGCAATGGCTTGAAACCTCTTCTCAATGTAGTCGTCGTTGATTACAGCTGCGACCATGACGCGCTTGTTTTGATCTTCAGCTTTGGCATCTGGTCGGGTGCTGTAGTAATACTTCTGTATGAGGACCATCTCGGGGAAGGGCTTGCTCTCGTCATCAAAGACCTCGTCATCATGCTCCGCGTTGGCCTTCTTGTCCTCCACGTCGTACGCCTCACGGCCGAGTACGATTTCCGGGTGGGCGTCTATGAATGCCTTGATTTCTGGGCGCTTCTCTAGAAGCTCCTTGATCTCTGGCTGCGCGAGGTACTCTGCGCGAGTGGGCGGGGTTTGGGAGCTAGCCATTGAGCTTATTGAATGTGGCCACGAGTAAGGCGAATCTAATCGCAATTTGGAGAAGCCGTGAGAAAAAAAGATTGATCTCTGAGGAAAAAGCCTTGGAAATTATTCCTTGGTAAGAAAGACGGAGGGTAGAATGAGGGGTAGAGGTGTGGGAACAAGGGGGATGCCTGCACGCTGGGGCCTTTTATTGTTATTGCGAGACAAGATTCATGTACAATGTACACGTAGCACGGCTGCCAATCGCTTACCTCATTACGCTGCCGCACATGTCAGCCCGTCCATTGTGTGTAGGTAATGCAAACGCTACTAATGTTAGGTAATTGATTGTGTATCTAGTCTAATTCTATGGAAGGTCACTGTCCAGCCAGGAGTAGAAATGAAGAAGAATGATCCGTCAGCCTTAGGAGTCTGACGATGTAGAAAATCCCCTGAACTCATATATAAACCATGTCGAATCAATAGTTATCTTCTCACCTCTCTCAACACTGATTTTCTCATAGCACCTGGCACAGGAAGTCAAATTTTAACATAATACTCTCCACTTCAACCATGAAGATTGCCTCCACGATAGCTGTGGCCTCGCAGGCCGCTCAGCTCGACGACGGCGAGAAACTTCTCTTTGGCCGTGATGCTTTAGAAGAAGCTAGAGCCCAAATTAGCGCCGAAGATACCTATAGCGGCTACTTTCAACCTAGAAGCGACATCGTCTTCGTGCGTGACTACGACGCGCGCACCAATGAGCCGCTGTTCACGGCTGCTATGATTGGCGACAAGAAGTCTCAAAGGGAGGCCAAGAGAGTCAAGAAAAGCAAGGGCAAGTTGGGCAAGAAGTCCAAGTCGAAGCACGCGGAGTGAAGCCTCAACATGGAGTCAGCTCCTGTCATCTTCGAACGCGCCTCGCGATGCGGCCAGTACTGCTCAAACGTCAGGGACTGCACTTTATCTCCCGGCTGCCCTCGCTGTGTCCACGCAAATCGTGTGAAGCCTCCCCCAGCCAGAAACGACCACCAGAAGGTTTGCGGACCTTAGATGCAGTATTCTTGATCTTTGTGTCATGCGGGGGGTTTAAATATCTTGGGAGTTGGCTTTGTTGTTTTCTTGTTATATTGCAGTCATTCCTGGAAATCAGTCTTCTCCATTGTCTGGTTTACATGTACTTAATATAAGCTGACTCGACTTCGGCTCCGCTTCGGCTCAGTTTGTCCACAGACACAGCTTAGTCGCTGTCCTTATAAACTGGACCTTGTACTTATACACAAACTCTTGTGCTACTCTGTAGGGTAGCTGATAAATCCCAGTGGGTTATGTTTAATCATGGCCTTGACGTGCTCGAAAAGAACCTCAGACTATTTCTTATTTTTCTGGTAAAAGGGCTATCTTGTTGAAAAGGTTATCCCATTGGAATGCCTTGCATAAGCTCGCCGCGGGAAGAACTGAAGCCTCTAGTTTGATAGGGGGGTATATTTGGTGGGATTATTTTGTAGGATAGTGTTTAGCTGTAGATGAGATTCTATTTCGCTCCAGACACAAAAGAGTAGATATTTAGGAAAACTTGCAAACAACTAGAATTGCCCTCCCTTCACTTTCCAGCCATGTTCTTGTAAGATAGCAGAGGATTCGCCCAATATCATATCGGACCTCTGGCGGATGCAACAGTGAGCTGAGAGTTATAATGAGGAAACAAAAGTAACGCGTTGCTGTGTTGGAGTGGGGAATTGACCGGGACTTTTGGAACTGACTGTACCTACCTCGCTCCAACGGAGGCTGAGGGAGGATTATTATCGCTAATTAACCAGGAACTGCTACCAACTTTATACTATTGCTCCGAGGACTTCCTATCTACTAACTTTCTTTCTTATAGTTATATTATGCTTAGCTTAGGAGATTTCGGCGACCGCTTCTATACTACCTATCTAATTAGGTAGTAAGAGTGGAGGAGTACAGGCCCATTCTTTTTCCCCATTCTAGCTAGAATGGAGTAAAAAGGTGGGCCCAGCAGCACCTTGACGAGAGCACATGTACTGAAGGACGATAAGGTAGGTAGCTTTCAGAAACAGCTTTGCTCGCTTAAGCCCATAGCCGAAACTATGCCCTGCATCCGGGAGGAAAACAAGCTTGGCTGCATCCCATATTGCAAAGATACCGGAGTCGAATTGGCGTTGCCTTCTCTCCACAGGTCAAAGATTTTGACGCAGGCAAATGGTTTTACGATGCGAAGACCTCTAAGGGATCGTGCGTTTGTCTTCGACGATATTCCAACATTGCAAAACGGCGCTATCAATTGACGCCGACGATAGTTGTTCAGAGATGAATTCATGGCCGTTTCCCTCTACAATACTAATAATATCTATCGATTTATAAATAAATTCTCTTTAAAAGTAGAATTATGAGAATAAGTGAGCTCTCTCCGATCAGCTAGCCTACTCTCAGAATCCGGATCGAGCTCGCTAACATGATTGATGCAGACGACTGGATCGTGCCAGGATATTACTATTCTCAAATACCGCCCGACCCCTAACGGGTCGCACTTGGCTATTCACATCATTTGTCACCATATTTTCCGCTCTGGTTATCGCTTTAGAGCCACAGCCCTCACAAGCCGCATTCTGGATGGATGAGTTCCACTGCTTTCGAATTGCTGCTTAAAACCCTCAGAAATCCTGGTGGATCACCCTCTCGCCTATCCTAATCTCTGGATCGCCGCGCTGGCCGTGTCATCTATGGTTTCATGGCTATGCGTTTTGATGCCCACGACCCGTCCCAAGTCAGGCTTAGAATAGGTCCCAAGGGTGAGCGGTTGCACAATATATGTAACCAACGCATCCGCGATAGCCAACACCACCCCTCACATAAAGCAAGACATGAAAAGTTTAGATCTCTTTTTGAGAACTAAGAGACCCCCTAACTAGTCTGCCGCCGCCGGAGATCACTTGGTGGCAACCGAGGAGTGCTTGTTCTGAAATATACTCGTGGAAGATCAGAGACATCTGCTTCGACGTCCAGATATTCTAAATAGTACCATTAGAAAGATCAAATGCCAATTGGAACCGCTCAACTGACCATGGTCTGGGTTTGGACGCTTCAAATAGGACTTGACAACGGACACGATGATGATAACTGCAGAGGGGATAGCTACCAGGACTCCAAAGAGGGAGATGAGTGCTTCGGTGGAGAGCGCCATGATCAGTTTGCCATATTGAAGAGGAAGAGAGTCTTGATGCGAAACAAAAGGGATTTTGCACTTATGTATACCCTCGTTAGGTAATTTTGGTATTCTGTATCGTGGCGCACGACGCTGAGGATTGGTCGGCAAGGGTCTCAAGACGAGCGCATCACCCTGCATACGAAGTCTTTGTGACCAATTGGAGACTAACGACAAGAAGAAAAAGGTAATTTTGGCAGAAAGTCCCATTTCCAGAGGCACCGTAATGACGGGAACACTGCATGAAGGAAAGGGAATTTGACAGAAAGATTCCGTATACAAGATATGCAGCAGGGATCGGTGCCAATCGTTCTCTGCGCAGGGGAGGGCTTGTGGGGGCCTTCCAATCAAATCGCAACTTCTAAGCCCCCTTCTGAGTGATTTCATGCACGTACGTGCATGACTGGATTGGGAAAGGGAATTTTGGTCGGAGCGGAGGCAGTGATGTTGTTTCTGCTCTGCCTGGCTAGGTCAACATGTGCTAAATAGTTTTATAAATATCAATACTAGCTACCACTTCCTACCTAGTTTTAGGCCATCCACCTCCTTTCATACAGCATCACCCACATTGATCCTATTCACTGCTTATAGTCCCTGATTGTGTTCTTAAGCGGTGCGCGCTTCGAACGACGCATATTCCCTGCTACTAGCGACAGCTACACTCCTTACTGACGAGTATGCCTCGACCTCCTCTCAAGTCCAAAGACGCTTGGGAGGCCCAGAAAGAACGAATCCACTCTCTTTATATCGTCAACAACCGTACTTTACAGGAAACTATCGAGAAAATGAAAGTGATTCATGGCTTTGACGCAAAGTAAGTTTGCCTCTCAGGAATGAAAGAGGCAATCTAGAACCTCACTAACTTAATTTCATCAAGAAAAAGGGAATATGTTAAACGACTCAATTCTTGGGGGATGTTCAAAAATGCCAAGATGCAAGATTGGAAGCATGTTCGAGATCGTGACCTGGATAAGAGAGAGACCAGGGTAAGCATCGGCGGTAAGGTTATCAGCTGCGAGAGGGTAAAGCGGGCAACACGACGATACAAATTTGCACCCAATGACGATTCAAGATCAAGTAAGTCTGAGACTGAAATTAAGATTTCAATAGCTGAGTTATGTCTAGCAGCATCAGATCATCTGCCTAGTCGAGGGATTGAAATTCGTACACCATCTCCTGACCCGGTTCCTTTCGCAGGTTCCAGCGACCGCGGCATGTTATCGCGTAAAGACCAGCAAGATCCCTTGCTCGGTAAGCTTGAGGACATACTTGGCGACCTTGAGTCTGACATGGCCGACCATGGGTGGGAAGCGGGGAGCGAGGGAATACCATACGGGGAGGAGGGCGTTCTTAGACATGATGTTAGACAGGGTCCTCATCCGGTTAGCGCGCTGGGGGGTCTGCTTGTCTGGATATAGTCTTGATATATCGTCAATTTGCACTACATGTCAAGGTTAGACAGAAGTATGGAACGGTTAGTTGTACTCTGCCAGAGCTCGACCATTTTTCAAAGACTTAAATCAGGATGGTAGGCGAACTGCTTGGTTATCAAAACTTAGAAAAGGGCGATAGATATCCAACAACTCGTACCTGCAAGACTATTGAGGCGATGATTCTGGATGGTAATGATAGGACTCTTCAACTAGATAAGCACCTTCCTAAAACCCCAGAGCTCTATGCTAGTGCTTAACAGCATCTAGTTAGATTGTTGATTAATAGGCCAATTCCTTCAAGATATCATCGGTATGAATGACATTATGACAGAAATCGTACTGACTTCATAAGCTCGTAAAAATATATAGCCTGCAAAGCGTATAAGAGAGCAGGAACCTACAATAGCCTTGTTTCATGTGGTCTGTTTGGATGAGTTGAGCCATGGCCATATCGGCACTAACTGGCTACAAGTGCCGATTTCTTAGGTGACCAAAGCTGCTGCCGCTCTAGTTGAGGAGACGAGCCTGCTCTTCATCCTCCTGGCTTCTGCCTAGCACTGGTGATTGTAACTCGCTTTCCAAATCCTGAGCATCACCGTCAAGGTCTCCATTGCTGAGAACCGCAGTCCGGGGCGCGTTGCCGCCAAAAATTTCATCCATGTCCTCGAGAGCACGGTCTTTGGTTTCAGGATAGAATAGCCAGACAATCTGGAATATCAATAGTTAGTTATATGATTTAATCAACTGTCATCAGACTTGGGATCCGCCTACCGGAGCACATGCGAAGTTAACGAGCATGAAGAAGAAGTAAATGCCACTTCCCCAGTGGGCCAGGCCCAAGGGCCAGATCTTGGAGACGAGGATGCTGCCAATGGACCCGCCGCTTGCTGCAAAGTTGAGGCCACGAGCCCGGACGGAGGTGGGAAAGATCTTTCCATAGTGAAGAGTCAGTGTCGTGCTTTGCCTCGAAATTCAAGGGGTCTGATCTGGCTAAACTCACCTCACTGCTATACACCCAAGCGGCTGGGCCAAGGCCTAGACTGTACCCCATGGCATAGACGAATATGAAGATGATGCAGGCGACATCAGCCCCCTTGTTCACATTCTCGGGATACACCATTGGAAGAGCGCCGTTTATCTGTACCTCTAGTCAGTTATATTGTTCCGACCGATGGATTGGGTTCACCCACAAGCATGGCAACACCCATGATAAGCGAGCCGCCAACAAGACAGGCTCTCCTTCCAATGCGATCAATGATCCACATCTCAATAATCGTCATGCCGATTTTGATGGTCATCTCAATGGCCCCGGCCATAAGGGCTAGCTGGGTGTCTAAGCCAAGAGCCTTGAGCAAGCTGGGGAGATAATACTTCATGACTGCAGCGCCGCACATTTGGGCTAGAAACTGAAGCAGGAACGCACGCCACAGGCGAGCGCGGAGAGGAGGCTCGCGAAAGAGCGAGAGCGAGAGGGCAAGAGATGAGCGCTTGAACCGGGGGCGAGAATCAACTTCTAGAGTGATGGCGTGTAGTTCTTGGGTGATGGCATCGGGAGGAAAAGCATCTTGACGGAGCCAGATGAGCACTCGACGGGCACGTTCGGTGTGCCCCTTTTCGACAAGCCATCTGGGTCTATATATTTACAAAGTAGGTTAGGGATTGATGAACGGACTTCTTTCCAGGAGATGAGGGGATTGATCTTACGTATCTGGGCAGAAAGGGAGACCGGCAGCGAATATGGCGGCGGGCAGGAGCTGGATGAGGATCGAGATGCGCCAGCCCCAAGCTTTTCCAGATGGCTCAGTCCAAAAGCTCATTCCATAACCAACCCTATGATCGTGCGTGTGAGCTGATGAAGAGGGGAAAGTGTGCGACAGAGGAAGAGGTGGTGGCGCATCTCACCATAAGCCGCTGGCAAGACCAGCGATAAATCCAACGTGATTGATGGTGACAAACTTGCCCCTCTCTTGAGCCGGGGATATTTCACTGTGGTATTATAAGCCCATACCCATTTTTTGATAGTACAGGGAGAGGGTGCAGACATACCTCTGGTAGAGAGGAACGGTGGTGCTGACAACACCAACTCCAAGTCCACAGCAAAACCTCCCGGCGGCCATGGCAGCCAGGCTCTGGGACGAGGCCATGACGACGGCTCCAAAGGCCAGGGCAAGGGTACCGCACAGGGCGGCATAGCGTCTGCCCAGCCAATCGGCGAGGGGGTGTGAGACGAAAAGGTAGGCGAGGAGTGTGCCCAGATAATAGACGGCAGTGATGGTCCCCCGTGCGGAGGGATCAGGGTCGCGCATAGCAGAACGCCATCCTGGGTGGACGAGGATGGAGGCCAGGATGCCAATGTTGTAGCCCCAGATGGATGCGCCGACGGCCAGGTGCAAGCAGAGGCGGTAGAGCCTGGCGGTGCCGACAGGGAGAGGGGAGAGGATCATTGTCGTGGTGGATGAGGATAGAACGGGCTGATGTCCATGTTCTTCCCGCCATCTTGCCAAGTTGCGGGATTGGACATTGTCCATTGCTGCGGCCAGATGTGAGTGTGAGGAAGAGGGGTCGGCGTTCGGGGGGTGGGGTGCCGACTTGTGAGCTCTCTGTGCCAAGATGTCTGGGGCAGATGAGACGATGATGGGTGTCGGTTGACAGGGCCTCATGTACGTGTCTGGGGACTGGCAATACCTTGTCTGACCGTACATATGCATGGCGGCTGACATGCGCCAGAAGGTGCACTCGGCCACCTCCCACAGTAGCTACGGTTTTTTTCCTCGGTCCTCTGGGTTAATGACTGCCCCACTAGCGAGGGAAGACGGTGATCCTTGTCTAAGGCAGACATCTCAAGGGCCATGCTGGCGGAGGGAGGGCTGGGAGGGGTGTGGGAGGTCAGTACGAGACAGTCGAATCCACGCCCACGAGTAGATCTTTAAGCAGCCCCTGGTCACTGGAGCTGGGTGACGTACTCGCACCACCAACCGTGCTGGGGGTATTCTGCACAATTCCCAATCGTGTAACATTTGATAATATGTATAGCCATCGAGGGTCAAGGCGGCTGATGGGGCCGGGCAATTGCCTAATGCCAGCCAAAGATCCGCTAGGGAAAGATCCATCCACCTTGAATGATTGGTCGCGGACCTAGCGCCCGTAATCCTCGGGTGTTGGGACTGAACCTGCACTGAATCCCCAGGATGGGCCGCTTGCTTAGGAGGGGCGTGGAGCCGGTTTACAGCTTGTTTCGAGACACGGAAGCATGGGTGTCAGATGTACACGTGCACGCAACTGGCAGCCAGAGGTACATCAGCTTAAGTCCTCTTTAGGTAGTAACCACTGGGGTCGGGGCGGGAGGGCTGGAATTGGTATTGTGTCAAAGCTGACACACCCCCCCTCCCTGGAACCATGCAATTGGAAGCACGGGATGGGAGTTTTCTTGTGTGCTTCGGGCTCATCAAGTCTGTGGTGGCCAGAACATAAAAAGTATCTACGTATTATATAAATGCCATCCAAGCACTCTTTAGATACAGGTGATATACAACCACGTTCTACTACCTTTCCTTTCTTCGTCCTTCTTCCTCTTACCAACATTTCTCCTCCTAAACTATGAGACGTTCGTGCTGTACTTGAATCCAACAATCCTATACCCATCTCACACATTGAGCAATGTCCGGCAATTCAAAAACCCAAGAGCCTGGTCATGGTGTCCAACATGCCTCTCCAATTGGGCAGTGGCTATCTCAGTCTATAACAGATGAGCCCTTCACTATGCCGCAAACCCCAGAAATGCAACAGAAGATGACGGAACAACGTGATGGACTACAGACACGACTTGAAAGGCTCCGAGATGAAGTGTGCGTCATCAGCACTAAATGTGCCGCTTCACACAAGCCAGAACCCTCGGTATCAGATACTGCGTCTCTCCAGGGCAATCTGGACAGTTCTTGGACCGATCTGTTTGCCGTCGGATCCCAATTCAATCACCAGAGCAAGCTATCTTCCCGGGATATAAGCCCGCTAGACCTCGCCTTCACAGATAATCCGCCATGCTTTAAATGACATATAAGGCAGATGACACGCATATCCTTGAATTCTCACACGGCTGGCTAGGAGAAGGCACTAGACCCGATATGCTGCTGGCTCTTTTGGAGCAGAAGTTCTAGTGAGGCTGTTGCATGTTTGGATTATTTTCTTGTATTGAACAAAGGCAGAATACTCGACATGACTGCCGGAGCAGCGTGATTGAACGTAGGATGATATGGCATACATGCTTGCCTACATCTACATATCAAAACCTGTGTATCTTTGGCTTAAGCTCATAATTGAATGATTATTTTGCGACTGAACGCTTCGTTAACTTCCAAATTGCGCCTATACCTCTATCTGAATGAAGTACTTTCTCCGCGGTAAATAAATATAGCCAGTCACTTGTCCCTGGGAAAGATGTACAACTTGGGCGTGGCATCATCGCCTTATTTTCACACTGCTTCATCCCTCAGACCCTTTCCAGAACGACTTCAGCACAAAAATAGGACCTAATTAAGCTCTTCGTTACTTGCAAGCTATGGATGGCATTAGGGCGTTTATCTTCATAGCGGTATCCAAGTCTAACGTAAGTGTAGGGCGCGCAATCCCAGGTCCGAACGCACAAGTCACCCTGCTTGCTCCCGGATTACTCGTCCAAGACTTACTTCGCTGATTCCACTCGAACATGGCTCGAACAAGATATAAGTGTTTCTGGAGCCCTATTATGAATAGTCAGTCGAAGTTGAATTAGTTGAAGCCAAATATATAATCACGGAAGAAGTTGGTGGCTGTGAACTGAAGAATATCACAGTATGAGAAGCATATGTCAGGGGTCTTGTCCAAAGAGTTCCTGGATGCCCTTCAAGCTTTGATATGATTTGAATGAGTGACATTTTCTTGACGTACCATATGCTTCGGATTGACCTATATTTCCACCAATTGAGGAAGCCATATTTTCTAGACATGGTATTTGAGATCATTCCAGATGCTCATCGCCTTACTCAACCACGATCTCTCAGTCATGACTGTCTGTATCCTCTTTAGACCCCCTTTGTCCTCATCCTCATCACAATAATATGTTTCGTCTTCTTCATCGTCTTCCTCAACTTATTCATCAGTGTTATCCTCCTCATCGTTAGTGTCAGCATCTTTTTTCCACCGAGGGGGAGTCGTGGCAGGCCTCATTCCAAGGAGTGCCGAAGCTAGAGTCTAGTGTGTTGGGAGGCTCTACTGAGAAGGTCATCCAGGGATGGAATGTGTCAGTACTTGGCTAAAAGTAAGTTTAAAAGAGAACAAAGAAGCTCGCCATTATTGGAAAATTAGCATGCATGAATTGAAAGTAGAGTGTATCTGTAGGATGCTTACCCACTTGTGTAAACCACACGTCGAATCCCTTTAGGATGCTATATTATCTGCCTAGGGATGTATAGTAGTGTTGTATAAGTACCTTGCAGCAAAGAAGTCTCTGGTGTGTAAAATTCGTTGCTATTTATTGCGCTCTGGGAGCTCTTGGCGGCTTTTTGGAAGTCGGTTGATTCAAGCATTTGAGAAGCCGACATGCGATGTCATTGTTGAACCTAGCCGTTGCAATGTAGTGGTATGCAATGTAGTATGCAAAGACTTTTGGATAATCTTCGAGATCAGAGTTAAAAGTCAAATATACCGAAGTAGGTGGTTTCTCTGGTCTCGAAAGGCCGACTAGTCGAAAACCGACGCGGCAGCTGTGAATCAAGCACAGATGATCTATAAGTGAAAGCTTCTTTTGATATTATTATCTCTATCTGAACCTTGTTACCTATATAGAAGTCTGATTACTCTTATCTGAGTCTCATTATCCCTATTCGGGTACTATCATCCCTGGCTAGGTGCTATCGGCTTATAGCTCGATGAAGCGCCGCCTCGGCCACAGAATGCTTCACGTTTCATCCAATAAGAACAACGATTGATAAATCAGGGTGATTAATAGGGGTTATTAGTAAGCCAAAAATTGGATCGCCTCTGATTGGATATCTTTATAGGATCTAGATATACTGCACGACGATGACCTTCCTGTTTCCGTCACAAGGTTTATTGTTCAAAGCGAGTATTCGTGCGCCTCCAGTATTGTAAAATATATTTATATTCATTGGTTTCATCCAGAGCAGTGTATACAATATATACTTAGCATCAGCATCCCTGCAGCCGCAAGCTTCTCAGATGTTGCTGTTGATCCAAGAGATGAAGTTACCAAGCCTGGTGTAGACACCGGGGTATCCAGCGCGAGCGCAGCCCACACCCCAAGACACAACACCGACGAGCTTGCCGTCAGAGCCAATGACGGGGCCGCCGCTGTCTCCAGAGCAGGAGTCCTTGCCACCCTGGGTGAGGCCAGCGCAGAACATGTTGTCTGTGATGGCGTTGACCTCGCTGTAGTCCTTGGCGCACGTGGCGCGGGCGATGACAGGGACCTTGACGTAGCTGAGATCTGCGGGAATGCTCTGGCTGTTCTCGCTTGTGAGGCCCCTATGAGACAGGTTAGTGCCATGGTTGAGAAATAGGTGCAGTGAAGATACTTCTCTTCAGGGGAAGGTGCTTTACATACCAGCCTGCGACGGTGATGGTGCCAGAGGGATCCTCGCCGGATGAGGTCAGAGTGGCATAGGCGATGGTGCTGCTGGTAGGAATGGAGGTGGAGAGCTTCAGAACGGCAACGTCGAAGTCGGTGGTTGAACCACTGTAGCTGGGGTGGTGGGTGACCTTGGAGATCTTGGAGGTCGTGCCACCAGAGGCCCATTTCTACCGATAAATAGTATTAGTTAAATGATTCATCACTGAAAAATAAGCGTGATAGAATGGCTGGCTGCAATTGGGCCGGCCAAGCTCATGCTGGGCTCTGAGTGCACTCACAAGGGATCCAGCGCGGACAGTGAGGGAGGAGGCGGCCAGTGTGTTGCCAGACTCATCCACAGTGCAGTGAGCGGCGGTAACAACGGTGTTGGCGTTGATGAGGACCGCACCGCAGAGGGTCGAATCAGTGGTAAGGCTGACAATGTAGGGGAACTGGCCAGATGTAGCCTTGCTTCCGCCAACGATTTCGATGCCACGGCTTTCAATGTCTGGGACTGCTGCTCCCATGGTGAGGGCAGGCAAAGCCATAAGGGCGGCCAGAGCAAGCTTGGGTGCCATTTTGATAACGGATTAGAGACAAGTGAGGACTTAGAGTAGAGGGCGGAAGGCTGGATACAGAGCTGAGAACTATACTCAACCTTGGGAACACTCGGCCATATTTATACTATTAACTTCAACTGTGAGTTACATCATGAAACTTGGAGTGTTATCAGTCCTCCACCTAATTGGGAAGAAGTCGTGCGAAATCCTATCGGAGGCGGCCGGCGAGGTTGAGGATGTATGGCGAATCTTGATGTCCTTCCAAGTTGGTATTGGCGAATGCACAAGTGACAAGGAGCACCAAAGCCGAGATCGGTCTGCGTCGCATCGTGACGGGACCGCTACTAAGGGACCAAGAAACGGGATGAGATCTACAGTGCAATGACCTAATTCAATTGCTCAAACAAGGATATCAATGACAAAGTGCCCAAAGGGCGGTTTGCGATCAGAAGTTCTGACACGAGGCAGCCACGCCGGCATCTTTATCCTTGCCAAGACGCTAATGGTATATTTTGAAGAGCGAGCAGCCTATTTGGAACTTGGTTCCGCATTCTGACGTCCTAAGGGAAGGGCATCAAGCCAACTTCACTGGATGTTGACTCAAGTGACGATGCAAGTTTTCATCCAGAGGGAAAATTTAAAATATTTTATTTGAGCTTTGGACAAATAGAGAAAGTCCTTTTTGTGTTCACATGAGATGGATATCGTTAGATTTCGTCATCCAAAGTTGCTATTAGTTGCGCCTTTGTGATGGTGGAGACTGAGTGGGATGCCGGGTCTCCCTGGCTTTGGCGCGGCATGCTTATTGCCGCACATCCCCCTCATGAACTGATATATTTCCTTTGACCAGAATCATTGACTGGTGCTTTGAAGTGGCTGTGCTGATTCCTGATTCGGCCTAGAAGAGTACGTAGGAGCCAGGGAACACTGCTAGTTTCTTGGTGGAAAGGATAGTTTGATGTATGTGACTTGCTACGAGAGTTATGTTTCTCCTCGATTTATTCAGAAGAGTGCATTTAAATTCCACCAAACCCTCCTTATCAGAAGTGCCGGAGGCTTTAGGTTCCGTTCAAGGTGAATCGCTTAGCGTCTCATTGCAGGCCTCGGTTGTCACTCGGAAAGACCGGCAAGGCTAGCGATTGATCTCCTCCCCGATTTGAATGATTAGAGAGATTGCCACCCACAATGAGACCATAGAACGGGGTAAAGGAAAGCTTAACCTGCCTAAATGGACATCTCCCGGTAAGCGATCAAGCCTGCCCTATATATGATCGGGCCAGTGAAACGAAGCAGAGCTATGTAGATGGATGAACAGTCAACGGAGATGTAACATGTAATAGAACCAAATGCCCACATGGTTGAGTACTACAATTCGAGTGGCGGTCTACGTATTGATGGATAGATTCTAATCTTACAGGCCTGACATGGGAATCAAGCAACTGGAGTAGACTGATTCCCAGTATATTGTGAACGGGATCGCCTAATAGATGTTCGAGCCATTTAAATTGTTGTCATGGTAGGTGGCTCGTCAGTAAAACTGAAGATAGGCTTATGTGCGAATGGCCTCTACCAATCCGGGGGCTCGCTTGGATACAACAGGACTTTTCTGGTGACATTCATTGATAAGAAGCTTGCGCTACTCTTCGCTTTCGGGCAGGTCCTTCTTTGAGCGGACTTTGAAGTGCGCTGGCCACAATAATGTTGATAGCTTCGACAGCGGGAGGGCTTGAGGCAATGTACCCAGTCCTTTACCAGCCATGCATAATTCTCACTTCTTACGACTAGGAAGGCCTCACTTTATATGACTTTCTCAAGATCAGCACATTTCCCAAAAGGGTGGCGCATTTGTCTGTCACCTAGCTTGATCAGCTGAGGTGACAATACTTACACATCCTTTCATCTTTGCAATATGAGAACAATGAGCCTGTAGTTCCCGCGAAGCGAATAAAGGGCCAAGCTAGAGGTTGATTACATGCACATCAATGTCGAGCGGCCCGCCAATACTAAAATAGACACCAGATTTAGTGCCGAACTGCCGTTTAACTGCCGCTTACTGTGCTATCCGATCAGAGGGTCGGCGGCTGGGGCTGTGCGAGTCGTAGGTGAGAAGTGTAATGATGAGGGTATTTAACTCTCGTCTTAGAACCTTGCTAAGGAAAGCCCCAACCATTATTGCGCTCATAACTTTCTTAATCTTAATGAAATTCCTAGTATAGAACGTGAAGACATTCAACGGCCAGCTGCTGTCCTCGGCTAGGTACTTGTATATAACCATCGCCGGTTAGTGCCACATTGGAAATCTCTTGGAGCCGTCTGCAAACTGTAAAACGTTGTAAGCAACCAATGTCTCCTCCATGACTTCGTTGTTTCAAAGTGTGTGCAATTGCAATCGTATGTTTTTCAAGCTACAGGCAGTGCATATATGGGGTTGACGTGAGTAAGCGGAGGTGATGAACCGACACATGGTTTCAATATTCGTTGACTCCCTTGTTACTTGTAATAATGTATGAGTCATATCTTTCCGTATTGGTTTCGTTTTTTGCTCCCAAACTACCGAACCCGGGGATCACGCGTCAGGGCTATCGTAAACTTGACCTCGTTTGCTCGACAATCCATCCCCGAACGATAAAAAGGGTGCTTTAGTCAAATGGATAAATTACTTTCATGTCGTCGTTCGTGCACAACCCCCTTTACCTCAGGGAAGATGTACAAAAGTGGAACGCCGTGATTTTCTGCGTAACATCGACGCAACAGCCAACAGATACAGTAACAAACGGACATACAAGATGACTCAGAGTGTCAGGCGCAGTCAACTGCGGTCACATTAAGGGCGCGCCTCTTTTGTGCCACCCGGTCGAAGTAATCTGAAACTTGGCATATAAACAGACCACCTGCCTCAATTTCGTTGTGGAAGACCAGCAAGCTACTCATTCGTCCAACATGCACACCATTCGCACACTCGGTGGATCAACTCGCGATGAAGCGCTGGATCCGCCGCATAGGCCAGTCAACTATGATGACGATGGCGCCGTGCGCACAGTTACGACACGCAGCCGTCAGATCTGGCTATGTCGCCCAGAAGCCTTCGACTTCGACGATGGCACGTTTTCAAACCCGAACCACGGCGAAGCCTTCGGTAGGATAGCCCGGTTCATCCAGAATTTGCCAGAGGAAGAACTGGTGGCCCTCGAGAACCTAGATACCTCCTCAGTACATACTCCGCTCCGCGACATGGTGTACTGGATGTGGAACCACGTGTTCTGGGATGTAGCTCGTTTTTTGAGCGAAGTCAACTGTAACACTGGGACTTTCCGTCCTCCGGCACACGAAGTTCTAGCCATTAACTATCCTGAGACCCCAATTGAGGCTGGGAAGATGCAAAGAGTGACGCGGTTACAGTCCGATTGCAACATCATGATGGGGGCTGTTTATGTGGCACCGGGCGTAAGGCTTCGGTTTCTGGTCGGGCAACCTGACCGGGAGAGTTTCATGACGAGTGAATTCGACTCTGATGCATTTGGACCCGATGTCCTCGTTGATGCAACGAAAGTGACTGGATGCTACAACGAGCCATACGTTCATTGGATACGACGGAACAGAAACATCCAGGTCTTTTTGGAGGGACGACCTGATCAGCCTAAAGGTGAACTGGCAGTAGTATTTGTGTACGGCAAATGCCAATATCAGCCTGAGAACACGGCTCACCCATGCGTCAACTCATGCGATTGTGATGAAGTTGAGGAAGGCGGCGAGGGTGACGAGCGGCACGTCGATGACAACAATGAGCGCAAACCGGAGGATAAGCGATAGGCCATACTTTTTTAACTTGATCTGGAGCAGCAAAGGAAAAAGGTTGTTTGGCGATGCTTCTTACTGGTGAGAAACTTACTGTAACACGCCGTTTCATGGAGTGGTAGAGTTGTAGCGGAAGAGATGAAGAAAGGCACTTGGTCAATATGATAAATAGCCATCCATGATTCTACTTGCTTTGTTACCTAGAGCTGCTTATCGTAGATGGCGAAATGCCACCGCCTTTAGTGAATTGAAAGTTCTTTAGATCCGGTTCAAAGCTTTGAATTTCTTCGTCTTGCATTGTATACTTCATCATATTTTAGATACAACCATGATAATCACACGCCGGCAGCCAGTAGATGGTCCTTTCCAAAGGGGTTCCTCTCGTATCTCGGATTGCCAACCGTCTATGCTATGTTCGAATGGCTTTGAATCCTCTAAATATCGTTCAGCCTTGACCGCGCGAAGGTTTGGAAACTCTCCACTGGTGATCAACTCGCATATCTCATTATTTGTGCCCTTGCGTTTGTATTCATCTGCCGCTAATGCCATGTACAGCCTGTCGTAGTGCAGATACAGTGTCTCAAGGGACCGCGGCAGAACGCTCACAAGATGAGGCACCGCTGGGTCGAAAGGATAAAAGGTGCTGTATCCAACGAGATCTCTTTGTGCTATTTTGAGGTGGCGCAAATTGTCAAGATCTTGAAGAGAGCCAATGGCCCTATTGATGTATCCACCGAATTCAGCAGTCTCTAGGTCGAGTTTGACCAAGCTTCTTCCATGCTTCCGAAGCACAACGCCGACGGAATCCATTTTGATTTCATAATCAGCATCCTGAATTTCCGTTGCTCGGTTACTATCGGCGAGGAAGATTCTAAGGCTCTCCAATTTGGGACAAAGCTGGAACATATCCTCTATACCTCTAGCATCCATGATGCATTCTGTCAATTCTAGAACCCTTATGTTGGATGTAAAACCAGGCCACAGTCGTTTAGGTACGTGCGTAGCTCGCCAATCGAGGCCCACCATGCGCATGACCTCGACACCCGGGTGCATGAAAGCCGCCTCTATATCGGTGATGGGAGTGGTGAATACGATACTCCAGTGCTTCAGATGCACTTCCCTCAGCCGTGGTAGCCCAAAGTTGGAATAGGCCCTGACAACCACCTGATCATCTTCGTACCCAAAGCCATAGTCCGCATCCTCCCCAGGCTCAACATCTTGGCTCGTCTTGGGCAGAAATGAGCTCTTCTCCAAGTCAAGATTTCCGCTCAGGATCCAGGAGAGAAGTAGTGGCGTTTCCCCAACCGTGATGTCTAGCGACTGCACGTTTGGAGTGAAAAGGAGGCAAAGAGATGCTGGGCTAATACGTCCAGCATCAAAATGACTACTTCTAAGGAATTGCCGAAACCGCGGCGGCAGATCCATCATGTTTATGGCCGACGCGAGCTGCTCATTGTCAACTCGCAGGTCGTTTCCACTCCTCCCGAAATTATTTTCGGCGGTTAGGATGCGAGTATTTTGGCCGAGTTTAGGGTGAAGTGCCAGCTCCCTTATGGCTCGTACGAAAGCCGTGTCATTGTCTGGCTCTGCGCCCTCTAATATGAGGTTCTTGTAGAGGAGAGGTTGTGCGCATCGTCTAAATTGCTGGCAGACGAGGCACAGCGATGCGAGAGTAAGGCGGTGAGTCCTACTAACGAGGACTCTATCCATCCACCATTGGCTCGGAGGCAAAGTGCATTCAAAGCCTTCGAATATCTGTCCCCAGATCTCGTCTGGGATGCGTTGTATGTTCGACATGGTGACAGAGTGATGATGATGCAGAAGTAAGATCAAGATGCTTGAGCTGGTTTTAAGTTTGGTGGGGTTATGTTGAACTCTCATGCCAGCTTACCCAATGAGAATGAGAATGGAAGCTTAATAAGAGACAATGTTCCAGGCATCTTGCTCACTAAGACGAGGTAAATGGAACGTAAGCCAGAATAGGAATGCTGGTCAAAGTAGCATGTAACCTGTTGCTCTTATTCTAAGTACATACTCTAGAAACACAAGAATTGCATGAACCCAAACTTGACCGCAAGGAATAGGGGCTCATTCCGTATGGGGACCAAATAGGCGATGTCTACGACATAATTCATCCAGATCAGATGTATAGGACACTTGAATAAAGCCACATTTCATACACCTAGCTATCGAAATCAAGACTGTTTTAGGTGTACTATTGATTGTTTGGCGCGCGAATGTTGGTTAGACAACCCTCTTATTCTTCGCTTTGCACAACCTCGACTGAGATGTTCTTGTCCTCCGAATAAACGCGCAGACCTGCGACACATACAGCATTCCAAGGCAATCTGCCCTCATTGTCATCATCATCCTCATCATCGCTGTCGTCGCTGTCATCTTCCTCTTCCTCATCCTCGTCCTCAGCCTCACTCTCCTCCTCCTCAGCCTTGTTCTGCTCCCCGTCCTCATTGGATGAGTCGTCTTCTTTCTTATCTTTCTCTCCCTTCTCCTCCTTCTCCTCTTCTTTCTTCTCCTCCTTCTTCTCCCCTTTATTATCTGGTGCCGAAGGTGCTGCAGATTCACCAGACGGAGGCGTAGCTTTGGAGTCCGAGTCACCTCCCTTCTTCTCATCCTTCAAGGCATTTCCACTCTTCTTTTCTCCTTCCTTGGTCTTTTCTTTGTCCTTTTTGTCCTCCTCTTCCTTTGATTTCTCTTTATCGAGCTCCACCTGCATCGCTGCCATAGCGGACGTCATCTGCTCCATCGCCTGCCTCATTTGATTTTTCTCTGCATCCTCTGCCTTTTCCTTCTTCTTCTTCGCCTTCTCCTTCGCCTTCTCCTCTTGCTTCTTCTTTGCATAAGCTTCGTCCTCGTCTAAAACTCCAACCTTGGCGTGGGCGATGTCGTACAGCAGCCCCTTCTGCTGAAGCTTAAGGGGGTCAGCAGTGGAGTATTCCTTGACGACATCTTCAACGGGCGGCAAATTAGAGTTCGCTGCAATGACCCTGGGGATCACGTCATACTTCCCGGGCTGGAGGAATATCTCGCAATTGGCAGATCGATCGTTACTATCCAGCTTGCTGCAATGTGCTTCTCCAATGGGCTCTTCCGACCCAGAAGGCAGAATGATAAAATTCATAGTGAATTCGTATGGACCTGCCAAGGATGAGAAGTATCGTTCGTCAAGCTGGATTATTATTGAAATTAGCAACCTCGTACCTAAGCTTCAGTATTTTTTGGTTGGGATTACCTTTGACAAGACAATGACCGCAAGACCCTCCTCCTGGACAGTGATGACGAACTTGGTTTTGTGATAACCAGCAACCCATGCGATTGGGAGGCTTGTCCACTGCTGAGCAACCGTCCACCTTGCGTCGAATAAACGGGTTCGATAAATTCGCTGGAAGTTTTGGAGCATATCATCAAGCGTCATCCACCACACGCCATCATCGCCGAATTCATGGCGAAGCTTTTTCAGCATTTCTCCAGTCCACTCTTTGGACCCGTCGGACCAGGGGCCATGCCATTCTCCTTCACCGCGGCTCGTTTCGCCCCATGGGTTTCTGGTGATGGAATTAGTTTCGGAGCATCTCGCAGGCTGAGTGGGGGGAGCGCTTCTTCTGCAAGAATACCACTTGGAGGGGGATGTTTACCTGATCTTGACAAGCTTAATCTTGTTTTCCTTCTCGTCAGTAACCTCAACCGCACGGATGATTGAATATGCATGACCGAGAACAATGCCGTTCTGATCTCCGACCCATGGACTATACGAAGGGGAAAGGCCAAATACGAACTCGCCATCGTCTTGGTCGGCCTGAAGCAGCTCGCGCCAGAGCTTTTCCTTGCGTAGGATGGAGGTAGTGAGGACCATACTTGAGACACCGCCTGTCATATCTTCAACACCGCCTCCAACGCAACCGCCGACAAGAGCTTCATAATCGCCATGAACCTTTGCAAACTATAACAGAGGGAAAATAATGTGTGAGTTTCGATACCATGGTGGAAATGGAGCAGAGGTAGTTTAGGTTCTAGATGGGTGATACTTACGGCTTTCTCGAGCAGAGGCAACCATGTCTCGTTCTCGTCAGCGCACGATGCGAATGAGAGAGCCTCGGACCCTGTCTGCTTGTTCTTCTTCCACTGCTTGGCCTTCTTTCCGGTAACGTCATATACCTCCTCGTCCTTACCATAGTCTCTTTCCTCCAGATACAGGTTGTCATCGATAATCGTAGGGACCCACTCCCCATCTTTGAAAAATACAAAGCCATAGACGCCACATTCCTCATCACGAGCCACACAGATCTTCTTCATCAAGTCTTTACGGTGGGCTATATTGCCTATTGCAGCAACCCACCAGCAATTACCGAGATAGCCCTGCTTGATATCAGATCCAGAGAAACCGTCTACGGTAAACTGAGGATTGTCGAAGATCCAAGACACACGATGAACAGAGCCTGGCTCATAGTAAAAGTCATCGGACCTCACCAAGCCACGAAGGCAGTGATGCGTCCGCAAGTAGTGGTCACTCTCGATCTCGAACTCCTGGTCAATGAACTTGGAATTCGTGCTCTCGCAGCGAGCGACAGCCTTCCTGACCATTTCAAGGCACTTGGACCGAGCAATCTCATAGCTCTGGGCAGCATTACGCACGCCGATAGAGGGAGGTGCGAGATTCGGGGCTACTGTCTTGTAGAGATCTCGAGGAAAGATGGAAGTGATCTTGCCGGGATTCTTGTGGTGGAACTTTTGCCAGAATTTTGAGATGAGCGCCTGGGGGTGCTCCTTGGCAGACCTCTTGGGGGGTGTTATTGGTGTTGGTGTTGCTTCTTCAGACATGATTGCTATCAACTGTAAAGACTGAAGGGGAGAATATGGATGATCTGATATGGAAGAAATTGCACGCCGTGCTCTGTTCAGATTCGGGGCTGGGGCAGAGAGCAGACAGCATTACATTTATAGATTGGGGTGCCAAGGACAAGCAAGTCTGGTCTGGAAGAGTCGTCGTGGCCAAGACGGAATCCGAATGATGGCCAAGAGATCACCAACAATTTTCAAGCTATCGAAGCCGAACCCCTTGCCCTTGACTGCCGAATCTAGTGGTCCTATCACACCACGAAAAGGGTAACATTCGTAGTCGGTTGCCTCGTTGGTTGTTCGCGAACAACGGCATCGAGTATGAGCCAATGGCCATCCACCATATCCTCCACAATGCTCAAAGCTTGACGCGTGCGGCTGACCATTGGCGCCTTTTTCTTACGGCCTATTCACTCAGTTGGCGCTTACTCTGACCATAGGTGCATATACCTGCAGCTGGCCACCGCCTCCTGCTCCAAGCCCAGTCCAAAAGAGGCATCAAGATACTGATCCAAGGTTTTATCGGAGGGGTTGTGCCGGGAGTCACTTTTCCATTTTCCGGGGCTAATCACTGCTTGAAGATCTAGCAATACCACTGGAAAGCCGTCAGCAATCGTGGCATCAATCAGAGCCTTCAATAAGAATCCACACATTATGATCTGAAATGGGAATGTCATCAAGAGCGGAGAATGTTACATTGGCTTACCCTTTGCCCTGCCGCAACATCCTGCTGAATAGAGGACCAACTGCCATTGTCCGGGACAACATCAGACGCTGCAACAAGTGGCTAACAAATTGCTCCCTATTGTGAGCCGCGGTTCGCCCCCTTGATTATGCACATATTTGTTTCAGCCCAGACGCTTATCCCGCCTCAGATTATTGACTCCATGTAAGCTTGAGCAGCACTAAATTTGAATCCCAGCCACTTGATAAACGCAATACGCATTGCCGCCAGCCCTAAGTCAACCCGCCGACCTGTTGTGAATGGTCCGCTGTCCCTCTGTCTCTCCTGTCCAGCCCCTCATTGCTTTGCCACGTCAGTTTTTGTATTTTATGGGAGAAAATTAAAGAGAAAAACAAAACAGAAAAAAAAAAATACTGTGCATGAATTGCTTTCCACTTCAAGACGCAGTCACATCATTGTCACGTTGGAAATAAATGAGAAATGTTGTCAGAAATTCTTGGTAGATATATACTCAGCTAATGATGGTGGGCAAACACGAGCAGGAACAGTTAGAAACACGGTATTTGTTTGAATGGAATGGGCAACTTTGATGGTATGCGGCTATCTCAGACATGGACCATATTACCTAGGTAATGTGAAGCTACTTTTCTGTAACATGGGTTCAACTCCGCTTCATCAATGAAACGCCACAATAGAGGCAGATTGATTAAGAAGAATTCGAGCAAATTGAAGCACAGGAAAGAAATGGAAGACACGCATCTCTTTAGGTACGACTCCCGATTTAAACCGTTCGCACGGAGCAATGTGAGTACGTCTTCGCATAGCGCATCATAGAGTTTGAACTTATCCTTTTAGTTTTGATGCCGGCCTCAAGAACCACACAAGACCTGGCAAGCCCTGAACATTATACAATAATGTGAATTTCTAAGAATTGGTATGTATAAAGCCTTATAGCGAAACCAAGAACAGTGTCTCCAACATCTCAATATGGGCTTCAATCTAGGAAGTGAAGCACGACCCATCTTAACCATGCTTAAGATTTAACACAATAACATCCAGCAACTACAGGTTCTATAGCCAAAGATCGAGCTCCCCGTACAGATCGATGAAACGAGCGAAACCAGTAGAAGATCGTCTGACTACATCTCATTGTAGGTTAGGCTCATCGAGGGGGATTCGTATTTGTGCCAGCTGGATCGCAGCAGCAGTTCCGTGGCGTCCGTGGAACTCATTTTTGCAACAAAACAGGCGGAGTTGGCGGATTTTTGCGGACTTTAAGGCTTTCCGTTTCAAATATTAAGTAACTCATAAGTGTATAAGTTAAACCGGTTTGGCCATCTGAGTTCCTAATAAATTTCCTTGAATTGTACCACACCGCTCCAGTTCACGAGACCCAACAGTTCGCAACGCAACCATGGCTCGCTCTATTCTTATCGCGGGTGCGACCGGAAATACAGGACAGAGTGCGGTGGAAACCTTATCTCGCCTTTTAAGTTCTAAGCCTTCATTTTCTGACTATATAATCATTGCGCTCACGCGGTCCAAGGATGGCGCTACTGCACAACGTCTTGCTAAGCTTCCTTTCGTCCAACTCGAAGAAAAGAGTTGGGTTGAGATCACACCCGAATGGCTTCAAGAGCACAATGTGGAAAGGGCTTTTATTGCACCACATCTTCAGACCAATCAGTTTGCAGAGGAATCTACCTTCCACCTCGCCCTCCTTCACGCAAACGTGAAATACGTGGTGCGAATCTCGACTGCTCATCCGGCAGTTCGTCCGGACAGCAAATCCTACTACCAGAGGGCACACTGGGCGATCGAAGCGCTGCTCAGCTCTCCAGAATACGAGAAGTTGCAATTCACTTCTTTACAGCCCAACGCCTTTGGGCCCACCTATCTGTATTCAGCAGCTCAATTCGTCAAGGACTTCCGAGGCACAGGGAAGCAAGGCAACTTGAGTCTTATGGCCCCGAAGGATTTTCCTGTGGCAATTATTCATCCGCCTGAAATTGGAGTTGTTGCTGCTCATCTTTTGACCGAAGAAGACACGACAAAGCACAACAAAGCCAAATATATACTGAACGGACCTGAGGGCGTGACTGGACAACAGATTGTCCAAATGGTTGAACAGGCTATTGGAACAAGCGTTGAAAAGGTCATATACAAAGATATGTCATCTGTCGATTCGTTATTGGAGGGACTTCAAAACGAGTCTCCGAATGTTATTTCGTCTCTCAGGTATGCTCTGGAGGCGAGTTGGGAAGGGAAATCATCTGGCTCTACTAGTCCAGAAATCCTCGATATGGGAGTGATCAAGCATACACCTGCTGAAATGTTTAACTCCTTGATTAATTGAGGACTTCCAGGAGAGCCTTTTCTAGCTACGGACTGAGGAAGAACAATATGTCGCGGTGACTTTATCCGAGAATGGTAAATACAAATTACTTTATCAGCCCTCAGTTGGTTCACGAAACCAATTAACAAGTTGATCTCCTACGATACGCCATGCGCTATGCTCTGCCTGTACACAACACTAAGCAAGCCATTGTTAACCATTGAAGCGAAATATGTATTAATAGGGCTCGTGACGAATCATTATAACGCCCTTTGTCATAATTCTCTATTCTTGGTCAGCATGAATATCGATAACCCCTTCTAATGTGATCGTCCCCCGCGCATGACTACCCATGTCTTTATGCGAGAGTATACAGTGCTTTTCTCTATATCTCTAATAGAAAGATTTGGAATTTTTCACCAAAATAGTCAGTGAAGGTTACGAAATAGAGTTTATATCAAAAGGCAAGGTGATGTGTAGATATATTGAATGATCCTGCAGCAATGTACGTGCAAGTTGACGAAATCAGTAGGAAATCCCGCACCAAAGTACCCGATTTCAATCACCGAATTAGCAAGTCCTTATGAATACTTTACTGATGACTCGATTACCAATCACTAAGGGGTCTCGAAATCCCGGCCGCACTGTTCTGCGATTTTCGGCAATTTATATACTCGAGATGACAAATGGCGATGACCATTCTTTAGAGAGAAAGCACGAATCTTCGTCTACCGAAACACTTGAACAGGATTTTTTACTTTTCGGATTTTTACGAACAATAGTCTTTGTTTCGTGAAAGTGCTTTAAACCAGTATTATCTCAACACACGACCAAATTTATTTCCATATGCTCCACTTGGTTGCTTGATTTCATTAAACTAAACAAACGATGTCTTTTCAGCGAGCATTACTCGTAAAAGAAATCGGGAAACCCGTGGAACTAGTCCATAGCCATCCCATTCCTCTTCCAGGCCCTGGGCAGGTCCAAGTGCGAGTCTCTGTCGCAGGTCTTAACCCTCATGATCAACGAGTTCGGGACCTTGGCCACTATATCTCTCCTCCGGCTGTACTTACCAATGATGTAGTGGGCAAGGTCACCAAACTAGGCGATGGTGTGACGGAGTTGACCGTGGGCGATCGCATCGCCTACCAAGCACAGTTCACGAGGGAGCAAAGCCAGACCGGACTTCAGGAATATGCCATCGCAGATGTTCTAGCAGCAACAAAAATCCCACCATCGATTCCAGATGATCAAGCCGCTACGCTTCCCTCCAACATCTTTGCCCCTCTAGTTGCCATCTTTGATACGTTCGAAATTCCTGCTCCATGGACGCCGGGCAGCAAAGATTTCGACTACAATGGGACAACGATTCTCATCGTTGGAGGCGGAACCAACTGTGGGAAGTTCGCCGTCCAGCTAGCCAAACTGGTCGGAATTGGCCGAATCATTGCCGTCGGGGGACCAGCAGATGAGTTGTTCTCATATGGAGCTACACATGTGCTGGATCGGCATGGCGGATACGATGCTGTGATGTCCAGGATCAAAGAAATTGTCGGCGACGATCTGCTATATGCATGTGACACAATCAACCCGCCTGAGGATCAGATACTCGCACTCAACGCTCTTTCCATCTCCAAGAAGGGGATTCTGGCGACCCTCCTCCCCCGTGGAGAGGCAAATGATCCGAGGATAACCGAGAAAAAGGCAGGCTTTGTGTGGCATAAAGTTATTGGAAGCTCCCATGCGAAACCAGCTTTGGCGGTCGAATTCTGGAAGCGGCTCCCTCAATATCTTGAGCACGGGCGAATCAAACCTCTGAAATTCACTGTTAAGCAGGGTCTAGAGGCGGCATATGTAAATGAAGCTTTGGATGCCTATCGTGATGGGAAGTCGGCCACAAGGTTGCATATACATATATAACCGAAACAGGGCGAGGGATGATAAGACGAATAACTCCAACTGGTACCTTGGCCTTTCCCTACTCGATCATCAAGCCTGGGCAGGACTTTAAGCTATATTCTATATTATAATAAGTCCTCAGCTAGCCCGTAAGGTATTTCACATAAGTTCTAATTCGAAGCGATCATTCAGAGTAGGTTCTTGACTGGTCATCGACTCCAACATTTGTGATGAGAGGTCGTTTTCGCTCTGTGGCCATAACGGCATTGAGACATCTTGGAGTTGCCGTCCATTATTCATACTGTCATCAGTGTATGTGCTGATATCTGGAGGGTCCAACGGATTTTCCAGGGTGCTATATGTCAAGTCTTGAAAGGCCAGATCTCCTGCTCCGCCCAACGGCAGCCTTCCTACTTGGAGAGGACTAGTGATGGGTTGCCTTATCATGGCGATTTTCACGCTCATGAAAACGCTCGGGCAGTATCCTAGGTCAACTTCTGTAATTTGCCCAGTATCAGGCAAATGGAGGATGGAACTCAATCCGTAACGTTCCGCATCCCGGTAGACCTGAAGTAAGAGAGCTCGTGTGATCTTATGGTCGTTACCGGTGGTTTCCATGGACCGGAGAATCGTCTCAAAGTTAGCCAACTCATTTGCAGATAATCCTTCGACCGGATTATCCCTGGCAAAGTAGATGTACACGCTTGCTGCGCAGTACAGTGATAGAGCGCATAGCACAGATTTCTTACAGCAACATTAGCTGCGGACCATTTTAAGAGAGAAGTGAACATACATATATAGATGAATTGGGAGAAATAGCCTTTACTATTTCCACAATCTCTTCCGCACTGATTCGCATCCTACCCAAGCTTTGTTGTTTGGTAGCTTCAGAGTGACTATGCTTATCCACCATCTGAACGGCCGCATAGTGAAGGCAAATTGTTGTGGCGTGCAAGTTTAGGTTGGTATGGGCTGCGACAGGGTCACTTTTATAATCCGGCGACTGAAACCGTTCCGGTAGAAACATGAAGGTGCTCGAAATTTTATGGTCGAGGTCTTTGTGACGCTTCCAGAATGCTGCGCCATAAGAGTGGCGAGAGGTATGGTTTAGAGTAATTTTGAAGATATGACAGATGACAAGTGTGGTAGCAAAAGCAGAGTGGAAGGCCCCCGTGAAGACTTCATCGAGAAATGGAGCATCTTCTTTATGTCCAAACAAAAACGCATCTTCTGATGCAGGCAGCCGTGTCATAAGCTGTTCCTGTATAAGTATTAGATAACCGGGAGATGGAATATATCAGGGCTCACGTCATTGGTGTATATCAAACTAGCCCATCCCGTGGATATGCTAGCATGCGAATCAATAGCAAAGGCACCCCAGAACGCTCTCCGTTGCTGCTCCATCTCGATCCAGCCTATCGAGGACACTGTGATTGATGCTGGCGAAACGTCTGGATCGTCAACTCGATCAAAACCTAGAGAGTGCACGAGGCTAACGGACTTGGCCGAGTTCATGGATGCTCTTGTAAAAAGCATGCATTTTGCTTCAAATCCGGCCATGATGATATATGCCTGTAAATGACGGAGGGCCAAATGATCTCCATCGCCCTTGCAAGGGTCAGCAAGGGAGCCTTGAGGGGTGTGTGGTGTCTCCCAGTTACCTGCATCTCATCCGCGTTGGCATATTGTCGCGCCCGCTTGTAAAAAGCATCTGCATAGAAGTCGTATTTCTCATTTCCTTTTGATGCCATAGCCCAAACAATGTACTGCAAGCACATCGGTGGCCGTTTGTTAGGCGGCCCATGTATGGCTTGTAGATACAGCGTAGGATGCAGTATCGGCATTGAATGGTGCTGATTCCGGAAATAGATGTCGTGCCTATAGAAACTCAGTACCAATTCATATCCTTATAAGCATGCGAGGAGCCACACAGTTCTTCCATTACTTCGAAGGGGGGCAACGGCTCTGATACTCCAAGGTCTATTAGTTGGCCATCCGAGACCCAATCGTAGCCAGACCCGGAGTTGGGCAGCTCATATTCCGGTGCGTCGATTGCGGTGCTCATCTCTTTGGGCTGAGGGTCAGGCGCGGGTTTGGTGCCCGTAGTGCCCCGAATTTTTTCACCATTGACTATATGTAGATTTAGTTGCTCTTCAAGCCGAGCTGTCAAAGAATGTGAGCTTCTGTACTGTAAACGTTTAGAAAGTTGAAGCCATTCGTTCACCTAGCTGTTCCTCCATTTCTTTCACATTCGCCCTCTTGTAAATGCGCTTCCTCCTCGACTCAGGATAAACACAATCGTTATCGACGTTAGAGCATCGAACGCATGCTGGCATAGTACGATCGCACTTTAGCTTTCGGGCCCGGCATGAAACACACGACAGCCGTGAGAGGTCTGTCTCCATTGGCCTTGACCCTCGGCTTTCAGGCATGATGTCCGGTTCGATCAGTCGCTTTTCTCACACCGCTCAGAGCAGCGGTGAAACAGCCGGAATAAAATCTTGTTATGATCACAAGGGCTGCTAGGTACGCCGGATACGAGTATTTAAGTTGAAAGAGCAGACTTGAACCAAATGCTTGATGGGGCTTTGCTTTGTTGCAATGTTATTGGTTCGGACTTTACTCTTGTATTCTTGTCCGAGCTGACACACGCCACAGACAAGGCCGAGTGCCGAGCTCAACTCCCGCACATACATATACGTCCTACCCTAGAGCCAGGGAAGGGATGCTTGGTGGTATGGAAGACTCTCCAAGACCCTCTGTGGGTCCATCAGTTGAATCAGACATTGCGAGTGGTCTCGATGGACTTAGAGATGCTGCTACTGAAAAAATCGAAATAGGGCACGAGGGTAGTGGTTAAGAACGAATTGTGGGATATGGAATCGACTGGAGCAGTTTGATTTAGTCAAGCTGCCCTGGCGATGGCGGCCATTAAGTACCTAGGACAAAAGCAAGATTTTAAGGTTTAGAAAGGTAGTAAGTGGCTGAAATAAAACACACCAAAGCCTCCATACAGCCTCAGATTTCGACACAATATCAAAACAATTAACCCAGTTATTAATATAATATCAAGTTAAATAATATAGAATAATTTATTATTTTACTGGTATTGTTTGAAATATCATTAATAAGAGAATGAGGTCTCTAGCTTATATGAAAAAAGCTCTGATGTGCCATGTTCTATCTCAGCCGCTTGGCCAGGCACAAGCCAGTATTAGCAATAAACCTTGTGTGTAGGGCCGGGCAAAAAGGCTGAACTATGATACGTTATATGTAAGAAAGATTACGTCGTTAGACCCAAAGTCAAAACCTAACTCTTATTTTGTTCTAGGAGAACAATCTTCCTGAGATAGCAATTCTATACTGCTGGAATACGGGCTTGGGCCCAAGAGGTGAACGGAAAACCTACTCCGTTAAACCCCAATCCTGCGCTTAGACATGATTGCAATCTCAATCCTGGGATATACGGCTTGAAAGGCTAGTTGCTTACGCTTATGCAAGTACTAGATCACGGATACAATTAAACAAACATAACGATCCTGAATACAATCCTCCACCCTATCTCAATCTGGGAGAAGCAAGCTGGTCTCACCCATCTAACAGCTCCACATACTTGATTGAGGCTTCTACTCTACTTAATGAGCGCATCCAATTACCCTTCACAGATACGCCTCTAGCTATGGGCACTCGCACCAAGATCCTAAACTGTAACCAACTCTCCTCTTCCAAACACTTGCACATTGTGTTATTCTAAACACCGGGATATTATTCACCTTCGAGTCTTTCCCCAGAGAGTCCATTGCTCCCCAACGGTGTCACCATATTTACTGGATACATTACACAGGATCAGGAAGAGTGCCATAGTTCTAGCTACAGGGAACATCATGCGAGTGCCTATATTTAAGCTGACATCACATGTGACTGGGAACTGAAGTCCGGTTCCGCCTCGAGGCAATGTAAGAATTCTATTCTCCTTGAGCCCAATAACGCAGGAAAGCTTATCGCTACACTAGACAATGCCTCGAACAAGAACCATCCTGGTCACAAATACTGCATCTCAACTGAATGAAGAGCTATTAATACTGGCTTGAAACCATGGTCCCTTTCCCCCTAAAGCAAATGGATTCTAAATAACGGTTGCAGTCCGTCTATTGCGGCGCCTGCATGGACGGCTCGATGTTGGCAGAGGAGTAGCCGAAGTGCTTGTTGGTGTCAGAGATTCCGGTTGGGATGTGACGGTTCCAGAGGGAACTGTGGAACTTGGGGTAGTGACTGTGGCAAGCGTCGTGGGCGTCGGGGTAGTCGTGTCAGATGGGGTCGGGGTGGAAGACACGGTATCGGTAGCTGATGGTGTGGTTGAAACTGAAGGGGTCGCGGAGTCAGAGGGGGTCGCGGAATCCGAAGGGGTCGTGGAGGCGATGGTTGTTGAGTCAGCTGGAGTTGTTGTCGCTGAAAGGACAGTTGAAGTCGCGGATGGGGTGGTAGGCTCTGGGGTTGACACAGGCGACGTGGTGGAGGAAACTGTAGATACTGGCGTCGATGATGGGCAGGCGGGAGCATCCATGCTGAACTTGGCATTGTCGATGTATAGAGTGAATGGGCCTGGTATAGGCGTCGAGCTCTGAGTCGAGTATCTGCAGTACCCGGTAATCACAATATCCTCCACTAAATTTGGCGGAATAAAGGAGCCACTGTAGGTTGCAAAGGCCGATGGAGTAGAGCTTGGAGCGAAGGCCACAGTCTTGTCGAAAATATAGTTGTAGGTTTGGCAGTGATAGGCTTGGAGGGTGCAAATAAGAGGGCCAGCATAAGGAGGATATGCCGCGGCTGCGATGTCGACGGAGAATGTGTAGGACTTGCTCCGATCAAGCGTTCCGCCACCCGCGGACTGGCGAACAGACCATGTTGAATACACCGAGGGGGAAATTGAGCTACATGATGTTTGCATCATCGAGTTAGCCATGATTCTGTTGCTCTGGTAGTTGGCATCACGACATGACTTACAGGGACTGAGCACCGTCGCTGCTAACACCGCTCGCTATCTGGGGTGAGACATTGTTGCTGTACGTCCAGCCGATAGTCCCCAACTCCCAGGAGGGATTGACTAATAGATTTGGCTGAGGGCCGCACACGGCTTGTTGACGTGGGACAATGCTTGCCGCCTGTCCCAGCGTTGGCAGCAAAAGCAAGCTGCCGAGGAAAAGAGTGTTCAGCATGGCGAAGAAGGCGCGAGCTGGCAGTCTTAGAAATATCAAGAAGCAAGACAAGGTTGACTGCAAATGAAGGAGCGTGAGTGAATCACAAGATTAGTAGCCTAATGAGTCGGCGTATGGCAATATTAGTTACAAGTAGTGAAAGAGTGTGAAGACGGCGTTGTGCCTGCGTAAAACGAATGTTGGAAAAGACAACCACGCTCAGCCCATTGCAGGAAGGGTGGGAAGGATAAGGAGGAAAATAAAGGGAACAAGCAGTAGCGGATCCAGCACTAGTGACATATCTTGTTCAACCTGATGAAGATATTGGTGAAAGGTTGAGCCCACTTAGACCATCGGCCCATCTAGCTGCATTAGCTAAGGGGTCGATCTCAATAAGCTACCAAGTCCAAGCAGACTATTGAATTTTTAAAATTGCCCATTCATTAGCGTGATCTCTCCATTCTAGATAGGCTCCCTCCCTAACTTGCGATCGGAGATTGGGACGCATTGGTAGGTGACGATCGTCGATTACCAACTTTTAGACCACGCGTACAAGATAAAGGCCATATACAACTATAAATGGCGTCATGTATTTGCTTGTCATTACCGAGCCACAGTTCTCCTCCTTGTGCTCTTGTCCTTATGATAGAGTGTACACTTGGCCGGAAAGGTCAGGGCATCCAAGCTACAAGAACTTGATGTCTCTTGGTCATTCAGTGGGAAACCGTAAATCTTTTCTACTCTACTCTATTGTAGCTAAATTTTCTCCAACTTAAAACACCAAGGTACTGTAGCGACTTCTACCTTGCTGGTCATTCTCTCAGATCAGGGTCAAAATGACTCAAGAGGCAGAAGGTGATTTGTTGCCAACAAATAAAACATGTCAAAAGTAACATTGTTTTTCTTCTTGAGCGATAGAAGATAAGTAATCTTGATTAAAAACTGAAGCTTGCGCCCATCGAGATTAACTCGACGAGCCAATTAAAAAGTGCTCCCAGATCTACCGCTTGACATTAAAAGCCAGACACTCGCGATGGAGGAAATGGTCCGTTGGAGATAACATGACTGGATCGATCGAGATGAACTGCCCGGCTCATCAAGGGAATGTAAGTCGTGACCACTATTAGATCCTATTTGAGTGATACTCGAGTTTATTCCCACTGACCTGCTATTCTCATATACCGGTGTACCTCGAGAGATGAGTCAATCAGCTGAATTTAGCAGGGAGTGCTTTCATGTGTCCTCCTTACTAACTCTTTTCAGATTAGAAAATCGCAGCCATAACTCGGTCCAGTTAAACTCATTCTAGCTTCATCATAACGCGGATGATTTAATTATTTCTCAGCTAGAAATAGAGACATGCTTCACCTTCTCATTTTCCATTAATTGTCTCCTTCAAAGGCCAACTCTTCCTCTCACTGAATGCTACATTGAGAGCTCGAACACTCTAGAGGTCACGTCACCTGAGGAACCTTCGGAGGCCTGCACAAAAACCCCGGGATTAATGAAACATACCATCTTAGTATTATAATCTCTTGAGTTCGGTTAAGCCTCTATCTCCTATCACTCTAAAGGATTAGGTTTGCAATTTAGAACGTTGAAACTCGTGCTAGTCCACAGCACAGCTGATATGTCCTAGGCTCCTTCTGTCTACCGTTTGTATGATGGATACTCCTGTCCCATATCTACCGGCGCAGCCATTGATGTCAATTCCTGCTCACTTTGCTCAGTATCCTTAATCAACTCCCATTTGTAATCTCCAGTCTTGACCAGCTGCACAGAATCCTGGTCGGCCTTCTCCTCGAGCTGCTGCAGAGAGTGGTAGCCCGCCTGTAACTGCGACTCGGGGCTGGCATAAAGCGCCGGCAGCAGCGAACTCTTCCATAGCGGCTCCTGGTGGCGACGGAGCACCGAGCGGATGACCGTGTGCAGCAGGAACAAGGCGGTGGCCACGAGGAGCAACAGCGGGAAGATGAGCCACTCGCCGTGGAACTCGGTGCAGACGCCGTACTCGAGAACGTTGCCGTAGACATACCCACCCTGGACGAACCCACCTTGGGTCTGGGATTCCTGTGATTTTTCATAGGTAGGGCTGCCTGCGTCGCCGGTGAAGTTGGACAGCACAGCCATCTGGCGCATGCGGTTCGTGACTGCGTTGGCAACGGCTTGGAAAGTGTTCGAGACTGCCGAAGAAGAGCCCAATCCATCCCCGAGCAGGCCGGAAAGGTAGTAGTCGTCGCACTGGATCTGCTCCCTTCGGCCTTTGACGCTGCCAAGGGCGGCTTGAGAAGGATAGCGGCATGTTCCGTTCAGCAACTGCATCGACTTTTGGAGGGCTCTCCAGCTTGGCCACGAGACGGACTCAAGACAGTCCGTCGTGTTGGGGAATGTGCGACCCACGGTGTCTTCGTCATTTAACCGCACGTCGATGATACCGTCTTTGTAATCCACAGTCCTCGCTTTCGTCAGGTCAATCGTCTCGTCGCCGACCTTGCACTTGTCTTTCCAGAAGTAGACGTGATCGAGAGACCCCTCAGGCTCCATGTGGAAACCCGGAGAAGAAGAGACCAGTTGTTCCTTGAAGACGCCACGGTCGACCGAGATGCTATGGTGTCTCATGCACATGTAGAACGTGCAACCCGAAGAGAAGACGTTCATTGGCGGATCCCTGCCCCCAGCCTTCCATGTGAAATCTAGCGCGGCTGGAGGAGTACATCCGGTGATGATACTTGATTCGTTGGCGTATGAACAGCCGGCAGAGGTCGTACCAACAACTGTGTAGTTGAGAATGGATGCTGGGAAGAGGGCTCGTTGCATGTCATCGAAGTCAGACTGGGCATAGCTGAGAGAGCTGATGCGTGATTCCAAGCCAGTGATCTGGTAGTTTCCCGTCATATTGATAAGGTTGGGGATCGTAACAATATCGTAAGTGCTGATGTCGTCTTCTTTCTTCTGAAGGTACTTGGTGGTATCCATGCACTTAGAACACACTCCGAGTGTCGATAAAGAGTAGTCATCTTGCTGGGTCGGTATGAATGTGCAGTTTCCTGTGGAGCAGCCTTCGACGAGGAATGTCGAGTTCTGAGTGGATGGATCCATGCAAGCACTGGCCATTCTACCGGCATAACCGGGTTCGATATCGTACTGTCCTGCTGCGAATCGAAAGAACTCGGGTCCTCGAGTGGTATAAGGCACCTGAGCTTTGACACCATTCTGCCAAATTTCGCAGGTCTTGGTTCCCACTGCCTGCTGACTGAATGGCCCGATGGCCAAGGATAAGATCATGATGAGACATCCGATGTACATGTTGGAACTATGACACGTGTGTGGGTGTTTGCTCGGATAGAAGATGTTTAAGAAGCATGGAGAATACTTACAACCATGTACGCAGGCGAAACGGAAGCAAAAAGGAGCCCAGAAGCGACTTGCTTGCCTCGTCGATCGAGTTGAGTTGGCCTACCGGTCGGCGGCGAAGCTGCCACAACCATTTATGTTGACTGATGACTGCTGAATTCTTAGCGGGTTGTGCCAATGCAAAGCCAAACCTGGCAATGAGTGCACTGACCTTCTTCCACAACGAGGAGAACCAAGGCTCTCAGGATCGCTGAAAGTAGGGCGACGAAAGAGTTCAGACTGAGTCCCGAGACGGTCCAGTAGTTGCTTCTTTGGTCCCTGTTCTTTTCAAGAACACCAAATATGGCCGCCAACAACCCGCATGCCACCAGAAAGGCGAAAAACTCTTGCCACCATTGTCCGAGGATGGACCATACACTTCGTGGGCCCAAGTTGGGGGCTTGGTTCTGATTGGGACTGCCTTCGATATTGTAGACGTCGTTCCGGTCAATGTCTGTCTCTGAACTTACACCGCTCCCATTTTGAGCGTCGTGACGCCGTGATGACGAATTCATGGTCCAGGAGTCAAGGAAAAGAAGAACGTGTCACTGAGATGAGGTTCCAAGATATTGAGGAAGAAAGACGAAGGAGAAAACTCACGCTCGAACAGCGGAATATTATTATATCAAGCAAGTGAGATGTGAGAGAAACGGGAAAGAGGTTTAAATTAAGCAAATAAGCAAACGAAGTAAGCTTGGTTTTGATCGGATGCCTCTTTTCAGATACTCGTCTTCGCTCCATAATATCCATCCTTGCGGCCTCAGCAGGGAGCGGAGTTTTGGTAGGCTCCGGCAGTTCAGTCAGCCAATTGCGAGATTGGAGTTGTCGCCAAGACCATGCCCTCCCTGGCTTTTGAATAATCCTTCTGTCAGCGGCATCTTCTACCGTCCAGCGGCATTTGAAACTAACCAGGGTTTTGCTGGGTCTTACCCAGTTAGAATAGGCATTTACCCAGCACGGGGCAGCAATTCTAACACAGAGTGAGTTAGATTACCAACCCAATGAGCCAGGTTTTTTTTTTTTTGGCGTCCTTGATTGTGGGGGCGAGTTCTTTAATTCGGTGCTTGAATCTTCCCCAGTGTCTTGAACTCCTCCGGCGTCTTCACTCATCGACCATCACCCCAATGATGTAGAGCCCAGTTGATAAGGTCAAGCTAGTCAGTTATATCTGGCTCATCCTTGGGATAGCCCAGTGGATGTCACCAGATGGTTTTGTAACACGTGTCTAGAGTTCACTGTCCTGGAAGCTAAATATAGCTTGCTGCAATGTCCCACACCCCCAAATTCCGCCATCTATACCTCGTGGAGGGTTTGGACCGGCCAGAGCGGATGCGGACTAAGTTGGGGGTAGCCTACATGGTATTTGATGAATCATATAACCTCTTTGAGAAGGCATTGCGGTAGCCCTGGCATAATGCATAGGGCAGAACTCTGACAACTCCGCGTATTTCCCGGGGTTCGGGGCCAGGAAGCCCCTGACTCACCGCCACAGTGTCCTTTGCCTCACCTTATCCTCACACTTTGCCGGTAGGTTATACTAGTCACATGCCTTATGCCGTGGACGCTGATTGTAAAAAACTAAGCATGGCGTACGCGCGGACCAGTAACAAGAGATGATGCGTGCCCACACTATTGGACCAGCTCTGAGAAGCTTAAATGAAGTGGATTTATGTGGTGCTAAGACGTATTATGGTATATTTGGTATTAAACGCTCATTGGCTCTGTAACTTGGTAATCGATCTCTATATAAGCAAAGATTGGTAATATCTATCTTACATTGCCCTTTTCATTTTGGCATCGTCTGCTCCCCCGTCATTATATCAGTATATTTCTGAATGTAACCCGCCAATACGGGCTTTTCCAACCCGAGTGTATGTAAGCTCTCGTCAATATCCATCACCCAGTCCACGATACGTTTCTTCTCCTCCGCAGAGGCTGCATCTAACGAGACATGGATACCCCCGATGAAGTTGACTGCAATCAGTGGCTCCATGGCGCGTAGGTAGGTCTCGAACATCCAGATTTGCACGCTAACCTTCCTATATTCTGCGCATACCACCTCATCCACACGAGCGTATAGATTATCCAGCTGGCGAATCATGAGAAGGAGAAGAGCCCTTAACATGAGTGCGGCCATGAACATCTGCGCCAAGCTATCAGACTTGAAGAGATACTTCTTGCCCACGAACGCCTTGGGCTCTTTCGTCTCAGCAATGGCCCCGCTCGCAAGTCCATCCTCGGTCAGGGGAATGACCACATCTCGCACTGTAGCTTCAATGGAAGAAAGCTTCTCCCTGAAAGATGCAGCGACGGCCATCATCTCGTCGCTTAGCGGATCTTGTCGGATCCGGACTTTCTCTGCTACCCAGTCGGGCCACTCGCCATACACACGGTTGATCAACCTGATCGACTCGTCTGAGAATGGTTCGAGGTTGAGGCTTTTCAGATATACATCCTCGCACTTCTCCATCACATCTTTCCACGGTGGCTGCAGCATGAAGTTTGAGCCGCCTGCTCTTGCCAGATGTCCGAGCTACATTGGAGGAGACGTTAGCTGATGGCCAATATGTTAAGAGAGAATGGAAGGGATATTCATATCACTGACACCTACCAGCATGCCATAGTTCTCGTTGGCTAGACACACGTCGAGCATATCGTCAATATTAGGCGGGCCCTTCTGGGTGATCAAGTTTCTGATCCCCTTCTGGTGGACATCCCAGTGATGCTTAGGTTTCCGGTTGAATATCGCATCAGTCCTCTCCAGAAGCGTCACGGCAGCCAACGTCTCGACAGAAAATGCCTGGGGACCTTCCAGTGCGCGCTGGAGACTCCTGAGCACCTTGCCATACCCGACCGTGTTGACAATCTCCCCACGCGGCTGCTGCCGGCGGAAGCCAGCCCAAGAAGTGCAGAAGAGAGCCACGCTGTCACGCAGACAGGCACTCTCAGACAGCCGCTGGGGGAGATACTTGAGGTAGGTCATCTGCAGGGTTATGCCTCCATCCCTACCCCGCTCCAGGTGGCCCACGAGGCGCTGCGCAACTCTCTCACAGAGAGTCGTCGGCTGCGGTCGAGGGGTGGGATTGACGAGACGGAACGAGCCGTAGCTGCTCCCGTCGCCGTGGACGGCCGAGCGCATCTTGCGGACCTGCAGGGCGAGGGAGCCCGGGTCTTCCCTCTCGCCTGGGATACGCGGCTTGCGCTCACGCTCAACGGGGCGCCTCTGGGCCGGCTGGTTCTCCTGGTGGACAAACTTGAAGCCTGGCGACGATGGCCCGGGGCATGTGACTTTGTGACGCGCGCATGGCGAGCAGGTTGGCCACTTCTCATCGCACTAGAGGTGATTGTGTCAACGCAGGTCCAGGTTGAGGAGCAGTTGAAAGGGCACTCACCTACCTTTACCTTGCGCTTCTTGCAAGTGTCGCATGCTTTTGATCTGGACACGCCGGGCATCGTGTATTTGCTATGGGCGATGTGTGGTGTTGAAAAGGGGGTTGGGCGGCCACGTTGGCACCATGTGAGCGGTGGTCGGTGTTGTTCCTGGCTAGGTAGGATTCTCGGCAATAAAAATAGTCTGGATATTTCATTGAAGAACTAACTATACCGCCTCGAGATGATTAATTGAGGTCTGGGTGGCGCTTAATAATGTGGCAGCGGCAGGCTTGGCAGGGCCGTCATCTTGGTCATTCATCATTCATCATTGATCATGCGGGAGAGAGAAGCTTATCGACGATGACGGATCGGTTAAATGCACTCCAAAGTACCAATACCCGCGGCCACTCCGAGCTGTGCCCGCGGCGGTGGTACTGTAACCCAGCATATGCAGCCGAAATTAGCTCCTAGTGCTTATCTCACATGGCGGCTGGTCACCTCTAACGTTGCACTGCGGCACTGTCCCAGCAGAAGGGAACTCATATTACTTTGGGGCTATATGATACAACATCGGGATAACCGTCTGTAACCCAAGATTAAGATCACCAGTTCCATATGTCAGGAGTAGGATAGTATCAGCATTTGTCATTTTCTAGAACAGAGATGAAGAAGGCAGTTCAAGCTTTGGCGAGTTGACCGGCCCTAGCCTATGCCGAACAGCGTTGCATGGCTGGGGAATAGATATTTAAGTTGATGAGACCACATCAAGTCTCCATAACCAGTTAAAACACTTCCGAAAGAAAAGGGTGCGAAGATCTTAAGTATTCCAAATTATTCTTACTAAACTCTCTCCGTTGGTACTGAACCGCACTACCCGAAAAAGCAAAGATCTATTGTATAAGGCCACCCTCTTCCTTACGCGCCCCTCGACGTCAATGGCTTCTCGAAAGAACTAGTATAATCGGCCACTACGGGCTCCTCTCGCCATATTATACGTACTCGTTCTAGGCTGTTTAAGTATCTGGCAACGATGCTCGCAGGCTCGATGGAAGCCGGTATTCACGATGGAAGGGGTGGCAAATCTGACCGGCATTAATGTAACGCCACGCGGATGTCAGGAATCAACGGGATCTAGCTAGACCGACAAGTTCCATAATCATTTCATAATATAAGCGCCTGCATTGGATAAGTGTTAGATAATAAGTTTATGCACGTATACCACCAGAGGCACCCGCCCCTGTTGCAATACGCCATACCCACCTACCCTTTGAGCTTCTCGCTGTTAACAAACTCCCGAAACATCTTTCGCCGGTGCACATACTAAAAGATCAGAGACAATGGAGAATATTCTGGCAAGAAGTTGCCACTGTATGCCACCTCGATCGTGGATGGGCGCTGATGCCCTTGGAGAAGAACTTAAGTTAGGGGTCTGAAGGCACTTCGGGCGCTTCCAAAGATGGCCAGAGATCTCCTCTGTCAAATCTTACTAATTTCACAGTCAGCTATTCAGCGTGCACTTCATATTGATCATTTTTATTCAAGTATTGTGTCGGGAAAGAACAAGCCAACAGCCCATATAGATAATAGAGAGAAGTCATTTACACTAAGTAGGAAAAACAGGGATCTGACGAGCGGCTCGTCCCGACGGCAAGGGAGTCATCCGTATGAAAGTTTACGGGATCTCCCTTCTGAATGTCGGTAGCCTTGAGCTAGCAGAGCTTATTCGTTTTCTTGGTGTTGAGATGTCGGTCTGGCGTGTTCCATTGCTGTTTTTTATTATGAGTTAAGCTGCTCAAACTCTCACCCGCGCCCATCGCATATATTAAAGGTTAGAAAAAAGATAGATCAAGACCCTGAAGTCATATCTTAGCTTCGTAAGGTTTATTCTGATTCGATAAATAAATAGCTCATATAATTTTTCGCTCAGCATTAAAGTGTTTAAGGGATAAAAGGGTAGAAAGCCTCCTCGTTCAAAGATGGGTATTTCCAAAGAAGATCACAAAAAAAGGGAAAAGGTGTGCGGATTTCTATCTATAATAAGGTATAGCTACTTTATACAAATTATCTTAGCAATACCGCTAGACCCCACCTCAGCATAAGGATGAAGGTCAGTCACGAAGGGCAGAATGCTCGAGATGTCCAAACCACCGTTCACCCGAGTCTTGGCGAATTTGGTTTCCCAATACAGACGGCTCTACACCCACTAAGTAGCACTAAACCCTCTCTAAATCCAGCTGCTTGGTGTTTTGAGGTAGTAGTCGCAGTCTTGGCGGGTTTGGCTGCCGTTTCCGGTTTAGCTGAACCTCTCTTGCAGCACGTAGCGATGGTGTCATTGTCATCCCCGCAAATGGCATATTGGCATATATAACCCGTCTCATCCCATCTGAAAGGACAAGCATTGAGCAAGTATATTTCTACTTCTCTAGACAAGCGAGATCAATATTATTTTACTGTGTCCACGATGGCCGCCACAGCAAAGTCCTTCCGGGAAAATCTCGGCGTCCCGCCCTCGAAGCCCTCCACAAGCGACAGCGTCCTCGTCATCATCGACGCCCAGAACGAGTACGCCTCGGGCCTCCTCAAGACAGAAAACGTCGAGTCAACTCGAGCTGCCATCAAGGCCCTCCTAGACAAATACCGTGCGGCCGGTGCGCCAGTCGTCCACGTGATCCATGATACTCCCACCGGCGCTCCGGTCTTCACCCCCGGCTCAGAGCTGGCCGAGGAGTTCAAGGAGCTGACGCCCAAGGACGGGGAGAGTCTCGTCCACAAGCAGCACCCCGGTTCATTTACCGGCACAGAGCTCCAGGATATTCTGGAGAAAACTGGGCGCAAGAAGATTGTGCTCACCGGATACATGGTAAGTGCAGACCAAAGAGACGGAGTTGGAAAAAAATGAAACTAACCCGCCGTCTTTTTCTCAATGCAGGCCCATGTTTGTGTTTCGACAACGGCCCGCCAAGGCGCAGAGAGGGGATGGGATGTCATCGTGGCCAAGGACGCCGTAGGAGACCGCCATATCCCTGGCGTTGATGCCCAGGAGTTGGTGCGGGTGACACTGGCTGAGATTGCGGATGTGTTTGGCACCGTTGTTGAGAGCCAAGAAATTGTATAAGTCAAAGAAGAAATAAAGCAGGTAGCCGGCATTTGGCCTCTTCATAGAATGCTCAACTCATTGACTTCTATTCTTTACCTCATGGAATGTCCAGTCCATGACACACCCCGGCGGACACCTCTACCAACGAGGTCCCCATCATACGTAGATTCAAGGCTTACAATGTGCACTCGCTGTCCTTGTGTATACACCTCATCGATTCTTCATAGCTGCAGATAGCTATCTACCTTGTGTCATACAGTCGATAATAAAACACCAACCGCTAGAATCATCCATCACTTCATACAGTTCCCCGCTTCTCTGTTGCCACCAAGGGACAATGATCAAATAATTCCCCAACAAATAACAACAACCCCTTTAAACCCCCATCCTGTCCATCCGATACTTATGCTCGGAATAATCTATATACGTATTAAGGAAGGCAACAAACAAAGAAAATTGACATCCGCCGCTTGGGGTCTGTCCGACCAGCCGGAAGATCGATTCTAAATGATTGTTTTCCCCTCATTCTTTCTTTTTCATAAAAGACCACCCTCCATTACCTTCTACCAGAAGCTGCACCATCCTATATAATGTTGACACAAGTTCTCTAGTCTCGTGGCCTCGACAATAAGCTTGTTGACCTGGTTGACGACGTCCAGCTCCTCTTCAGGCTTGAAATCGCGACCAGTCAGCTTCTGCTGCACACGATCCAGCACCTCCAATGCCCTTGCATTTTGGCTCTCGGTCTCTTGGCCGTTAACGTTATTATTCGCACCATTGACCATGTTGCCATTCTCAACCCCTGTGCCAGTCGTGCTAGTTGTGCGGGCTCGGGGACGTCCAGGAGGTGCCCCTGACAAATCGCCATTTGCGAGTAGCGCCGAAGGTGCGATATCAGCCTCCAGTATGGACTGTCGCCTGGCTCGGGCCCCGTTGGGTACGACCATGGTGGACTCCCTCTCTGTCCGGAAATCTGGGCCGGCAGGCGACGCATTGTTAGTGAGACGCCATGTGAGAAGAGGGTCGTGGATAAACTAAAAGATTCAGAGTTAGCAGACTTATTCCTTGGCTGAGCGAGAAAAAGAAGATGATGGGAAATGTAGATGTGGACTTACAGCTTCTAGAACCGCCATTACGCTCTCCTTATTCTCTCGTAGCACCCTCATGACTTGTTCGCACGTAATACGGAAGCTACCTTCGATGTTGCTAACCTCCATTGCGTAGGTGAGCATCCGCGTCAATCGGAACGGAACCCTCTCGGGGTACTTCTCTCGCTTCATCGCCACCTCGAAACAGTCACCGAAATCGATGTGGATGATCTTTCCAGTGATGCGGTCGAGCATCAAATTGGAAGGATGACGGTCGCCGAGGCCGAGAATGTATCCTACCATCGACATTACACCCAGTGAACGAGTGTAGTTCGTGCGTCGCTCGAGCCAAGCCTCGGACGACTTGGACTTGAGCCATAGGACTCGGTACAAGTCCTGCCCCGTGGTATTATCAAGAGCATAACCAAATACTTCCACTTTCTGCATGAGAGTGAGGTTATCATAGTCAGGTGCCATCTGGAGCATGATGCGGTGTTCGATGTTGAGGAGAATCTTCCGGCTTTCACGGTACTCCCGGATGAGCACGTGGAGTGTATCACTGTTGGGGACCCAGCCAAGCAGACCAGAGTTCTGCGAGAGCGGGATGGCGGGGTACCGCTGGATGTTGAGATGCCGTTTGAAACACTCCGAGTCGTTGGCGAGCAGTGTGTTGCAGAGTCCAAAGAGCTGCATGACACGCTCATCCTGTCGGATATCTTCGTGACCCTTCAGCAAGAATGCATAAGCTACACCGTCGCTTCCATTCGCGGTTAGCTTCCTTGGTCTTTGTTTAGATGCAATGACTGTAAACGTCGTCTCGAACGACATGATTCGCACAATTGGCTGTCCGCTTTTGTATGTACCTGGAACGGCGAGGTCGAGGTTCTTGGCCGTGAGGAGCTTGGGGGAGCAATAGGTCAGCTCCAGAGTCGTAACCTGTGGCAGCTGCTTTGAGATGCGGCGGAAAACTTGATAGTAAAGATCCCACGCTTGATTAAGATCATTGACGTCCCCGCTTTGTTCGTATTGATGGCACCACTCTTGAGCCTCCTTAAGGTCGCGGCCAAACGCTTGGGCAAATGAGATTTCACGGAGCGTCTCTGGTCCTCGCTCTAAAAGATCATGCAGAGGCTCCAGCGTGGCAAACATGCCCTCGATATTGTGATCGCCAAAGTACAACCGCGAGGCCTCCTCCAGGCCCTCATGCCAGAGCTCGTGCCAGAGAACGGCAACGCGAATGAGCTCATGACTCACTGTCTCTGCCTGTGCGACAAGGTTCGCGCTATGCTGCCGCATACTGTCCATAATTTGAGCTGCTGATTTGGAGCGGCGGCTATTCTTCCAAGACTTCATCGCGACAGTCAATGGATAAACCAGAGCCTGTGGGTGGGCACGACCTACGTCTGCCAAGAGGTTGTGCACCGATTGCTGGACTCTCTTATTCGGCTGGTTGATCCTAGCGATGAGCTGAGGGATGACCTCCAGCCATGTGTCCACGCTAACGTTGGCAAAACCCTCGGTGACGGCCGAATTGACTTCGGGGAACGCGCCATGTGTAAACCACAAGGTTAACAGACGAAGGGTGTCCTGGAGCGAGCTGCCCTGAGAAAGGGCAATCGACTTGAAGAATCCCTTGATGGCGGGGACGACGTGCTCGATGAGCGAAGCTTGGCTGCTCTTGGGCATGCCAGCATCATTGCGGGCGGTCATCTGCTGGACGACCTCGAAGTTGGCCAAAGCCCAGGCATGCCATGCCTTGTACCAACGAGGATTATACCGGGTGGCTTGTGCGTACGAACCCAAGATATCATGCAAGTATTCCTCTTGCCAGTCGTCCTTGTTGAGCGCCACCATCCACTCACCCTGTCGTAAGTAGCACTTGGCGAGCAGAACAGTTTGATCGTACAGCGCACGCTTAGTCTGTGGGCTCATAACCGACGGATCAATGTACTGCTGCTGGAAGCCGTACTCGGTGGGGAGATTCATCTCGCTGCCTGTCTGTGCCGTGAGATGCGCCTTGGCCACATCAAGACGGTGCGCGGTCTCGTTGGTGAATTTTCTCAGGCAGTACAGTGTCTTCTCGGCAGTCTGCGATGTGCGGTTGACAGACTGTTGGGCAATCTCCCACTGATACTTGAGGACGGCATAAATGACTTGCGCATGAATATTACGAGGGCCAGCCACATTGCTATCCTCCCAGTATGGAATAACAGTCTCAAGACTCTTATCCGTGCCAATGAGCTGCTTCAGTGACTTCTCGGCGAGACCCATGCGGCCGGACTTACGGCAGAGGTTCGCAAATTTGATCCACATGTCCATGTTCTCATTGGGTGTGATGACGAGGGCACGAAGTCGCAATACACGCGCCCACACGTCAACATTGCGCTGGCATCCCTTAAGACGGGTCTCCCACGTCTTGCGCATGACCGCCTGCTTCTTCTCGTCGCATTGCTTGTACACGATAAGTTCTTCCAGTTCAGCAAGCATCTGAACTCGGACGACGACTTGGTAGGCTCGGTTGTATGACTCGCTAACCAACGCACTGAGCTCAGTATCAAGTCCCTCGCGAGCCTGATGGACGCAGTTGATGGCCTCACGGAACTGGTTCCTGTGTAAAGCCAGGATGGCACCGAAGAACGCTCGATCGGGGGAGTATCGCTTAAGTGATGAGAGGTAATTATCCATAGAATCCCATTTGCCCTGACCCCATGCGGCAGCCGTTGCCAGCGGCGCAATTCTTCGTTGAACCTCGGTGGACGAGTTGGCCCATGTTGTGCTGGTCAGGTATGCGAGCGCATCCCACTCTCCAAGTGCGTGCAAACATCTCATCTTACCCATGACGATGTCAACAGGGGTGGGTTGGTCTTCTGGGATCTCTGCTTCACGCTTATTGTAAAACTCGAGAGCCTCTTCCCACCTCTCAAGCTTCTCAAACCAAGTCTCGCGAAGCTGAATGCCATCCTTATACAGCTGGGCTCTTCGCAGGATACCAATAGCTGCATCTGACTGCTGCAGTTGGTTGTTTATGACAATCAGCGCCTCCACCGCGCCACTGCTCTGATCCTGCAAAAACTCGAGTTCCTTGTAATGGAGCGCCTTTGCATATGCGTGGCATCGCGCAGCCTCTCTTCCCAGAACCCTGATGTCGATCGGCAGTGCCTTATCATCATGTTCCATAAACTCGGCAAGGTTCAGAAGAAGACCAAGCAGATCCGGGGGGACATGCTCAGATTTGATGGCGCTTTCAATATTCTGGATAAGTTCTTCCTGGAACTGTTCATAAAGCTCGCTCCAGCAGGATACAAATGCTGAGTTGAACAGCTCACGAGCGAGAGGAGGGTAGAGACTAGCCAAGCTCGCACAGGCTCGCAGAGCATGATTGGGGGACTCGCTGAGCAAGGTTGTGCTGAAACGTCGAAGCCACTCTTGCCAATCCTCCTTTGTAGACTTGCCCCGGGTATCCCATGCACCCTTCAAATGGATGGCATTCATCTCCAGTTTCTTGGTTCCGAGATCGGCAAAGGCAGGCTCATCCAACCCATCATTAAAACGAGCCTCAGAGCTTAGGTCATGCGGGAGACCCTCGCCCTTCTGCAGCTTGCTAAGCATCAGGTCATAGTTTTGATGCTGAATCTGATGTTGCGTGATAATCTTGTTGACCGTTCCGGCAAAGTGCAGGTAGTCCTTTCCAAGCTGCTGGATCAATGCGCAGAGCGTGTCGAGCGCGGCGAGCCGAAGAGACGGTTCGCCCGCGTCGATGATTCGAGTGAGAGGGTGAATGATCTTGGCTGCATAATCATTCAGATTTACCTGTTTAGATATCTTGCCGATTGTCTCGATGGCTGATTTCCGGATGGAGAGGGGTTGGCCCTGCTTCTCGAACGTCCGTACGATGACTGGAATGATCAGATGCATGTACTCCTCAGCACTCGCACCAAATACCAGGAAGGCATGCAGCACCTTCTCCGAGGGAGTCCGCTTGGCGCTCGCATCCTTATCGAGAACGCCAAGCATGAGAGGCAAGAGTCCGGCGAGATAGATTTTGAACTCTCCCTCAAGAGACCTGGAAATGGCCTCGACGAGATACAAAATGGTAGTTTGCAGCGTCGCAGAAGTATTCCAGTATTCCTGAAGGGCATCGACAATATCCGGCAGGTAATTTCTAATATGCTGTCGCACAATGTTGACCAATGTCGCAAGTTGGTTAAAATACGATTCAAGGCGCGTCGATGTGGACGATCTTATCACCATAAGAAACGCCGGAACAATACGTTCGAGGAAGGATACACATTCGAGACCAAGTGTGCGGAAGATGTTCATGATGGCTTCGATCACTGCCGCATGATGCTGGACCAGGGATGGGTCCTTCAGGATCTGCAGAAGGGCATTGATGGCAACAGTTGGGTAGTACTCTTTGTTAGAAGGCGTCAACCCGGTCATCATCAATGAAATGTCGGTCATCTGGTTAGACTCGGCTAGGCGCTGGTTCTCTGGGGTTCTCTCTTCCACCTGCTGGTGCTTGTACGGGTCCAGGGCTCCCAGAATTCCCATCAATTTAATGGTTTCCTGTCTCAGTCGGACGACGTGACCTTCGGTGCGGATAATGTTCTGTAGCAGCTCCAAGAGCTGTGGGTATTCGAGGTAGGGTGCAATGACATAGCCAGAGTTGCTTGCCAACTGACCCAAAGCATGCAGTGCTGCTTCCCGTTTATTATTCGAGCTTTGATCTTGGAGGGCGTTGATGATGATGGGCATGAGCTTGTCCTTGTAAGGGAGCATGTCCTCGCCTCCCACCGTGGCCAGCTCACCAATCGCCTTAAGAATGGTTGCCGCCACTGATGGACTGGGGTCGCTTGCTTTGGGCAACAGAACTGATATCATGGGCTCCACGTATGGCTTGATCAGTGACTGAGCGTTCTGGACAAGGAGACTGAGAAGTTTTGCGCTCTCTTCCTTGCTGCGCGCGACGTCTGAGAATTCCAACTCAGTAAGCATCTGGATGAGCGTCTTGCGAAGGGATGGAATGACATAGGCGGGGTTGAATTGGGCAAGGCGACCAATGATAGAAATGGCCACCTCGCGGATGGCAAAAACCTCGTCGTTGAGGGCGAAGAAGAGGACACGGATATTCTCTGCCTTGGCTAGGTGGCGGTCGAAACGTTCATCAAGGGCTGCCAAGACGGTGCGGCGTATGTTTTGCTCTGGGTCGGACACTCCCACAGTCAATAGTTTTTCAATAACATCCCCGACAACCTGGAGTGCGTGGTAACTTGTCTGGTTGACGATAGGGTCGCGGACATATAGCTGGCAGCAAGTCAGCGCTGCCGCTTCTCTGATCTCTGGGTTCTCGTCCTCGACGTATTTTATAGCGACATCGCGAACGAATTCATTGAGGACGTGGCCAGTGAAATCAAAGCTTCCAAGGGTTCTGAGTGCCAATTTGACCTCTGATTTTCGATGCTCGTACGCCTGGGGGTCCTTTGGATCCTTGGGGATGATGGGTACTGAATTCAGCGTGTTTGGCTGAGGAGCACCAAGAGGCTTGAATTGCTCGCCGCACAAAACGACGCTGAGCATATCAAGAAGGCGCTCCTGAATTGTCGGCTTGACCGGGGGGATGTAGAAGGCCATGTCGACCAAGGCTTGTGTCAGTTTAGGCGTGAGATCGCATTCGAAGATGGGATCCAGAAGGGCTTCCATGTATTTGCTCAGGGTCTGGCCCACGGCGACAGCAAGGCGGCTGATGCAGTCAAACACAGGGTCAACTGTTCCTCGCTTACGAGAAGCCACGCTGAGACCCTCTCGCACGTAGATGAGCACGCCATCAAGGTAGGGAGCAATGGCACTCTTGACGGAGTTGGCAATGTTTCCGATGGCCAAGAACGCATCGTTACGCTCCTTGTCCTTCTTCAGCATGCCGGACAGGAAGACCATGAACTTGTGGAGCCAGGACTGGGCGAAATCTGAGGGCGAGTAGCTGGCAAGGTCGGGAATGAGTATAACAACCGTCTTTCGAATGGTGGCGTCGCGATGGTCCTTGTGCTTGAAGACAATGTCGCAGGTCTCCTGGTAGTGCTCTTGCATGAACATGCCTCCCTGTTCGAGAAGCTCCTTGAGGACGAGCAGAGAAGCATGTACAGACTCGATTGTTCCAATCCGTAAACCCTGCCTCGCTTCGTTGTACATTTTCGTCATCCATAGCTGCTTCAAGTCCTGGTCTCGTTCGCGGATGATCTTGAAACAGGCGCTAACTGTCTCGGCGGCGGTCGCGCGGATGAGCTGCCTGGGATCTCGAAGAACCACCCAAATCCAGTCGAAGATGGTCGGGATATATTGGTACATGAGAGTCGGCGCATTTCTGGCGAGCTCTCGTAGAACAAGCGCGGCACTATAGCGACGTTCTTCGACGCGGTCGTTCTGGAGCCATTCGAGGGCTGTGTTGACTTCGGAATCGACGAGTCGGGAGATCATGGAGCCACCGGGGCGGCAAAGCTTTCCAAGAGCGATGGCAGCCGGCTGCATCGGGTTGATATCTTTCCCTCTTAGGATTGTTTTTAGGTTGGTCGTGAATCGGGCGTATTTTGCAGCGACATCAACACCCTCGAAGTCGATGAGGGCATCGAGGGCGTAAATTCCACCGAGGCGCTCGTACGCATCACTCCCATGGGCCATAAGCTGTGTTATCTTATTATTCACAGTGTTGTAGAAGTCGGCAAACTGCTCGGGATTCAAGTCTGTACCACCAAGGTTAGCCGCCAATTGGAAGCAATGTCAGTGTCCGGTCGAGGGAGGGGGTTACGTGCCTCGATGGCAGACCGTCACGAGCTCCCGGAGCTGCAAAGCAGCTCGGTGTCGCACATCATCGCCGGCCCTAGAAATCAGGAAGGTCAGCTAGCGAGCAGTATGCGATGGAGCGAGGTGTAGAGGCGAACCTCGAGCGCAGACCGCGGGAGATGATCTCCAGCCGCTCCAGGGCGACCTGCTGTTGTGGGTGCGCCATCCTCCCCTACGGGCGCTCGCTGCCCATGGATCAGCGCTGCATGTACTATCGAAGTGCCTCGTGATGCTTTGGGGTATGGATGTCGTCGAGTGGAAGGTCGTGGATCGTTTTGGTGACGTGGAAGTTGCGCGCTTTCGTTTCAAGGTTCTCGTCCCTCAGCTCCGTCCCTCAGGCAGCAACGGATGCCACCAGACAAAGTCAGGCGAAATGACCAAGAAGCGGGTATCAAGTAAAACACAGGGCGGCTGCACAGTTCGCCGTCGGATGAGTGGCCAGCGAGGTGGCCTCGAACAAGTTTGGCAAGCTGAGAGCTGATGTCAGGTTGAAATGCGATGCTGCCGCGATGAAGTCAATATCCTTGGTGGAGAAGGTCGGTCGTGGTCCTCGTGTGTACGTACCGTGCCCGTACCCACAATTCGAACACAGCGGTAGGGGCTCAATTGAGGACAATCGGCGCATGTACCTGACTACCAGCCGCAGTGTCCGCAACTTTGGGGCTGAACAGATTGCGGGGTCGGGCGCAAAGCAATTGTTCTCTATATTCTCTCAATTCAGATCCCAAACGTCATAGGTGAAGTTTTCAGGTTGGTTTTCGCAGGAAGATCCTTTGACAATCCGATACCGTGGTATTCACCCATAGCCCAGGTACAGACGAAGGTACTTGATCACAGCGAGGGACCCATATAATCCTCAGGATCTCCCACAGCGAAGCTCAGCGTAGCTACAAGTGGGGCTATGGTGTCTGGACCAGTCACAGGCGGGGAAATACAGGTCGCAGCGCAGTGCTACAGTTTCATCACAGCCCCTGCACGTCCTGAGTGCTTGACGCTATTGAGTGCTGGAGCAGTTCGCTAGAGGGAGCCACAGCACTGGCTTGCGGGGATGCAGTGGGTGCCCGATCCGTCAGATGCGCCCCAAAGTGCACGATGAGTGCGCTGCTCCATCAAATGTGGCGTGGCACGTGCAGGCGCAGTTCTTTACTCTTATCGGATATCGAAGGCTGAGGTGAGGGTTCGCTCAAAGAGCAAAAAGTCACCCGATTTACAGGCGCTTCTCTAAGCGAACACCTGATTCACCTCCCACCGACAAACCAGGTGCGCACACCAACTTGTTTCTCCTCTCTCCCCTTTGTCTAACCCTTCTTTTCCCCTCTCATCCGCTTCTGCCTGCTCCCCGATTGCACATCTACCAACAACCCCTCGCAGCCTGCCACCATGGGTAACGATGGTGGCTCCATCCCCAAGAGGCGGGAACTCGTCAAGAACGCTGCACGAGCGCCAACTATCTCCGAGCTTAAGTCCACCGCCCTCGAGTCCCTCGGCCACGCGTGGTCACATTGCGCCCTCTCCGGCGACCAGATCGACCTCGCCTCCGTTGCCTCGGACTGGCGCGGCCGCCTGTTCAACTACGAATCCATCCTCAAGGGCCTGATGCCGTCCGACGAACCCTCCCCCGCCGAAGTCACGCCCGCCACCCTTGGCATCCGATCGCTTCGAGATGTTGCAAAACTAAAGTTCTCCAAGACCGGCGACAAGTGGACATGCCCCATCTCCATGAAGGAGATGGGTCCTGCTACCAAGGCCGTCTATCTCGTTCCTTGCGGCCATACCTTTGCCGATGTCGCAATCAAGGAAATCCCAGACAACATGTGCCCCTCGTGTGCCGAGGTATTCAGCCACGAGCATGTCATCCCCATCCTGCCCATTGCGCCGATAGAGGTCTCGCGCTTGGAGCAGAGGATCGAGAAGTTGCGTGCCACCGGCCACACTCATACACTGAAAAAGGACAAGTCCGACAAGAAGAAGAAGAAGCGCAAGGCCGACGAAGTAGACGCCGAGAGCACTGTCGAGAAGTCCAGGGAGCAGATTGGCCGCAAAGAGGGCAGCAATGGCATCCCTGAGAGGAAGAAAACCACAATCGAATCCCGAATCAGCGGCATCAACAACCCAATGGCTGCGTCGCTTACCGCCAAGGTGCTGGCAGAGCAGGAGGAGCGTAATAAGCGACGGAAGCTGGCTGCAGGTCTTCTAACAGGGAAAAGCGAAGCAGCCAGAGGTTGAAGGCTCAATACGATACCTCACCAAAACAAAATAATACACCAGTTCATCATGATATGAGACCAGCTCGAGAATTCTTGGGGACTCGACCCCAGAGCCCCTCATCGCACATAATTCGATATCAGGTCTTCAAGACCTTCGCTAGAACACCCACAAGCACATTGGGCATCCGGATCGAGAGATAGCTGCCTGCATCTGCGCAGCGCATCACCAACCTGGCTCGAATTCTACAATCGTTGGTGAGTGCTGCCGCCCCGAGCAACATTAATACATGGCCATCATGCGCTCCTATATGCCAGCATGACGCGCCAACATTCATCTCCATCGGCAGCTCGCACCATCTGCACCCCTCATTCCCCTTTTCCCATCCCCTCCCCCACCCCCAGGCTTATCCCCTTGGTACTACGTGATGGCTTCCTTTCGTTAACCTAGTTTTCTTTATTTGTATATGAGAAACGGGATGAGACTCGAACATAACATAGAAATTCAAAGCGAAACACACAAATGAAGAATAGATGAACAGGGTATCTTATTTATGCTTGCCGATCCATGTTATGACTCCCATGCCAGAACTCTAGAACTCCCAGAAAAACTTCTTGACCTTCCACTCTGTCTCCCCCAACCCAGGATCCTTGAACACCGTGACTCGAGCTCCGCCATTAGTCTTCTGCATGATCAGCACGTTCCGTAACCGACGCTCTGCAGGTATCCGGAACGGCGCCACCAGCCTATCCGGGTCCAAGCCGCTCAACTCCTCCATCATCTCCATCCCAGCCGTAATGACCGAAGACCCCGACGACTCCGACCCGTCAGGCGACTCAAGCCGACCAAGAGGCGGAACCCGCGGCCCGTCCTCGTTTATCGACAGGTTCGCCATACTGGGCATCTCCCTCACCCTGAACGTCGGCGGCTCCCAAACCGGCACATTCAAATCCCAGCCCCCCTCATCCCACAGATCAGCCGGCCTGGGACTATTCGCAATGTGCGCCTCCTCCATCTCCATCGCCTTCACCGCAACGCCCAGGTACTCCCTCGCCCGCCAGAAGTTCTCCCTCCGGCTCGCCACCTCCTTCCGCCCCAACAGCCGGATCGCCGCCCGCCGCAGCATCGGGTGCCGGCACTTCATCGCGACATAGTATAGCGACGGCACGAACTCCGTCTCGAACACGAACGACGCCGCGTCCCTGCCCCTGAGGGACGGGGCCGCTGCGATGCCCGACGCGGCATGGGAGACGATGGCGCCGAACCCGGCCAGGTGGTCGTCGAAGACGAGCTCGTTCGGCCCGAGCGCCCCGGAGATCCAGATGTGGGCGGTGTGGTAGTACATGTGCAGCAGGTCCTGCAGGGCCGTCTTGGAGCCCAGCGTCGCCTCGAGGACGGCGAAGGAGGTTCTCCACTCGGCGAGGCGGGCGAGGATGGCGCGCTGGCGGGATATGATGCCCTGGAGCTGGTCCTGGGAAATGGTGGGGTCGTAGATGAGCGGCATGATCTCCATGCTGAACTGGAGGCCGCAGTTGAGGAGGCCGAAGAGCGCGTCCCTCGCCTCGTGGAGGGAGGCGAAGCTGAACGGGACGCTCCAGTCGCCGAGGAAGAAATCCGGGATGGAGGCGGGTTGGTGGCCGAACAAGAAGCTAGCGAGGCTCAGGCGGGTGTATATGGGGACGAGCACGTTGCGAAGCATTTCCGCGGCCGGGGAGGATGCCATGGCCTGCGCTTCGCTGATCTGGGAGAGGATCTTCCTGCCCTGGGAGATATGCACCTGGGCAGCCGCCTCGTAGTCCATGAGGAACTCGATACAGATGAACAGAACACAGACGAGGAGGGGGATGGTAGCCGGCTCGGAGCTGTTGGAGGGGGGTTTCCATTTGGAGATGGCGGAGATTGCCTTGCTGTACTCTCCAAAAGCAAAAGTAGTGTCGGGGATGCGCGTCTCGGGTTTATCCCCAATGGCGATGACCTTTTCATGGACAGAGCTGAGAGCAAGCAGGGCGTGGCGGACTGCCGGCTCGGTGGTGGCGAGGCGGATGACCAGGCCAGACCAGAAGTCGTCGCCGCTGTCCCGGACGATCCCTCCAAGCACGGCCGATGAGCGGACGCGGTAGTAGTCAAAGGCGTGATAGTCCTCTGAGGTCATGAGCTCCGGGGCGAGGTTGGGAAGCTTGCTGCTCTGGGCACGGGGCAGAGGCGCCACATAGCCGTCACATTTCCTGCCAGTCTTGGTGCACCGCAAGCAGTTGGGCTTGTTCTCGTCGCATTTTACCTTGCGGATCCTGGGCCAGTCAGCATGGCTTGTTTCTCATTACCGAGGGCCTGGGTTCAATTGCGAGCGATCCATGCTGTGCTACTACTTACTTGCAGGTGAGACAACCTGTCCGCACCTTTCTACTGCCCTTGCGACCCGACGGTCTGGTTGATGTCTTGGAGCTCGCATTGGAGGAGGACGGGGATCCCACCACAGATGCCATTGTCTTGTGAGTCTTTCCTGTGTGGGTTCGGGATGGATAGAGAGACAGATCTGTAGACACACCAGCCACACGGCAAGTGCTCTGCTCTTGAATAAAGCCAGCTCATTGAACCCGGTAGATGTCCCCTGCTCCCGCACCACAACCGACTCGGCTCCTCCGCTTAATAAGGGTGGCAGAGGCGTATAGCAAGGAAGAGGTGGATAAGGAGCTAATTATGCACGGGGCTGTGCCTCACTGGAGGATTGGAATCGTCACAGCAGGGTCGCGTCTTAGGGCTGAGCATGGGCTGTGTGAGGGAACCAAAATATCTCCAATCAATGCCGTGGCATAAGCACAAGGTGGGGGCCGCTGCAACGGCGCGTATATGCCGGAAGACTTGGGATGCTCCATCTCGTGAACTGACGGCCTCACTGTAATTCATCATAATACCACTGAAGTTAAGCCAGAATGAAGGGCCTTTGCAAAACAAACAGGGGTGTCGGGATCCAGGCCAATCGCAATTGGTGGACATGTCTCCAAAGCTCTGCGTCCTTTGTTTACTGTGGGGATAATGGCCAATTGATGCCAGGCTGGAGAAGTTGGGAGACAGGAACACTAAAGCAGACAGTACATGAATACATAGGAGGTAGGTAGGATGCGTTTCCGCCGATGTGTAAAATGTATAGGCGTTTTTTAAGGGTAATTTACATACAAATACCAAGATCTTCAATACGTACAAAGATGATGTACATGGTTTCACTGGAACTTCAACCACGCTATTTACTTGCTCGTCCTACCAAATTTATGAGCATGATTATGCGGCTAACCTTTACCTCGAGCAACGTCCTAGCCATTTAAATATGCGAATGAGCCAACAATACCGAGGTAAGTAACGGGAAATACACTGACATGCTCTTTTCTTCAACCTAGGTATGAGCTGTGTTTGACTTTGTGGCTTGAGGCGTTGGTGGCTGTGCTGTGCTATAGGGTAGGGGAAGAGCATGGGCTGACTTGAGCTGTCCAGCTGCTGCCTGATGCCTGAAGGCCGCCCCTCTGTGACCGCCAATCAACGACCAACAGCTGTGCTCACTCGAGACGAACTGTTGCGCCTTGGCTTGACCTGGATGGTGCATATACAAGCCATGAAACCTCAGATCGCGAAAGAAAGAGACCCGGCGTAGAGCATCAAGTTATATTCATCAGAACGCGGCCATCTCGACTCGATGCCAGGTTCCACCCGCACAGGGCTCCCCGCCATGAGTTCGACCCCGCCATCAATTGGTGACAAAGAACTCAGTTTTTTCGACCAAGGCATGGCCTTGGAACCACAGACATATGGACGGCCGTACTATCAACTGAAATATCCTGACCCCAGCAGATCGAACACGTGTCTGCCTGACGGCAACGTCGACACGCAGGGCGTCTCGCGATCGCGTCTCGTGCTGGCGGCAAGCAATGGCCACACCGACGTCGTCAAGCAGCTCCTGGATGAGGGCGCCTCGGTCCATGAGCGTGACCCAGAGCTTGGCAAGGCGATCCAGGCCGCGACACTCTCTGGGCACACCGACACCATGCGCCTATTGTGCGAAGCTGGTGCCTCGGTGGATGACGACTACCCCAATGGAAACACGATTCTGCATTGGGCTGTAACGTACAGAGATCCTGAACTTGTTAACTTTCTGGTCGAATTGGGGGTGCCTGTTCTAAAGCCTAATGATGCTAACGAGACTCCCTTGATCAAGGCCATCGATACACAAAACGAGGAAATAGTGGCTGGTCTTCTGGAGCACGGGGCAGACGCGGAAGCTTTAGGCGATGAACCCCTACGACCTCTCTTCCGAGCCGTAGCCTTCGGACATCTCTCTATAATTAAAACACTGGTCAGGCACGGATGGGAGCTTGATAGTAAGGACCAGACAGGTGGCACAACTCTCTCCGTGGCCGTCTCTTTCGGACATTACCATGTCGTGAGATATCTTCTTGACTCAGGACTCGCCTTGGAGGATACCACGAATGGAATGACGGCGTTGCACCATGCTGTTAAATCCGGAGACCGGGACATCGCCTATCTGCTGGTCGAAAAAGGGGCCAATATTGAGGCTGTTGACGGCGATGAGCTGCGCACTCCCTTCTACCTGGCAATCGAATACGGCAGTCCTCTAGTAGCTGAGTATCTTCTCGCCAAGGGTGCCAATATGGCGGCTAGAAATAGCAGCGGATATTGTGCCCTGCATTTGGCAGCGTCGAGAGAGAGGTATCTTGACATGGTCGATTTCCTGGTCAAGCACGGAGCAGATATGGAAGACGTGGCTGCCGACGGTCTCACGGCACTCGGAATTGCGGCTGCAAAAGGGCACACCAAAACTCTCAAATTGCTTTTGGACTCGGGAGCAAACGTTGATAGTCACGGTGGTGTCAGTTCTACCGCTTTACACGCGGCTGCTCGTAGGGGCCAGCTTGAAGTGGTCCAGGTGCTCCTTGACGGAGGCGCCGATATCGAGTTGGCCCGCAACACAGAGCGCCCTTACACTGCTCTTGGTATAGCTGCGTCTTCAGGCCGCCTGGATGTGGTGAAGCTGCTACTTGAACGGGGGGCCAAACTTGCAACAAGACAGGACCAAGATGGTTTCACTCCGCTACACATCGCTTGCAGGGATGACATGATTGAGGTAGTCAAGTTGCTTCTGGAGAAAGGAGCTCAGGTGGACGTTTTGGATAATGACGGCTGGACTCCGCTCCACGTTGCCGCTAGAAACGACAACGATGCTATTATTCGTCTTCTTATGGAATACTGGGCAGATCCGTACATTACCTGCGACGACAACTTGACTCCCCTCGCCTATGCGGTACGGCACGACCAAAGACTGGCTGTCAAGGCCCTCGTTGAATGTGGCGCGGACTGCAATATTGGGAGCCCCGGCGAATTCACAGCTCTGTCTCTGGCCGCCCGGCATGGCTATTCCGAAACTCTCGAGCTCTTGATTGAGCTTGGTGCCAACATAGAGCTTCTAGATGCTAGGGGCGAGAGCCCTCTGATCACTGCCGCCAACTACGGCCACCTCAAAACGGCCGAAATCCTGCTCCAAAAGGGTGCACACGTCAATTGGGAGGATTACGATGGCTGGACTCCACTAGCCATCGCTGCGAGGCGCGGCTATGGTGAGCTCGTGAGGCTTCTGTTGGACCGAGGAGCAGATCAAAGCATCAAGAAGAAGCAGGGGGCAAGCTGTTCCTTCTCGGTGATCCATCGCGCAATATGCGTTGGCCATGTCGACGTTGTCCGCCAGCTCTCGGACGCCACTGACGGTCAGAAACCGCCGATGGACACACTTGGGAGGTCCCCTCTGTGCTTCGCCGTCAGCCATGGCCGCCACGCCGTCGTCAAGCTTCTTCTTGAGAGAGAAAGCTACCAAGCCTCCCTGCAAGACATATATGGATCAACACCGCTAGGCATCGCGATTCGGATTGGATACGAGTCCGTTGCTCGGCTCTTATTCAACGCCACAAAGCCTTCCTTGGATGCGGATGATCTTTTAGGGAAAAGTCTAAGATGGTGGCTGTCAACTGTTGCCACTCCGAGTATGCAGGAGTTGTTTGACAATCTCGAGAAGGGCGCCGACGATGCTGGATCTGAGAGTGATGGCAACGACGAGGGCGGCGGAATGCGCGCGCACTGCGACATTTGCTTAATGAGAATCATGAGGGACCAGCCTCGTTACCATTGCGATGCGTGTCTTGAGGCAGACTTCGACGCGTGCGTGCGATGCATAGAATTAGGGGGGAAGTGCTTAGATGAGTCGCACAAACTGATATACTACGATTCGTCTCCTCGGAAAAATTGAGCAGGCGATTATCAAATCTCTATTTATGTTGAAATGATTTGTATGGTTTTAGGTACTCGAACCAGTTAGCCAGCGAACTGAATTGCGGCCAGAATCCTTTCCTTGTCCAAGTGACTCCTTGATTGAAGCCCAACCCTGGTGTAAGCTTCTTGATGATGTATTGTTGGAGTACGAAAACTAATAAACTCATGCTTATAGACATGTCACCATCAATGTGTAGGGAGGCGTGTCATTGATGGCACATGCTGACCGCCTCCTAGATTTGTCTATCGACTGCGTTGATTTCTCTGGAAAATTGGGGCATCTTACCGCCCCCTCACACGAGGCAACTTGTGCCTTCTTTTGGGCATCTATTCACCCCTGATTGTGGGGTGCTGTGTAAATATACGGTTATGCACCATTCACCTGGTCAGCTCTCGCAAGCACCTACTTTTGGATTACTGCTCACTGATTTGACTTGCTTTTTTCTCCTCCTGCAACATCCCTCTCAGACTATATGGACCCACGTCCAGCGGCCTGATCACTCATTATATCCATTCTCTACTTTCTTCAGCTCCATCATGGCACGCAACTATAAAGACGACGTGGATGATAGCGATGAACATGCCATCCTGATAAGTCGCGACGATGTCAGTGATTACAATCCAGGCCAAATATTGCCACAACCGGAGAAAACCATCCAGCAGATTCGGGCCTGGCTCCAGCCCACCCCATATGAGATCGCTGGAGGCGAATATCGCAAACATCTGGCCACCCATGCACCCGGCACAGGAGCCTGGCTGACCTCGAGCGCTGCATACAAGCAATGGCTTCAAGATGATCAGCACGGGCTGTTATGGATCAAAGGCATTCCTGGCTCGGGGAAGTCTGTTATAGCAGCCAACCTCATCGACGAGCTGGCGAGGGATAATCCTGGATCACCGGTCCTCTTCTTCTTCTTCCGTCAGATCATCCAAGCCAATCATAAGCCTGACGCTTTACTACGTGATTGGCTTCATCAGATTTTGACTTATAGCCCGCCCTTGCAGAAGAAGCTTAAATCAGATATGGAGTCACGAAGCCTCGAAACTGTTTCTATCGATGAATTGTGGACAAATCTCCATATGGCTCTTTCCGGAATTTCGGGAAGGGTGTTCTGCGTCGCTGATGCTCTTGACGAAATCGATAAAGGCAATGACTCATTCCTTACGTCTCTTGCATCGCTGGGGACGTGGAGGCCCGATAAAGTCAAGGTTCTCATCACAAGTCGCCCTGTTCCAACGGTTGAGGGACCTTTGAGGAAGTCTCCCGGTATCCAAATCCGTCTACAGGAGGACCTGGTTGATATTGATATACGAACCTATGTCCAATCCACTCTTTCCAAGTCCGCGATCCCAAAGAGCGACTGGAAGACTATCATAGATGCTGTTCCTGGCAAGGCTAATGGTCTATTTCTCTATGCGAAATTGGCTATGGATGCTTTTATAGAGCCAGGTGCGGATATCGACCTGGTCTTATCGAAATTGCCTGTGGATTTGAATGTCTTGTACACAGGCCTCCTCAGAGACCATTCCCATCGATCTGGAGTAGCCGATAGCACTCAACGACTGATTCTCCAGGCTGTCACCCACGCTAGGCGACCTCTGAGGCTGTTGGAGCTAGCTGAGATGGTCAAGAGTAATAATCCGGATGACCAAACACTGGATTTGAAAGATGCGAAGAATCTAATCCGGGCGGGCTGTGGTCCCTTGCTGGAGATACTGGCAGATGAGACGGTGTCCGTTATTCATCACTCGTTTACAGAGTATCTCAAAGGAACCACTAGATCGCAAGAAATGTCCGGATATCCCATTCTCGAATCGGTATCCTCTCATACTCAGTTGGGAATTGCCTGCCTAAACTATTTGATTACCGAGAACTTGGAACCTACAGCGATGAACAATGAAGAGTCAGAAGGCTTCAGGTATCGACCTATAAAAAAGGACACTGGCCTGCGCTTGAAATTCCCATTCTTCGATTATGCTGCAAGTAACTGGTCTCATCATTTCAAGGCATCTGAAGCTGCTGGAGAAGACCAGGCAGAAATCAACCTCAAGATCCGCCAATTTTTAGGCGATGAAAAGAGAATTGAGCCATGGTTGCAGGCAAAGTGGGAAAGCTCGACGGAAAACGTCACGCAAGTTCATATCGCTGCTAGGCTTGGGCTGTTTTCCTATCTCCGAGAGCTTCTTCAAACCATGCCACCAGATGAACCAGATTCCAGCGGGAGAACTCCAATGTAAGCATGTCAATTCCAATATTTCTTGAGGTGAATTGAAACAGGTCCGCTGACACTTGCTGTGGCTTAGTTGGTGGGCTGCTCGCATGGGCCATACAGATATCGTCCGGGAGCTGATCAAGCTTGGAGCAAACCCAGACCATGACGAATCAACCAAGGGGTTAAAGCCGCTACATGAGGCCGCAAAGAGGAACCATGCAGAAACTGTTACAGCACTTCTAGAGGCTGGGGTGCACCCTCTTACGGAGCAAACTCGTGAGGACTATGACTTCCGGTGGGCTCACGTGTTGGGGACAATGGGGCAAACTGCTTTCGGTTTTGCGGTTGAGAATGGCCACTTGGAAGCGGTGGATGCCTTTCTGCCTTTCATCAAGGATATCAAGAAAGTTCAACGATACTTCATGTTGGCGGCCTCCAGGTGTAGAGCCAAAGTGGTTGCTCGACTTCTTGAAGTCCCTGGAATCAACGCCAACGATCGGAATGATGGGCGCACTGCACTGCAGGCTGCCTGTAGCTGCGGAGACGCTGAGACGATCGGGTGCCTTTTGAAGGCTGGGGCAGACCCTAACAACGTTTCCGACAACAATGATGACGGAAACGTCCTTCATATGCTAGCCGGGATTTCGTATGGAATTGTGGACAAAATACCGGAAATATTCCCACTTCTCGTCCAGGCAGGCGTTGACATTCACGGGCGTGACTTCTATGGGGGGACTCCTCTACATGCGATGGTCCACTCTCCAGTTTTCACACGACTTCTTCTTCAAACTGGAGCAGATGCTAACGCAACTGACAATGATGGAGCCACACCCCTCCACCGCGTTATGGATATAGAGTCCATGTGTATTCTTGTTGAGGAGGGACACGCAGATATCAACGCTGTCAGGCACGATGGAGGGACTCCTCTTCATGCCCTGCTTTCACGACCTCGTCCTGAAATGACCGCCAAGTTCCTAGAATATGGTCCCGACTGCAGTGTCGTGGATGGATATGGTAACGGGATGCTGCATTCCGAACTAACGGCTTACCATGTTGATAAAGATATTGTCGAATCTTTGCTGAAGCTGGGGGCCGACCCAAACCTGAAGGACAACAAAGGGCTCACGCCTATTCTCCGCGCCGCCGGTGGTGAGGTGGAGGAAGAGATTATAGATCTCCTCATCAAAGCTGGTGCTGATGTATGCGCAACAGACGATCGTGGAGAAAATGTTCTTTTCCGGCAGTTTGATGGTTACACTGATCGAGAAAAAGGAGCATTCGACACCTGGGTTAAGAAAGGGGTACCGACGATGATCCGGGACCGGATGGGCCGCACCCTTCTGCACACAGCCGTGGGAAGATGTGGATACAGTTACGGCATATCAGACCCAATTGGCCCGATTCTTGGGCTCGGGCTCGATATCAATAGCGTTGACTATGATGGAAATGGTTTGTTGCATGAACTCGCTCGAGTTAATCGAAACCACGGCATAGGTCCTAGCGTGAATATGATTTCCCACTGGGAAAGGTTACTGAGTCTCGGGTTGGACCTCGACCAGGCCAACTATGATGGACTCACTCCTTTGCATATCCTATGCTCAGCAGACTTGTCGGACAAGTCTGAGTCCTCGCTTTTGAAAAAGGTTATGCCAATCGACTTCGTGATTTCGAGGGTGAACAATGTAGACAGAACAGACAAATACGGTGCTACGCCGCTTCATCGGGCTGTTACTATCGGTGAGGTGTACACGAAAAGGCTTCTTGAAGCTGGCGCGAACCCGGCCAAAGCCACTCGCCAAGGCATGACCCCTCTCCATCTTGCTTCTAGAAGCAGACAGAGCAACGTAGTAGGCATGCTACTGGAAGCCTTGAGAAGGAGGACCCCTTCATCTACTCCGCCTGTGTTGGGAGTGGATGCTGTTGTGTTTAAATTAACAGACAGCTACGGCCCTAGTTATGACCAGTATTCCCAGAGCTACCTGGGCGATGCTCTGTATGCCTACCCTACCACTCCGCTGTTTTACGCCTGCCGATCTGGGAGGCCAGAAACGGTAGCACTTCTTCTCGAAGCTGGTGCGGATATTAAAAAAGGAAATGTTCTGCATGCATGTGCTGGTTTTGAAAGAGAGAATGAGGTGTGGCAGGGTCTCCCGGAATATTCACGTGGAGACCAGAAACAGATGCGTCTCACGGTGATAGACGAAACGATCCTTTTAGATCCAAAATGCCCACTCGTTCTAGATACGCTGCAAGTGGACGAAACTGCCAGATTGGAGGAAATTCTGGATATGCTTGTCAAGCACGGGCTTGATCCGGCTGAGATTTCTCATGTTGATTGCTGTGCCCAGGCGGAAGATGAGATTACCAACAAGAACAGCAGCTTTATTGACAGGGCTTTCTTCAAACAGGATGATTATACAGGCGCTTGTTTCAGAGCCGCTTGCGATTCAGCCATAAAAGAGAAGGAATTTCCGATCATAACTCCACTCGAAAGACTGCACTGTTCATCAAAGAATGCGGCTTATCTGGAATTGAGATCTCCTGGACTCATTAAAAATAAAGCATTGAGATCTCCTAGATACACTAAACATGAAGAAGTCTATCCAGATACCCTAGTATCCTTCTTGCGTAGAAGGGAGTATCCATTGGTTGAGGAGATGGCAAGACTTGGTACACAGTTTTTGCCAACTTCTCCCCGTGAAGAATCGAACTTTGCTATTCTTGTCCAACATGGTTATTCTACTCTTATTGAGAAAATTGGTGCGATTGTGGCAGGAAGAGAGATAGAAAGAGGAAATTGGCATGCATTTGGCGACAAGAAACGGCCAGGTCTTTGGCTCGCCAACCGGGATATCATCCAGGAAGATGAGGTCGTGGGGTCTGTTCTTCCTTTTTTGACCGCAGCCGTGATGAGGGAGCTACCCAACATGGAGATTGTCAAACTGTTGGTGGAAAAGTTTCACGTGGATGTCAATGAGCTGGTTTCCGTTTATGACCTCCAACCCGCGACTTATGAAGGCACGGCTGGGGCTTCCGCTCTTCATACAGTGTCTCTCGGCTGTCACTGGTGGCAAGTTCACCAAGCATTGCCTTATTTGCTTCGGTCGGGAGCTAATATAGACCTCCGAGACGCTGGGGGACGAACAGCCCTTCATACTGCTCTTGGGCAATATCTGCAGCAGCCCTTCCAGCGGGATGCTGCGCGACTGCTGGTTGAAGCAGGGGCAGATGTCAATGCAATGGATGGGTCAGGGGCGGACTGCCTTGCTTACGCTCGAGGCGATTTTGAGATGAGCAAGGTGCTCATCTCTCGTGGAGCAGTTGTGACAGCAGAATCAATATTCAGGGCAATCGATGCTGAGAGCGCGTCCACGCTCAAAGTACTCCTGTCTAGCGGTATTAGTGCCAACACACGTCGAATACCACCATCTGAAGATGAATTGGCGTCCCAACGAAAGGGTGGTTTCCCTGAAGGAGAAGTGGGTTGGTCCCCGTTTGCATGGGAAACAGAAGATCACGAGCAATTCCCACTATTATGTGCTGGAGCTAGTAGGCGCGATATAGCAAGGAACGAAATGGTACAGGTGCTGCTCGACCACGGGGCTGATCCATTTGCCAAGTTCTTGACCCCAAGCCCAATAACCTACGGTGATACAGCACCTGAGAATTTCCGAGAGGCCATAGTCCTGCATGAGTTGCTGTATCATGGCCTCGCGATAGACCCTTTCTTCCAAATTCCGCAGCTCGACATACATCGCCGAGATGCTAGGGGTTGGACACTCCTTCTTGCAGCTTGTTCAGGCTGCCCGGATAGCCTACTCTCACGGAAGCAGCAGGAAGATAGCACAGAAGAAATTGCAACGACGTTTCAAAAGCTGTTGTCAGTGGGTGCAGATCTGGAAGCCTTGGACAACGCGGGGCGGAACATTCTACATTTAATGATTCGTCGTGACGAGGTTACTGGGTGGAACGAAATGAGGCAGATCCAGAACTCGCTGACTCAAAGTGTTCGAACGGCACCCCATCTCATGAACCAGAAGGATAATTCTGGGAACACCCCTCTCCAACTCGCCGTACTACGTATGGTTGAGGGATCAAATCACCACCTCTCTCTAAGTAACCTTAAACTAACTGAAATGCTCGTATCTGCTGGATCTGACTACCTGATTACCGACAAACGTGGCAACAGTATTCTTCACCTTCTTGCTGCCGGACTCAAAACAGAGGAAGAGCGTGGATTCTTTGAACAGATGGTACAACGGGGAATGGACGTGAATGGGCGGAATGAGCAGGGAGAAACCCCGTTGTTTCCATTTTGCCGCGCAGACAAACTTCCGCATCGGATAGAGGGGCTTAAATACCTATCAAATGCCATTTCAATGTTCAAAAGACTAGGCGCGGACTTGTTCGCCACAGACCACAAGGGAAGGGGACTTCTCCATGCTGCTGCAGGTGGTGAAGCCGAGCTTTTTAAGGAGCTGCTGGACTGTGGGTTAGATGCTGGCTTGGAGGACGACGCGCAGCAGACACCGCTTGACATGGCTGCGGCGTATGGAAATCTCGAGGTTCTGAAGATTTTTGAGAAGAAGATGTAGATATTCAAATTATAGGTGACAAGATCCTGATCGTATGGGCGGTCAAATGTTATCAGTATACACGTCAGTTAAGCTAGACGGGTTCTCTATGATCTTTGAAAGGTTACCAACTATCAGCAAGCGAAGGCTCAAGACGAAACCAGAACAGGCTCTAAGAATAGCCCTCAACCAAAGTTTCAATAGCCTTCCAGGTTCGAAGATTGAATAGGCCCATTACCCAAGTATTTCCGTCGTGATCTTTCCCAAGTTGAGTCATAGAGTTTCTTGCTGTCGGACTGAGCTTGAGTGGAATAGTGACAAAGAAACGAGACATTCCTACTGGGTTGGTCCTCTCACTCTCACCTTCCCCTTGTTTTACCACGGCTGGTCCAAAATCAGCAATGTGGAAGAGATTGCCCCTGGCCCAGTTGGTCGTAACCAGCAGGGTAGCATTAGCTGGCCCTGAGAGAATTTGAACGTCCTTGCCAGAATCCCAAAGTTGACGGAGGCTCCGGAGCAATGCAAGTATTTGCGCCGGCGCTATCTGCTCCTGCAAGGACCTCCTGCACGACAATGCAATCTGTCCAATGGAAGAAGAGAGAAGGCTAGTGGGCAGAGTTGTGAAGCTCTCTGTCACAACATTTTGGATGTACACTTCCTGGCCTGAGTTGCTGAACCCAGGAGCTCGTCCACGCATGTCAAAAGGGTTCATCGCAATGATTGGTCGAGGACTTGGCTGAGATTGAGCCAAAGCCTTGGCCCAAGTGGCAAGCAGCGCATCACTTTCGCTAATCCACGGTGTTTCTGCATCAGGCTTTGAATCCGCGATGATATCGCGAAGACCTTCAGACCTCAGATTTTCCACAGTCTTTTTAGGCAAATACAGGATTCGGGCCTCAATTCGATTCCAAATGATATCCCACAAGAGACACAACGCGAAGAAGATGATGCGAAATCCATCTAGGCGATCTTGCTCAATAACAGATGTCTCTTTCTTAGCAAGATCCAAGTTTGTACTCTCATACAAGATGTCCTCACGCGCGCCGGCGAGAACAGGAAGTTCGGCTTCTCGCCCTGCTAAGACTAGGGACCATGCCTCAACCAGGCTTTTGAGACCCATCATGTCCATGAGGCAGTGTGGCCAGGTCAGACTGACTATGGTGCCATCTTGGAAGGATGCAATATGAAGAGCCAGCGCCGGATCGTCTCTGCTGAGAAACTCCTCCATCGTCTCGGCAGCACCTGGCCTGACCATAAGCGGCCGCAGTGGCACAGGGGATGGATGAAACTTTGGGCCTCCGGTGGATGGTCTGGGGATCTGGCGAGCCAATGGATGCTCCTGGACCTTCACATCGAACACCTCGTGCGTATAGACTACTGCCGGTCGTTCTGGCGTGAACTCGGCTGGCACGTGAAGCTCCCAGGACCTCTGCCCAGGAGGTCGCCTGAAGCGCCCACCCAACTTCCTCCAGTCGCCAATCTCAAGAAGGCGACAGAATGAACCATGGAGTTTGTCTGCGTCAAGGACATCGTTGAACTGCCATGCTGAAGCCAGAAGCATACCGTCAAAGATTGCCTTGTTATCCATAAAATGAGTGGGGTACACAATATCACCCTCAACGGGCTCTAGACGAGGCGGCTTTGAGCCCCAGAGCCACTGCATTTTGTTTTCAGCGATTGAGAACTTGTTTTGGAAGAAACAAGGACACGCGAAACTGTTCTTGCAAGAAGGTGAAATTATTAGTGCGATTTTTCGTTTAGTCAGCGTAAGCAACAACCTTGACGAAATTGCTTCTGCTCCATAGTTGACAGCTAATTTGCTGTTTGGGAAGAAACTGGCGAGACTTGGATTAAAAGCAGGGGGTCTATTTTTAGCGTTATCTTTGGGTCTCTATGCTCATTCAATCTAAGTTTCTCAACCGTTATACTGCTTATATTCTCGAGGCTGGATGTTATTATCGAGGACCAATGAGAAGCATATACGAGGCAATCAACTGATATCGTCGATTTATATCGTTGAATACTCTAGTAGAAAGTGGTCGCCTTTCAATGCAATGTCTTATTTCTTCTACCACCCAGCTGCCAGGCAAGGGAGCAAACAAACCCTTGGAAATCTTTGAGAATGCTTGTCGTAGCGTGATATTAAGATTTAGAACAATAAAGACGGGATACGGAAATTGGGATCGAAACATATCCCGACAGAATCTCTCCTTCGTGTCCGTTCGCACAACTATAACTTGAAGAAACCCCTATCAAGCCTCCGCCGTTGAGAATTTTCTATTTTCTATAGTGAAAGATGTGGCCAATCCTATGGACGAAATCTTTGTCATTTATATAGCTTCCTGGTTATCTTTTTCATATGAGACTAACAACCAGGGGCTATCTATTTCAAAGATTGGGCCTAGAGAACTAATATTTGAGGCTTGATTTAGAAAGCACATTTGAGACACTTCTGGGGTTCGTAAGGGTAGTCTTTATAGCTGAGATTGGCAAGTAATGTCAAAGACTTCTTTGATACGGATATCAAACAGTGGCTGGTCATGAATCGGTATCTGAATCAAGCTTGGACGATCGTTCAATTTACAGATCACAACTTGAGGCACATGGTATATTGTTTCAGTTCCTGTTCAGCCTCGAAATGTTTCCCCTTTGGGTCCCGTTGCCATCAAACTAGGATTTATTTCTAGATTTTGAAAAATTGAAAAGAAGGAAAGTGATTCTGCCTGTCTGGGTAATTTAACATCTTCGGGGAGCGCAGCGGCACAAGCTTTACTGGCAGGATCTTAGAACAACAACCCGGCTTCTCCATCACATTCATGACTTAAGGCAAAATAGTCTGCGTAAACCCAAATAGTTGTAAAGATGAAGGTTAAGGCCAGATAGAATATAGCCATGTAGACGCAGGTTTGAGCAAAAGGTAACAAAGTGCATCCCAAAAGCTTAACAGAAGGTTCGCGCTCAAACCTTGACTTTACAACTGTAGCGAAACAGTACCTCACTGTCTTGTGACTTGATTACGCAAGACTCTATTGAGGCCATAGATGCCTACTTGGAAGCTTTGACGTCCGTGATCCAAGACCACACCTACTACAGTAGCAAGCTTACTTCTATCAAAGTACCCGCTGGTTTATATCATCACATGTTGTGCTTCCTTTAATAATTCTGCACTGAAAGGAACGTTCAACTATTAAATTCAAATCTGTACTGACTCCTTCGACTTTTAGTTGGTCATATTCCATCATGGAAGTCAGGTAGCATAAACAGTCTACCTAGCTGAGAATAAGATGTTGACATAGCGTCCTGGGACTTTTGTAACTGGCCCCACAGAGGCAAAGAAGCATAGCAACGGCGGCACTTGGCAGCGCTAGCTGGAAACGGTAGTACGGTCTGTTTAGCCGGTAGACAGGCCTGGGATCTTGGGTGAGTGGTGGCAGTAAGACAACAGTAGAATGACTAACCAATCATCATTCTATGACCAAATGACTCGTCGTAGGCCTCCCATTATGCCTGGGACTGCGTGGCAGCCCGTCACTCGGGGAACCTCCGAGCAAACTCCTTGCTCGAGAACACAGCCGACCGCCATGGCAACCCTCAGCGAGACAATTAGGGAGAGATAAAAACCGACTAGCAAAGAGGAGAAAAAGAGGATACAAGAAGCGGGGTGACAAGGATTGGCGCCTCTTGACCTTCCTTTTTCTACGGCGCCAACCAAAAGTCTCCCCATTCCGGGGCTATATTAACCTTAAATGACGAGTCCGGGACGTGTATTGTTGATAAAAACCATGGCTTCGGGCCTCATTCTTATCACCGGTATCGGTCAGAAGTGGGAGACTGCCGAGTGCTACAAGAAGAGATCAACACGTCCCACTTTGTCGCTGGGTATAAAATACCACGCCGCCGCAGACCGTCATCCTTCGGCTTGTCTAGTAAACCAAGCAACAACAGCCAGGAAGAGGAAGCCATGGCTCGGTCAAATCTGTTATTCGTTAGCCTGCTCAGCTTGGCTGGTCTGGGAAACTCTTTTGTTTACCAGAACAACCAAGCCGGATTGGCACAGGATGAGCCTCATGTCGCGGCCAATTTCCCAGAACCCACTGGAATCGATATCTTTTCTCCATCTTTCAATGACCCCGAGACTGTGCCCAGTGGTTTTGCCAATGGAACCAGTGGACCTACAAGTCAATACAAGATGGAGAGCTACCTCCAAACCCTGGCAGCCCGCAACGACTGGATTACATATCATAACCCTTCTATTCGGTCTGAAGAGGGCCGCACTCTCCCCTATGTCTATCTCTCAACAAGCACAAGCCAGGAGAGTATTATCACCGACCTGCGCTCACCAGGAAGCTTCTCCAGCTTCACAAACTCCACAAGGAAGATACGAGTGCTTTTGCAAGGTGGTGTGCACGGCAATGAGCCCGCGGGTGATGAGGGTCTTTTGGCCCTGATCGGCAAAATGGATGCGAACCAGACATGGGCCGCGTCCATTCTCGAGAACATCGACATTCTTATTCTCCCGCGTTACAACCCCGACGGCGTGGCCTATTTCCAGAGACAGCTTGCTAGCAATCTCGACCCTAACCGGGACCACACCAAGATGACAAGCCAGCAAACTCGCGACATCAAGAAGCTGGTTATGGAATTCGCCCCTCATCTGGCAGCTGACTGCCATGAATATACTGCTCCGCGAGGAGTAGGAGCTAATGCACAGTGGCTTCCTTCACAAGACGGCCAGTTTTGCGGGGTGAAGAACCTCAACGTCCATGAGGATATTCTGAAACTCCAGGAGGGGCTCTTTGCAGACAGCATGGCCGCTGCTTTGGAGAGGAACGGTTTGCGGTGGAGCGCCTACATTACGGGCAACTCTGGCACCGACGATATTGTTCTCGAGGAGACGACAAGTGATGCGAAGTATGGCGATGTGTCCATCGGCCTGAACCAAGCCGTTGTGTTTACACTTGAGACACGCGGGATCAGACTTGGCGACCAACACTGGAAGCGTCGGTTGGTGTCACAGCTTACCATGGTTGAGGCCCTACTGCAAGCTGCTTCTGATAATTACGAGAGTGTATTCAATACCATTGAGAATGCTCGAGCTGAGTTCATCTCAAGTGACAAGGATATAATTATCACTGATTACGCGAGAGAGACAAACATTACTTGGCCGTATATTGAGCGCGACACTGGCAAGATTGTCGACGTGCCCGTTACGTTGATGAACTGCACCCCCATGGTCGCCAATCTCACCCGCCCCCGCCCTGAAGCATACATCTTCCCACGGGCATGGCGCTTGGCCGCAGAGCTTCTGAGAGACTCGGGTGTCGTCGTTGAGGAGTTGAAGACCAACTTCAAGGGCACCGTCTCGGCACTCAACATCACGACTGCGACGCTCGCCAGTACCAAGTACGAGGGCATCGCGATGACCACTGTGACGACGGAGTCGTTTGAGAAGGAGGTGGAGATCCCAGCTGGCGGATATGTCGTTAGCACACGACAGAAGAATGCTGTCATTGCATTTAATACTCTTGAACCAGAGACGGTTGACTCGTTTGCCAAGTTCAACATTTTGCCAGTCGTAGCTGGTGACGAGTACCAAGTATACAGAATATACTAGAATACGAATAATTGAGATGTAACTGTCTTTCGATAACTGGAATCGGTGGCGTTGCCAAATCTTTGCTGCGTGACACCCAGCGGCTTTGAGCAGTACTGTGAACTCATGATAGATGATGTTCATGAGAATCAAGCCGTGTCACCTCTATTACACCTCAGAACGATTCAAGACCCAGTAAAGTAATCAAGCACGCCCTTTGCAACCAAATCAATGCCAGGGCGAAACGTGGGGCCAACCCTCTCTGAACTTCCGGATAAGTCATCTCGTTTATCTCGGTTGCAATCAACTTTAGAGGTTAGTCGCTCGCTCTGACTCAACTTTGGAGGAATAGCTTAGCCCTCAAATTCACAACAGCGATGTAACCATGAATGCGAATTCCTTTCCCGGCAAATTATTTATTTAGTAGCTATTCTTTCTTCCAACCTCATCCCCAATGCATCAATTAGCAAACTCGTGCTTTCGACTCGTTGGTCTGTCCAAAGCTCTTACTAGGACCTCTCGGCTTCTCCCACTCTGGAGCCATTTCAACGTGTCAAGGACATTCGCAACAAATAGTAAAATGTCACCAGCTAAATCAATCACTGTCATAAGCTCCCCCTATCATGTTGGAGCATACGCTCAGGCGGTTGGAAACGGCCCGCTCGCTCTACTCAACGGTGGACTGATGGACAAGATACGAAATGAAGGCGTCAACGTCCACGAGGTCACACTGCCACGCGTCGACAGCTTTGAGGGGGAAATCGGCAAAAGCTTTCAGCTTCTCCGTCTAACCTCCAAGGCTGTCACACAAGCCGTCGATACCAATTCTTTCCCCATTGTGCTTGCAGGCAATTGCAGCTCGGCCGTTGGAGTCTCTGCTGGCCTTTCCGCTGCTTCTAAGAAGGGCCACGGATGCGTGTGGTTCGACGCTCATGATGACTTCAACACGCCCGATGCACTTTCCAGTGGCTATTTCGATTCCATGCCCGTCGCCATGCTGGCCGATTTGTGCTGGAAAACGTTGCTGAAGAGCGTCCCGGGCTTTACACCGATGGATCTGGTTAAGAACTTTGTTCATTGCGGGATGAGGGATGTAACCGAGCTGGAGAGATCGCGGGTGATGGAAGCTGGATTTACAGTCATCTGGGGTGACGCAGAGACTAAGGTGGACTTTCAAAGCGAGCTTCGATCAGTCATGATGGAGAAGAACTTGGCGTCCTCAATGATTCATCTGGACCTGGACAGTCTGGATCTATCTGTCGGGCGGGTGAATAAATTCTCTGCCCCAGGTGGGCTTCTAGAGAAAGATCTCGTGGGGTGCCTGACGGATATGCCTAACTGGACTCAGCCACTGTCCTTGACTGTTGCCTCGTATGATCCATCCTTTGATAGTGAGGGCAGTATCACACCAGTAGCCATTCGCTCTGTCGTCTCGTTTCTCAAAGCGATGATTCAAGCAGGCTACATTGCGACATCAAAATAGAATTATTCTCCAGCACGAATTAATCATGATTTCTACCAACATGCCAAATCACAGTTTCACTAAACGCAAACAAACAAGTGGAAGTTGTCTGAATCTACAAGATAAGAACAGAAAGCACCAGAGTGAATGGGATGTTTATATGCTGGAATGGCTCGCCCCCTTGGCCTGTTGTATGGCGCTGACAGTACCATAGCGGACATATAGAAAGTGGAACTTCAATTATCGTAGGATCCATGGTGATACGTATTTCCATGACCCCTGAGCATGTAAAAAACCAATAGAGAAGTCCAGGCTATGGTCTTTTGAGAATTCCACATTGCCAGTTGCATGAAGCCATGACCCGTTGCGATCGCTTCAGTTTGTTTGGTTCAGCTACTCGAGGAAACCTTGTTGGGCCCAAGACATGGAGAACGGAAAACATACTCCGTTAAACCCTAATCCACTCGCAATCTCAATCTTGGAACACGCGGCTTGCAAGGGTGGTTGCTTATGCTTATGCGAGCACTAGATCATGGATATACTTAAGCCAACATGACACTCCTGAATAATTCTTCAATCCTTCACCCATCTCATCAGGGTGAAGCAAATCCATCTCACTACCGCTGTTTTAATCCAACTATTAATTGACTATTGCACAAATTCAGGAAATCACAATGGCTCCTGTGTGGTCGAAGCAGCCCTTCAAGGCCATATATGTCGCTATACTAATGGTCAAGGTACCATTAATGTTGCTTCTTGGCACTCGGTTCGCATTCAAGCCATTCCGGCCTCTAGGAAGACTCAGCTTCAAGATCACCCTTATAAACTCTTTGGTCCGGGAATGGCTGCTGTTTGCAGCTCAAACTCGCTCCAGCGGCATGAGCACTGTCAAATCCGACCATGAAAAGATAAAGGAGCGGTGTGCCCAGGCTCAGCCCGCTGGTATCGAGCACTATACCGGTGTTCTGGCAGCCCAGGCTACCGCAAGCCCTGCCTCTGTTGGTGGCCTGTGGTATCCAGGTCCACCGTCATCAACTAGCGATGTCAAGGGAGAGAAAATCGTGGTGCATTTTCCTGGAGGTGCCTTTGTTATGGCTTTCGGTGCTGACGTAAACGGACAAAATTTCAGCAAACCGGTATTGGAGAAACTCAAGGCAGATCGCTTCTTCTTTGCACAATATCGTGTTGCTGAAGATGAGAGCACCAGATTTCCGGCACCTATGCAAGACTTGGTGACCTTCTATCACCATGTTCTGAGTATGGGCTATGATCCAGACAACATTTTGCTATCAGGGGACTCAGCTGGTGCCAATATTCTGACCGGTTTCGTCCGCTACCTCGAGGAAACATCTGTCCTTCCTTCGCCTAAGGGCGTTATGCTGTGGTCACCTTGGGCCAACCCATCTGTGAAGGTCAAGGAGGAATACGACCAGGCGAAGAACGCAGGCGGAGATCTTCTACCGACCAAGCTTCTCCAATGGGGAGTCGAGGCCTACTTCCCCGTCTCATTATCCAAAGAGGTGCTCCCTTACTTATGCCCTTTACACCATGCCTTCAAAACAAAGGCATCACTCTTTGTTCATACAGGCGACGCCGAGGGCCTGTATGAGTCAACCCGAGACTTTGCACAGGAAATGTCTGAAGTAGAAGGTAACCGGGTCAAGCTTCATGTGACTGAGGGTGCGTCGCACAACCCGGTGTACGCACGCGATGGGACTGGGATGGTTGCAGAGATTCATCGTGCCTTTGAAGACGCTCACCAATTCTTTTATGAGGGTGGCCAATGACCGTTCCAGAAATTACGCAGGCGATCTCAACTCGCGATTATTACAACTTCTTTGTCTAAGATACCATTACTTTGAGATTCATGATTTCAATTATATTGATTGGGGTGGTGGTCTAGGTTTGACCGATCCCAAATCTTGTCTGCCATCTGCGGATAGGTTTGTTACATCGAAGGGAGGAGGAAGTCTAGTATGAACCAAAAAGAAATTAACAAGCAAGTCTTTCCTTTACGCCGTGTCTAGCCCATCCCAAGTAATAGAAATACAGTCATCAAGGCTTCTATTCCCAAGAACCAAGCCCTACTACACTTAAGCAGCCTCGCCGTTTTGGGCAAGATAGTTCACAGTGCTGTTGTGGACAGCAGTGATCACACCCTTGAGAGAAATACTCTGCAGGTGCTCGCAAAGACCCTTGGCGGGGGTTCCCTGGCTCAGGAAGTAGGCACCCAGACCAGCAATGTGAGGCGTAGCCATGGAGGTGCCGCTCATAGTCTGGCTGCCGTTTCCGGGCTTGGCGCTGAGAACATCAACGCCGGGGCCGAAAATGTCGACGACCTTGCCGTAGTTGGTGAAGTAGGCAGTCTTGTCGTTCTTGTCGGTCGCACCAACCGTGCAAAGAGTCTCCTCTGAGGCAGGAGAAACAGTACCGGCGTCAAGGGGTCGGCCGAGGAAGTCTCCGTTGCCAGCAGCGACGGCACCGAAGAAGCCGGCGTCAACCAGAGCCTTGCCGGCGGCGTTAACAGCCTCGGACTTGTCTCCACCGAAGGACATGCTGACAACAACGCCGTTGGGGCAGTCTCGGGTAGGGGCGTCCTCAATGACCTTTTCCATGCCGGCAATCATGGAAGCACTATTTAATTGTTAGCAGTGGTGAAAGCCTCGTGTGCAGGGCATTTTAGTTAGTCACTTACTCAGAGCCATCGCCAGAAGCATCGAAGGCCTTGACAGCGAACAGCTTGGACTTCTTGGAAACACCAAAAGTCTTTCCACCAACTGTACCTGCGCAGTGAGTTCCATGACCATGGTCATCCTCGCTGACGTCGCCAAACACAGTTGCTACCCAGGTAGCGCGACCTTCGAACTCCTAAAGACGACCATTATTAGAAGACAGCGTCGCATAACTGACTCAGTGTGGATAACATACAGGGTGCTTAACGTCGATACCCGTGTCAACTACGTACACGCAGACACCCTCGCCAGCGTTCTCATTGTAGGTGTAGGTAGTGGATCCTGGCTGGCGGTTGGAGAGGCGGGCCAGACCCCACGGAGCGTTCTGCTGCGTGGCGAAGATGCTAGCCTTTCCGTTCTGCTGGATATAGGCAACCTGTTCAAAAGAAATCAGTAAGTTGATGAGTCAACAGCTCGAAAAGCAGGGACTACGGACGTTGGGGTCATTGCGGAGGGTCTCAACCTCCTTCTCCGTCAGTGAGGCAGCAAAACCGCCGATGGTATTGTAGACGTGGTCGGCCTCGGCGCTGATGGACTGGACTACTGAGCTGATGGAAGAGGTTTGGGCTCCCTGGTTCATGACGATGATGTATTTGCCCTCTTCAGCATTGTCCCGAGTCAGCAGCGGGGCCCGCCTAAAGGGGGTGGCCGCAGCCAAGGGCAGGAGACCAAGAAGAACTGAGGAGCGCATTTTGTCGACGTTTATTTGACGAATGAGCGGACTGTATTCCCTTTACTTCACAAAGCCGACAGATGGAGATTCGAGATGGGAGACAGCAAGCATCTTCAATGGAAATGATCGTTTTCTTTATACCACAGAGCCCATCGTGGCGTGGAGTTTCCCACTGTTTCATCTTCTGTGGCGTGGAGAAGGTGGATAGTCCCTGTGGTCCTTCAACATGGCGGAGTGTCAGCCAGCTGTCAAATACGGACTAGATAGACAGGGGCAGCGCCACCGCATCAAGGCTCCTACTCTATTTGAGAGAAGCAGCTATACGCCTAGTGCTAAATGGGTGGTTCTTTGGTTATCACGGCCCTCGATGGGGCCATGGGAGATGAGCGCTGGGGCGAGCTGGCCACTAAATATAAATAGGAACAGCTTGTGCTGTGACGATCTTAGGCATTCAGTGCTGATCTGTGACGGCGTATCCGGGTATTATTAAGACCTTCCATACCTGGGCAATGGAAGATGAGCGCGGAAGCCGCGCGATAAAGAGAGTCCACAATGTGGGTTTTGTCTTCATCGATGGGCAAACAACGTGAATAAGCATGGAGTGCTTGAGCGAATTGTCGGCGCCTGAGATAGTGCACGCTCCGTTCTATTCCAATGCCTACTTCCTAGGCATTTGCATGCCAAGAAAATGCGAATACAGGGGAAGGTTGTGAGACATCTCAGAAGCACAAGTTATAGGGCAGACTGAAATGTAACCAGCTCCAAGTTCAAGTGTACGACCGTCTTGGCGCAGCTATTCGTTGTAATGATGAGATCTGGCTGTTTACTTCCTCTTACCTAAGGAAACCTGGTACGGCGCCTCATACTCCATCCTTGGCATAAAACTACCCTCAAAACTAGGGCGCGGCTTGCTCAATATTTTACCCTGAAGCTTCCTGGCGGACTCGAGGAACCGAGCCTTGATTTGATCGATGCTAGTCGCACCATCAAGAGGCGTGAGCTTGCCATGGCGCTTTCTCCATTTCCCGCCTACCATGACAGCCTCGATATCGCTAGGGTGCGAATGCATGACAATTGCCGCGATGGGATCACTCCAGCCAAGCATGTTGTACGAGTCGCCGTTGATGACGAGCAGGTCTGCTTTCGCCCCTACGCGTAGTACACCAATGTCATCTCGGCGAAATGCAAGACCTCCGGAGCGAGTCATGAGGTGGAACGCCTGCTCGACCGTCATGGGAGTCGTGCTGGGAAGTCGGCGATTGTGCGTGACCTGATTGAAGAATTGCTCACGCACGCGATGGAGGTAGAGACGAGCTTGGCCAGGCATGTCTGCGGCACAAGACCACGGGTTATCTACTCCCAGGGCGGTCTGGTCGAGTTGTATGCTGTCGGGGTGAGGTCGGTTCCCCAGAGTTGCTCGGACAAAGGCGTCGTGGAAACGTACACGTCTTTCTTTCGCATGAGACGTGTTTCGTCGAAAATGTCGAATGATGCGTGGGAAAGCACGAATGGGATCTTGGAATTATCAAATGCCCCCAAGTTGTCCAACCTTCCTAGACTGCTCATTGTGTAATACGGCCCGGAGAAGTGGCTCGTCACAACAGCGGCATCGCCCGACCTAAGTATTCCAAGTCAAGCAATGTCCGGTGCCTCACACGATGGCGAGCTTGAAACTCACTTGATAAGCTTGACCACTGCGTCAGTGGTCTCGGAATCAAAGCGCCAGCCGTCATAGCCAATCCCAAGATAGACATTAGAATTAGCCAGTTTCGGTTCCTTGCGGAGTTGATGAAACATGTTGATTTGCTCAAGTGTCCCAGGGAAGTCTTTGCGAGAACGGGAATAGTCCTGGATAGCAAAAGCAAACCAGTTTCTTAGACCAGTTTCGAGGCTTCCAGCAAGATATGCATCGGCCGTTTCTTGATTGAAGGATGCCAGGGCATGTTCCAATACCGATGTTGTTCCTGCGTCCAACATCTCGTACTGGCTAATCAAGTGACCCAAATACACATCTTCAGGATCAAAGTTGTCATAGCTGGTCCCCGCCCACCCATACCGGACGAAGAATTCGGCGATGTGGCTGTCGGCCGCGATAGTTCTATAGGCAGTTTGCCAGCCGTGGTGATGAGTATCGACAAAGCCAGGAGAAATAATCTTTCCCGCAGCATCGATTAGCTCTGCATCATCGGGGATGCTTTGGTCTTCGCCGGTTGGAAAGATGGCTGCGATGGGGTCGCCAGCAATTAGGACAGACGTGTTGGGCAGTGACTTGAAAGAGTCAACATCGTCATCATATACAATCACAGTCGCCCCTTCAATAATAGTATGGTGTGTCATGGTGACTTTCAGCAAAGTTGATCGGCTTGTACATGATAGAGGGTCGGAAGCAGTGATGATGAAGATGAGTTTGAGATTGCACTACTGACTACCGTAGACACATATACTCCTTACGATAATCGATGATAACTTAATCTTTGTTATCTACTTTCATTTCGGCTCCGGCGATAGTTGAGACCGAGACCCAGGTACGATCCCGGCCTCGGTCCTTGTTTGTGTGCGCCGAGCGTACACCATCGCTCGTCTCAACTTTTAGTAGCCGTAAATCAGAGCCGAACAAAAATCGCAAGAAATTTGAGGAGAATTTGCTTAAAAAAAGAAAAAAAAATGTTGTGAGATATCATTTTGATGCGCAATTATCACATAACAGATAAAACCGCGTAATTAAGAGTCGAAACCTTCTGACATCAACTGGCCGAGGGATGTGTTGACCGCACGTCCGCAGTCTGGCTACAAGGTTCGTATTCTGCTAGAACGACACCATTATTTATTATTTTCAGCTGCGTAGCTAACTTGTGAGGCTGCAGTCAAGGGCTTCATGGGCTTTAGTTCAACTAAAACGTCAGTAGCATGATGGTATGGGGTTATTTAAACTATGCATATCTCCTCCCAATTAATAGCACCATCCATAGCTTCCCCATACATTATGCCATGAACATATGCCGTTCCAACCAGAGTATAAGTGTCCCCACGCGGTCTCAAAATAAGGGGACATGGACAGCCATTCACGATCGCAATCATATCCGAGCGTTCAACCTGCATTGGAACGTTGCAAATATGCCCTTTGGTGCCCATGGCGATTCTTCTGTTCAGCATACTTCCGTCCATCCCCATGAGGAATCTAGAGGCATTATCCCTATACTCGGTCAGTTTGTTGGCCATCAACTCTTCTGTGAATGCCTGTGGGTGGTTCAAGTCGGTGTTCAGAATCTGTGTTGTCAAATTTTCTAAACCCGTGAACGAAGGCATATGTCCTGAGGAATCAGACTTGGCGAGCTCGTTGATCCCCTGAAGGTCTTGAAGATACTTGTCTAGCGCATCGCCACCTCCGGGAAAATGCTGCGCGATATTCTGTAGAATGTAGGCGCGAAACATGTCACCGTTTTTTGAATCAGGCCACTGAGCTGGATAGTTTCGGCCGACGGAGTTCATCAACAGAGTTCTCCAAAACGCTTCAACACGGGACTCTCCCGTCCATGAGTAGATCGGGTCCAACAATAAAAGGTCTTGAGTCCAGCTATACCACCGCGGCCCAATCAAGTCGGCAAGGGAAGCGCTCAGAGTTTTTACATGCCCAATCTTGATCGTTTCAACGTACAAGGTCGGCCCAGAAACCTTGAGTTTTCTCCTCTCACTTTGGTTTGAATTTGAACTCGACTTGCAAACATCAAATTGCGGTCTAATCAATGCCATAAGATCAAGACCGCGCCGTCTTGAAAAGTTCGGAACCCAGGACGGGAGGTGATAGTTGCCGTCTTGTAGAGGGTCATTCAGAGCCATCAACACGGCCAGGCTATCTGTCTCTTCCGTGACTTTACTCATGAGTCGCTGGTACACCTGATACGGGGTGACATGCGATGAGTATTCGGCCTGGATCTCGTTTGGTTCAAGACCATCTTGCTCGACAATATGATTCACCAGTCCAAGTTGGCCAAATACTTTGTCTCTCGGGTCTGAAGCATCTGTCCATCGATTGACCATGCAGAAATACAGCAGCCAGGATGAAGCACTTGGGAACTTAGCCCCAGTAAGAGACTTCATCTCATTAAGCAGCGTATCGTCGGCAGTGCCTAGAGATCTCTCCAGATATCTTTGTCGGCTATGATATAATTGAAAGGCATTCGTAAAAGGGTCGGAAACAGCCCAATCCCTTTCCAAACTCTCTTCTTGATTAAGAAGGTCACCATGTCCCGCGGCGGTTATGGAGTTAAGTTTGCCAACCTTGGCGACCTGGCCAACGAAAGAAATGTGCCCAAGGTCCACCCATGGTAAGGCATTATGTCCCCAGAACAAGACAACTTTTTTCGTTGATAGAGTCACTTCTTGTATGATCCAGACTCTGTTGAACCAACGATGCTCGAAGAACTGCGTCAACGGCTTCCATGCCTTGGCATCGTCAATTCTTGGCAGGCCATGACTTTCCCAGAACTCGGGTGGCGGAGGGGAACCATTGGGGAAGTGTTTATAATAAGGCATTAAATCTGCTGCTGGTACCTTCAGCATCTTGTCGAAGAACCCAAGGGTTTCCCAACTCCCCGGGTTGGACTGGCCGAGCCAAACTGCCGTGGTTTGTGCTCGCATGAATATTTGGTCCATAATGCTCACTTGAGCAGCTCGTTCAGCGATGTCATCTTGGTTGATACAAATAGCATCGATCCATAAATGCTGAACGTCATCATTAAACTCCCAAAACCATAGCAGACTGGATAGAGCCTCTTTCAAATTTCTGAGGACGTGAAACTGCTGGTTATTGACATAGATGGGGAAGTGCTGCTGATATGCCTTGATCACGCCGGGACTCTGATTATGGGGATGGCCCCAAGTGTAGGAAAGAGCAACGAACTTGGGCAAATCGTGGATGGGATAAGCAGAGAGCACAAGTCTGGGACTCTGGAGACCAAAGGTGTACCACTTTGGCTTGATGAATTGGACGAGTCGGATGCTGTCCCTGCCAAGAGCATCAGGATATGCGAAGGGACTTCTCGCTACGCATCTCGAAACGACAGACCATATCTTGGAGAAAAATGCCCCCATAATAGCCCGTGGGTGCCAATGGGACCAGGCATGGATAGGGGTTATGGAAAGTGTGCATGAGGTCGCGCCCAGCACTTGGTGGCGATGCTGAAACTCATGCTCCACTGCGGCTGAGCAAGCATGTGACAGGGGACGTGTTGTTCATATCCTTCTACTCGCCGCTCAGTGATGTTTTATGGTGTTAGTGTCATGGAGGTTTCTCTTTCGCGGAATTCGGCACGAGTCTCGTGAGGATGCCCATTGAAGATGTCCTCGCGAGACGTATTGCGACAGATCCATCTAGAATGTTCGCGCCATTTGGCAATGGAATCATATAGAGAAATGAGGCGGCGAATGTTCATCTCTTTTCCAGGGCGAATGGTTTAGTGGTATAATACTCCCTTAGCACGGGCGAAGGCTCGCGACATCCATGGGAGTGGTCCAGGGTTCGATTCCCTGTTCGTCCAATTTTTTGCCCAACTAGCCAATCAACTCCTGCTTTAAGCGTGATAGCAAATATAGTAGACTTCTTTGGGCGTATTTACGTTGCTTTACCTAACCATATTTGCAGAGAAGTATACAAACTGCTATTGACGGGAATAGGCGTTGATGTTTCTTTTCTTGTCAGCCCTTTCAATGATTATTACGTCCAACGGTGACTGAAAGCACCGCCAAGCTGGCCTATCACAGATTTTCCAAGCCTGTTCGTGGAATACAGTCAGCCCGGCAATCAGAATCTGCCATCCTTCAATCATCGTCATACTAATAATCGATTGGCAAATAATGCATTGATTATACTCATTGCTGAGTTGAAAAACAGGGCAGAGAATCATAGGCAGGGCATATCGGAAGATGCTCGATTCGCACCATAGGTTGATATAGGGTATTTGCTTTGGTGGATGATCACCGACACCAAGATTCTGTCTGGGAGACCAATAATAACTCGTGGGAGCTCAGCTGGGATGTAAGACATGGTCGCGACTTTACACCAACTCATGTGATAGGCCCAAGATGCCAGCTTGGTGGGCCACCCCTGCTCCAGCCGCCGCAGTTCTATTCAGCTCCCCACACTCATCAATTGCCACGATATTTCCTCCGTCTCCCCATCTACCGCCATTCTGTTTGGTTCTAATAACAAGGTTGCATGTTCCTAAGTTCTGAAACCCGACCTTGTTTGCTGCGGCGTATGAGGTACATTCAATCTGCCGGCTTTGGGTAGTGTTGGGTGTCGAGGCTTTAACCCTTGTCGGCTCAGGGCTGGCTGCCTCGCGTAATGTCAGGGAAGCGCGATTCGTTTCTGTCCCTCCCGACCAAGAAATGGAAGAAGATACTTGGTTTCGGGCTCGATGATGATGAAATACAATCCAAAGTGCTTGAGGCTACTTCAGGCAACAAGGCCAGCAATGACCTCTCTAGTTTTAGTCAGGTCGTTCAGTTGACTGGTTCTGGGTGAGTGGCACGCGAAATAGGTTGAGACCTCGCTTGAGTTTAACCACGCTCTAATTCAAGTCTTACTCAAATAGATCGGACAAGACGCTTAAGACATTAAAGGCAGTCCATAGGGTCATCATAAGTGATGAATGGTATGTAGCATTCAAAGGTTTACAACTTCTTAATTACCTACTTCACTATGGCGGCGACTACGTCTTACACTGGGTTCTTGAGAATCTAAGAAGCCTAGAGGAATATGCACGGAATCTGGATGACTACCACCACAAACGAGTCCTCCAAGAACAGTTGAGGGTTATCCGGCTACTCGTTGAGGACAATCGGCAGCTTGACAAGGAACGAGAAGATACCTCGCACAACGGATGGCTAAACAAAGTCACCAGACCGCCTCCGGCACACCCAGATCCGGGGTACATACTCACCAACTCGAGTTCAGGTCTCCCAAACCTGACGCTAACTACAACATCATCGACTCGTGTGAGTCCTTCGGGAAGCCTTTCTGGTTCAACTATATCGCTCAACCCAGAGCCTCCGAACAAACCAATAGCTGCCATATGGGAAAGACGCTGGAAAACACAGGGCGGGATGGATAAGGCCGTTGGGTTCCCTGCTGCGGACAGGGGCGGAAACTCAAGGACCCAAAGTAAAGACTTCCCAGCAACATGTCTCACGGACGGATCTAGAGAAGCACACCACAAGATGGTGGCAAAATTAACCCTACAGGCCATTCATATGCTGCTAGCATGTCAGTCAATCATAGAATTTCTCCAGACGAACGGGGACAAAATGTTGTTTTCAAGGGAGAGCGACGCAGAGCTATGGAAGATATATCTGAGCCGAGTTTCAAAGCGCGGCACCTACAGTGTGAACCAATGCCGAGAAGAGCTTGCCCTATACTTTCAAGACATCGAGAGAGGTCTATCAGAGAAGCTCCACCAACTGGGTAGCCCAATGCTGGAGAAAGCCATAAAGGAAATGCAAGACCTATCACTCTCTCTTGGAAGCTTCGTCGACTTCGGAGGTGTGTGCGTTTTCGCCGACGATGAGTTGGGGCTCGCCTCTTATCGCCTTTTCAGCGAACCAGGGAAGAAAAGATTCGATTTTGTGGACAAGTGGGAGGTGCAGATCAACGAGATTGCAGCAAGAAATAGGGAAAGTATTTTGGGCGATTTGAATGAAGCGGAGAAAGGGGACCTGCAATTTCGACGAACCTATCTCGATCTCGCGTTGGCGATGAGGAAGATAGCAGCGCAATTTGCCCACTTCGCGCGGAAATCGGGCTCCGGGTCCTCAGCGAAACTCGAGGAGCTTTACGCCTCAAACCCATTTGGTTTAAGAACGGCTACCCGAACACAGGCCCGTTGTGAAGAGACAAGAGAAGAACCAAACCTGACGTTTCTCACTGCTCCCCAGGACTCGGAATATAAGACCAGTTTTGTTGCTCTTGTGGATGAGGGTTCACACGTTATATCCAGAGAAAAGACCACAAAGGCCATACAGAGATTGAACATCCACCCGCGCTCGCTAGCACATATTTGGCAAGCTGTTGGGGATGTGACTTCGTCAAATGAGCTCTACTTTCCTGAGTTTGCCTTGGCTATGTATCTTGGCAATGAACTGCGCGAGGGCAGATCTATACCGTTGAAGTTGCCGCCAACTATCAAGAAGAATGTTGAAGACCGAGTCAATTTCATCGTGGCGAACATTGCCCAGAACACTTCGAATACTTGGGTCACTAAACACCGACAGAACACGGATGGTGAAATACTCAAAAATGGCCAGCAAGAGGAAGAGGAGCAACCAAGTGCACAGCTTCCGCAAGGTGCTGAACTTCAAAGAACAATCAATGAAGTCCGTGAAAACGTGAAACGCGCTGTAACTGAAATGACTCAAGGAGATCATTGCTATGTTTCTGGCGATGAGGAAGATCAGCCAAGTCCAACACAGCTTTGGGTTTGGAAAGATGTTGAACTTGGGAGAAGAATAAATGAAGTCAGTGACCAAGTGAGACGCGCGATGATTGAAATGACTGAAGGGGATCACGCTTATATTTCCGACGAGGATTCGAGTGAATCACATACACTGGGACTTTCTTGGACACCAAGCCGGGGAAGCAGTATTAGAGAAACTCCCCGGATGAACGACCAAGAGAATGAAATCTCTGAACATATGGGATTGGAGACTACGATAAAGGGCACACAAGGCGAATCTTTTGAAGTAGAAGGGGGGACGAAGCATACAGAGCCAAGCCCCGCGAAGAATATATGGAGCGATATTCCCGTGCGGAATGGGGATCTTGAAAGCGAGGCAGTATTGGACGATCTGGATGGAATATTCCTGAGGGCATATGAAGACAAGCTGCTACGGGACGCTGAACAAGAGCGGCAGGCAGAAGGCGCAGCCAAGGCCAAGCTTAAACTACTACGAGATATGGAAGAGGATGAAAAGCGAGCCCATAAAGCTGCAGTTGAGGCACGGCGACGGGCCGAAGCCGCAGCTGAGGAGAGACTACAGGTCGAAGCCGCAGCTGAAGAACGACGACGAGCGAAAGCCGCAGCTGAAGCTGAGTTTGAAGTACGACCTCATTTCGAAGAGGAAGAACGACGAGGCCTTAAAGTTGCAGCTGCAGCTGAGGCCGAAGCTGAAGAACGACGACAGTCTGTGGAAGCGCAACAGAAACGAGAGACGGACACCCAACGGCAACAGGAAGCAAGGTTGAGGGACCAAGAGGGCTGTGGTGAGTCAACCGGTGAACTGTTTCTCGACAGCGTGGAGGATCTTGTGATGCCGAGGGAAGAAACCGAAAGAAACATCATAGCAAGCACTTCCGAAGGGGATAATTCGCAAATTGTGGATATCTCACCACAATCAGGGCGACCGGGGACTTTTGACAGCCAGGAGGAGGATTCCCGTAGACAGACATTGACCAAGCGAAGAGAAACCCCTATCCCTTCGACGGGAGAGGGCACAGCAACAGGGACACAGATGCCCCAACACCGGCAGATGGAGTTATTAAGGCATCAGGACGATAGAAATCAGACGCCCTCTCCACAGCTAAGAATACAACGACAACAGACGCCGAATTCAGATCTTAGCAGCATCAGCAGTAGTAGGACTATTCCTGATCTTGTTCGCGACTCGAAGCTCGAGACAGCCTTCGCCCCAAATGGCCAAGTCGTACGCCATGTTTCGTATGCAACAAACCCCCGTATGCGCCGACGCCGGGTGCGAAAGGAAGAAATATGGGAGAGACAGAGTGAGTTGGGGAGCGGTGCCTTTGGGCGAGTGTGGCTAGAGAAGTGCGCTACCGGAGATGACATTGGGAAGCTTCGCGCTGTCAAAGAGATTACCAAGCTCCAGCGCCAAAGCAGGAGCAGCGAGATCGATTATAACCGGGAGTTGGAGGCCATTGCCAAGTTCTCCCACAAGAAGGTATGCCAGAAGCTTTTAGTGCTCGAGCATGACACGTCTAGCACTTTTATGCTAACAGGTCAATTGTAGTACGTCCATTGCTTTGTGCAGTCATTTGGGTGGTATGAGAGCGAGGAAGCAATCTTCATCGCTATGGAGTACCTGGAACATGGTGATCTTCAAAGTCACTTGGACAGACCATTTCCTGAAGATGAAGTGAGGGACATCGTGTTCCAACTTCTCGAGGGTCTGAGTTTCATGCACGAGAACGGCTTCGCTCACCGTGATTTAAAGCCAGCCGTGAGCTAAAGCCCATCTAAATTTCAGCGTATGAAAAACGAGCTAACCAGAATAGAATATTCTCGTCTCTGAGCACTCGCCAAATTGGTGGGTCAAGATAAGTGATTTCGGGATTTCCAAGAGAGCCGAGGAGGAGGCCACTGCGTTTCGCACACTCGTGGGAACTCGCGGATACATTGCTCCCGAGGTCATCGGCATATATTGCCCAGAGGATATTGCTACGATTGCGGACTCGTCAAGTCTGTACACTGTGGCTGTTGATCTGTGGGCGCTGGGGGCTATAATGTTTAAATTGCTCACGCATGAAAACATTTTTGCCGAGCCTCTTGAGCTGGCGAGATATGTCACCGCCAGACGGCCCTTCCCCAAGGCTCTGGTCTCGGAGAAAGGGGCAAGTGAGGCGTGTATGAGTTTCCTCGAAAAAGCGATGGCCCACTCACCAACCTCCCGTCCGACCTCCTCCCAAGCTTTAGCACATGAATGGCTGGCAGATTTATCGAATCCAGCAGACTCTTCAGAGGAATTCCCCGATACAATGCAAGTACAGTTCCCCCAGGGTGCTAGATACGGTCTAACGAACATAACCAATAGGTCTCCCTCCACAGGTGGGCTCTCCACAGGGCCATTCGCGCCTGTTCCAGGCGAGTCCACTGCTAGTGCAGCGTGGCCGTCGACATTCTCATAATATGTCCAGGAAGGTCGTGGGGAGAATTAGGCGCAATCTTCAGCTAGTTTAATGCAACACAGTGAGAGTGCGGCTGACGATTTACCGAAAAGGGGCAGCCTCTAGCCAGCATCATGCCTGCTTGCGAGTATCGGAGGGCACTTGGTGTGAGGTAATAATCATCATAAAGGTGATTAATCATCCATGGCAGGTGATTTAGAGAGTATTCTGGCTGTTATCGCCGTATATACGGCTCTGTACTGCTCTCTGGAGCATTTGTCACGATGTAAATAAAGTTATCGACGGCAAGCATCTAGCTAGTGTTGTCCTCATGTGGATACAGACCCTTAAGCCGAAGAAAGCCTTCCTCTGCTGGGGCCCCTGCAAAGCTCCCATCGGATTGCCCTTGGTCCAGAATGGTGAGAGGGCGCTATGAATCCATAATTGGACAAAAGAAGGTGCTTCAGTTCTTCTAGTGAGCCGCTAGAAAGATTTAAGTAGGACTAAGCTCCCCACTGTGTGGATGCAATGCCTGTGCCGACATAAACCGTGCAGATGGTCCCCTTGAACGAACGTGAAGGCTGAGCAGCGCCAACACGAGCTGGGTGTGGTTGATTACTTTGCCGTACAAATTTAAATGACAGCACGGACATTTATCTAGTTATCGTTCAGTATAGAGATGGTATGGTACGAGCTGATTGGGAAACAATAATGGTTCGAGTAGAGAAGAAGCGGTATTGACCTATGATGCCATATTCAACGGGGCCCCCGACAGATGGTGACGGGGCAGCTCCCGCTATTGGTCCTGTACATTATGCTTTTTCCCGCTGTCGAACAAATTTTCTCTCACCAAGGCTATTGCTAGTGTGGGGAAACATTTGGAGAATGGCTGCTGATTGTGCTGGAGCGTGGCGAGATCCGAGTCATGAGTCGTTCTCGGTGCGCCCTCGGCATGTTAGTCTAATGAGAACGGCTGGAGGCGTTCTTGGCAGCTGAGAGATCATCTTACTCGGGCAATCGCCAAAAGTGTAAAACACTGTTGGTCGCCAACAGCCATAACAGGTGATTACTACCTTGCTTGCTCATCAGCATGAACACATAGGACTTATGTCCTCCACAATTTTGGGGCCTCCCTGTTGGCCGTGGACCATCCAGATAAAAAGATATCGAGAGATAGTGGAATGCAGATCTTGTTTGTTATTGATGTGTGTAATAGCGGGCCATCCGACCTTGCCAACCAGCAGCGACTGGATCAAATTCTGTTTCCCCAATCCTGCAGCTCCTGGTGCTCCACACAGTACGTAGTATGAAAAGAATCGGCTCAAGCCTAGTGATAGGAGCGGGCAGCTCGGAAGTAGACACTGTGGTGGTGGAGAAAAGATCTCCACCACTCTGAGATTGCGCCTTTCTCCATGGCTTGGCCGCTGACAGTTCGGAAGCGGCCACAATGATTCATTGCCGGAACTGGCTTGGCGGCCAAGACGGCACATCCATTCCTCGACACTCATCTGCCGTCTGCCTGTGATGGGCTTCTAGTTGAGTATCGAGCAGAGGAGGGAGGGGAAGAATAGGGGGAAGAAGGAGAAGAAGAAAAGAAGCGACAGAGGGAGGCAGCCAGGCAGCCGTCTTGTTGGTGTGTGCACAGACACTTCTTCCGGGCCTTCCCCCAGGTCACCTCATCACGTTTGTGCCGCTGGATGGATACCGTTGAGTAATGGAAAACTCTGACTTTGGGGTTCTCCCTCTTCCCCCGCAAAGAACCCCAGGGCCAGTACGTAATGAGATGAAGATAATTGAATCTCTGTCGGCGACCACATGCTTGCTGCACTCTGTCCTCAGCTGGTTATTTCTCCTCGTCACCAAAAGGCGTGGTTGACGAGTTCGCCTGGCCGGGATCGTTCGATTCCTTCTCGAAGCCGCCAGAAAAAGTTGGAGAAGCCGCACTAGGCGGCATTGGGTGCACCTATTTACTGCAGCCGTAATATTACTGCGACACACGGTCACACACCTTCCAGTGATCAACCAGGGGGGAGGCTGCCTCCCACCTCCGGTTATCGGTTACGACGGACCAGTCCTCGGCTTATGGTCGAGGGTCCCGCCACTGGGCTGGCTCTATCTGGGCGTCCCCTTGCGCTAGTTTGTAACGTTGGTTGTGTGGAGGAGTGGTCAATTATGGCTGCAGGGCGTACGTCGTAAGTACTGTGTTTGCATTAGCTTCTTTGAACAAGGTTGATCTTCTCCCACTTCTAACCGTCGACCCGTTGTTTTCGGTCTGGGTATAAATCTCTCCCCATTGCCACTTTGGATGATCTGGTTTCCACTTCAACCATCCTGATAATTGCTTTGGGTTGCTGTCCTGGTGATAGTTCTCGTACCCATTTACCCACCACCTAATAATCCTCCCCCAGACGTCTCCTAGTGCACCACCGCAATCATGCGCAAGGAGATCGAGAAGGAGTACGGCGATGTCGACGTGGACGGTGAGACCGGCCCAACCGCCACCAACGAGTACAACCTCGCAACCCAACATGACCAGCTCGAGCGCGGTCTCAAGAGCCGCCACATCCAGTTCCTTGCTCTTGGTATGTCCCATCACCGGAAGATAGGTGTAAATAGTATGCGCTGACCCTGATGAATGTTAGGTGGCGCCATTGGAACAGGTCTCTTCGTTGGTTCCGGCAGCATCCTCTCTGCTAGTGGCCCTGCACCCCTTTTCATGGTAAGATAGCATAGTCCCTCGTCATTGACGCTGGCTGACCAACCGATCGCTTTAGGGCTATTGCTCCATGATGATCCTCGTCTGGTGCATTATGAACGTTCTCGCCGAAATGGTTACCTATCTGCCGATGCGTGGTATTACCGTCCCCTACTTTGTAACTCGATTCGTGGACCCTAGCTTGGGTTTCGCCGCTGGTTGGAACTATTGGTACGCCTACTCCATGCTGGTTGGAGCTGAAGCTGTAGCGGCTGGCATTATCATCGATTACTGGAGCCCTCCCGTCAACATGGCTCTGTGGATCGCCATTGTCCTCGTCGTCATGCTCCTCCTCAACATCATCGCTGTTAGCTTCTTCGGTGAGGCTGAGTTCTGGTTTGCCAGTATTAAGCTCATTCTTATCATGGGACTCATCATTCTTGGCTGGGTCATTTTCTTTGGCGGCGGCCCAAACCAGACTGAGGTCCGCGGATTCTACTATTACAAGACCCCGGGTGCTTTTGTCGAATATAATACCCCGGGCCACGCTGGAAAGTTCCTCGCTTATTGGCACGCCTTCGCCAGTTGCGGATTCGCCTTCATTACTTCTCCTGAACTCATTGCTATCGCTGCTGGTGAGACCGTCGCTCCCCGTCGCAACATTCCCAAAGCAGCCCGTCGGTTCATTTGGCGTCTTGCCATCTTCTATGGTGTTTCATCACTCCTTATTGGTATCCTGGTGCCTTACAATGAGAAGGCTCTTGGCACAGCTGGTAATGCTAGTGCATCCCCTTGGGTGATTGGCATCCAGAATGCCGGTATACCTGTTCTGAACCATATCATCAATGCTTGCATTCTCACCTCCGCTTGGTCCGCCGGTAACTCCTTTTTGTACTCTGGCAGCCGTATCCTATATTCTCTCTCCCTCAGTGGCCAAGCACCTAAGATTTTCAGCCGCACCAACGCCAAGGGTGTCCCTTGGCTTGCCGTCCTTGCAACCTGGACAATCGGCTTGCTTGCCTTCCTCAATGTCTCCCCAGATGGTGCCAAGGTCTTCAACTGGTTCATGAACATCTCCACGATTTCTGGATACATCGCTTGGATCGTGGTCCTTATCACCTATATCCGATTCCGAAAGGCCATGGAACTCAACAACCTTCTCAGCAGCCTCCCCTACAAGACCCGGTTCCAACCATACTTCACCTACTTTACACTTTTCGTGATCAGCCTTCTCACGCTTACCAACGGTTTCCAAATCTTCATTCCCAAGAACTGGAATGTCCAAGACTTCTTGGCTGCGTACATCACCATCCCTATCTTCCTTGTCTTCTACCTGGGCCATAAGATTTGGTTCCGAACTCCATTCTACATTCCCATTGACCAGATTGATGTTACTACCGGAAAGAAGGAGATGGATGAGCTGGAAGCTAGAGACGTCCCTCCCGTACCAAGGAACCTTCTTGAGAAGATCTGGTTTTGGGTTGCTTAGATAGGGGCCGCAACAGCACAGATGTGATTGGTTGGAGGAGGCAATTGAATTCTCTGCATTAGAACAATCTATAGGTTGACTTCACGCTCCAAAACATATATAGCACCGATAGAGAAAACTTCACGCATGAATATAATCTTTGCTCAAGATGGGTTAATTTCTTTTCATCACGCCGAAAGACAGCAATTCCTGGCAACATAAGATTCTGTAATTGAAGCTTAGAGCGGTATCGGCCCCCAGCATCTTTCATCATGAACACTACTTTAACTCTGGGTTGGTGCGTCGTTGTGACCGATCCAGGTGCTTCCATCATCCTTACCACGTTGAATTGTTGAGAGATTGAATGCCAATCACTTTTAGCCGCCAAGCAATGCATGTTCGCCCCAGAAACTTTGAAGACACTTCGCCGATCCCTTACTATCAATCAACCTTGGCATCTTTGAAAATACGAGAGGCTTGGATTGTCCTGGACTAAGTATGGGGCTAATACACCACCTTGATTCATGTTCGCAACGATGATTCAAAACCGCGGGCCTCATGGCTTGAGAGAGAGAGAGCATACTAACGGCTTTTTGTCAGCATACCTATTCTTGAAGACAAAAGCACTCCAATGTCGACCCGTGATAAGATAAATTAACCACGGATGCTCGCCATTTGTTTTCGAGTAATATAGGCCAGCGCTACTACACTGATGGCAGGCAAAACCCAACGCAGTGAACTGCTGGGACCAACGCGCCGTTGATCCTCCAATGTCTCTCCTCGTTTGAAACCCATGGTGTTGGCGATGTTTGTTCGGCCAACGTGCTTCATATCATAAGGCGCATACGTGACGTTGAGGACCCTATCCAGAAACGACGGAGGCGTAACGACCGTTCGTTTATGCGTGAAGCAATCGATACTATGCTCTCCATGAAATGTACCATGGCCGGAATCCCCGACTCCTCCAAATGGGGCCGAGTCCACGAACGAGTGAAACAACGTGCCGTTGACTGTGATACCTCCGCTGTCGACCTGGTCCAAAATCTTATTCGTCACAGCGTCATCTTTGCTGAACACGTACATAGCCAGCGGTTTCGGCAGTGACTTCGTAATTCTGATTGCCTCATCGACAGTAGCTGTAATTATTGGAAGGAGGAGGCCGAAGATCTCCTCAGACATTAACGAGTCATCTAGAGTGATCCCCTTGATGATGGTGGGATGTATAAATTTGTCCTCCCTATTGACTCTTCCACCGTAGACTATCTCTCCCTTGGTATTGTTGAGAAGCCGCACAACCCGATCGAAGTTGTGCTCGTTGATAATGCGGGACATGTGGCTATCGCCTTGCTTCAAGTACTGGTCATTCCAGTAGATCATACGTTCCAACAACTGATCCGCGATTTCAGGCTCAGCAAAGACATGGTTGATGTTTGTACAGATCTGGCCGGCATTCATAAACTTGGTGTTGGAAATACGCCGCGCCGCAAGCTCAATATCACACGATTTGGTGACAATGCAGGGCCCCTGACCTCCCAGCTCCAACACTGTCGAGGTGAGATGTTTGGCCGCTGCCGCCGCCACCACTCGGCCTACCTTGCTGGACCCAACAAAGAAGATCTGATCGAACGGTTTTTTGAGGATATAAGTTGTCTCTTCCACACCCCCGGTAGCGAGCCGGATTGCCTGGGGATCAAGATACTTCGGGAACAGATCTCCCAGGAGTGCCTCGGTGTGTGTTGCGACCTCGGAAGGCTTTACCATGACACAACACCCAGCCGCTATAGCACCGACGAGCGGGTTGAGAGCAACGTAGAGGGGATAGTTCCAGGTCCCAATTATGAGTGCAACACCAAGGGGCTCCTTTCGATAGTGTGCTTTACCCAGGACCCCAAAGACGAAACCCGCATCCGCGAGCTTGACATTAGCCGTCCATTTATCGAGGTTCTTCAATGTGTACATAATTGCATGTTTCGTACTGCGCAAGTCTCCAAGACTGCTTTCAAATGGGTGGCGACCCAAATCTCTGTGCAGAGCGTTGATGATTTGCTCCGTGTTGTCCTCCACCAACCACCAAAGCTGTTTCAGCTGCCACCTTCGCCACGCAATCTCTTTGGTTTTCCCCGTAGAAAATGTTGCCGTGAGCGTCTCGTAGGACTCGTCAATTTCTTCTTGGGTGCTGTATTGCAAAACCATCTTGCTGTAACGATCAAACAGATCTAGAGGAGATAGTAGTATCACTCTTTGCCAGACTAGTCGTTATGTTCCCTAGGCGGAGACCAAGAAAGACAACCTTCACCAGATATGTGGACAGTTGTTCTTGAGCAGGGTTCGCGCAATACGTGCACTATATCAACCCTAGACGTCGGAAATCGGAGTCCAAGTCTATTTTCAGTGCTGATGTCAGCTCATTTTCCACAAATCCTTTGACCGCGCTCCTGTTCGCTCTCTCTATTTAGGCAGGAGAATACAATTCGCTGCGCTTTGGGGTTTCTGGAATATGATCGTGAGCTATGATTTATACTTGACTGGTCACGTCACACGGGAACGGGAAAATTGAACTTCCGCTCTCAGTTGCAAGAATAGTGACCTGGACAGTCTTGTCGAGTGTCTCGGGAATGGATGTTTACCTCCGTTTTCACACAGAAGGTAGATACATTCGACATGGAGACCTCATCTTAAGATAAAGTTAAAATTAGGGGTAGATATTTAACGGCTTGGTAGGGGGTAGGTTAGGGATAAAGTATGAAAGATCACCAATTTATGGATCTCAATTCAAGATAGCGGAAATGAAGCAATAAGGTATTTATGATGGAGTTAAACTAACGAGATGTTTTGAGATGAAATTTAGGATGTAAGACTTAAGTATCGCATAGCTATAAGTGTCAAAGGATAAATCTAGGATAGTATCTCAGTCATGGAACCCCGTCCAAATCAAAAATTAGTCCCCAAGTTATTGTAGCCAGTTATGGATCTACTGGCGTACTCATACAAACTTGTTGATAAGGTGCTTATCTTGAGAAGGAGTTTTTCGTGGGGGTTCGAGGAGAATGGAGGAGAGAGACAGAGGCACCTTTTGTCTTCAATGCAAGCATATTTGTCCAACCTACTCAATTGATTGCTGGACAAGCTATCGTACCCCAGTTTTTGGTTTAGACGTCGCAGAGATACAGTGCCCGTCAATAGCACAGCAGCTTATCCAGGGGCCGACTCGCTAATGGAGGGATTTTTCATCAAAAGGGGCCCACGAATATGGGCTAATGAGTCCCATACACGCTAATTTGACACCGGCAGTTGGTATTGCGAACTTTTTTGAACCAATGGCGTGATACTTGACAAATGTGCATCGGCAGATCACTCAGCGTCGTTTCTCCGTTGACGGAGGGCACTCTAACCTTCACATAGACATCGTCTACGATGCCTTCTCGCACGGAAGTTGCGAAACACAACACGAAAAATTCATGCTGGGTCGTCATTTCTGGCATAGTCTACGACGTCACCCAATTGATTGACCAGCATCCCGGAGGCGCAAATGCGATTCTCGCGCTGGCTGGTAAGGACGCAACTGAAGATTTCGACCTGTTCCATTCTCCAAGCACAATCAAGAGTAGGCCTGAACAAGGTGAGCACTTACTAATGTCCCGTTCGATCGCTTGGATTGCGGAAACAGAATCTGATAAGCGTAATATAAAGTGATCGAGATAGGACCTGTTGCTGCCGGTGACAGCTCATCACGGCCACCTCCTTCGCCACTAGCACCTTTCCTTGCACCAGATAAGCCAGACTCCCGAGAAACCTCGCTGAAGATGAGTACAAAACTTCCACTCGTTGCGTGTAGATCGCTGCAGGACTTTGAAAATACCGCTCTCCAGCTTTTGCCGGAGAGAAGCCGCGTATATTTCAATACCGGATCAGAAACAAGATCTGCTTTTGACAACAATCGTTCAGACTGGGCCCGCCTCTCTTTCCGGCCCCGTGTTCTCCGAGATGCGTCCAAACTCTCCATGAGAGAGCGAATTATGGGCGCTCATAGCACCCTGCCCATCTTCATCGCTCCTACAGCGTCTGCGCAACTCGGCAACCCGGACGGTGAGCTTTGTTTCACTCGAGCTGCTGCGCGGATGGGTATCCCGCAAGGACTGAGCACGTATGCCTCCAAATCCCCTCTGGAGGTGGCTGAATGCTTTCAGAATGAGCCAGAAAGGCGTGGCGGTGCATTGTTCTACCAACTGTACGTGCCGAAAACGAAGAGAAATGCTGAGCGTATGCTAGCCGAGGCAAAGTCATTGGGTTACGATGCTCTCCTACTTACTGTTGATAACCCCGTTCTCGGTAAGAGGGACGAAAATGATCAGTATAAAGAACTTGCTGCGCTGGAACCTGACGACGAAAATCGGCCTTACGCCACACCCCCTCTCCCCGGTGAAGAGCCAGGAGTCCCTCGGGCTATCCATGATCCCACACTTTCTTGGGATGACTTGCCTTGGATCCGGAAGGCGTGGGGAGATGGACCTTTAATTCTAAAGGGCATCCAATGCGTTGAAGATGCAGTGGAAGCATTGCGCCATGGCGTTGATGGCGTATACATTAGCAATCACGGAGGAAGACAGCTCGATTATGCACCAAGCGCAGTAGAAGTACTGCTTGAGATTCGCCAGAACGCGCCTCAGGTCTTCGACAAAATCGACGTCTACGTTGATGGTGGCATCATGAGGGGCACAGATGTTGTCAAGGCGATTTGTCTAGGAGCGAAAGCAGTCGGCATAGGACGTGGCTTCCTGTATGCTCTGTGTGCCCACGGTACTGACGGTGTTGTTCGAGCCATTGAAAGTAAGTGACGATTTGCCCTTTATTCTTAAGTCTACATTGCTGAGCCTTTGCTGCAAAGTCATGAGCGAAGAAATTCAAACTACAATGCGACTTCTTGGAGTCATGGATTTGTCGCAGCTAAACTCATCATTCCTGAATTTTAGCCGATTTTCGCAGGCCAAGGATATCAGGACATTTTCATCCAAACTCTGATTAGACACTTAGACCAGTCTTTTTAGATACAAATAGACTATATTATTTAACAGATTTTTCAGATAGTGTCAAGGGAAGGGTTGAGGGTAAGAAAACATAGGTTGCATCCTAGGAATGTAGCCTTTACTCAAAGTTTACCTACGTAACGGTAGGGCATCACTATGGGATATCAGCCAGCATGTACTCCATCAATGGTCCTGTGAGACCCTCATCCAGGCCCAGGGCTGCCAGCTTCCCAATTTGGCTAAGAAGAGCTCCTCCTGTCTCGAAAATCTTCCCAACTTTCTCTTTGAGGCCCATGTCTATTTGGACGTCTAGAACATAATCAGAAATCCTTTCCGAGATAGTTACATCATGCAAAGCAGGTTGAGCGCCTATATCAATAACAATCTCGCTGATATCTTCCGACAACGTTGGAAGCTCTACAACTAAGCCAGGTGCCGCTGGGTATGCGTCAACAGTTACATTGACGTCGGTCAAAGCCTGGCCGCCAGCTGAGACAGAGAGCTGCTCTGGCACCGATGTGAGTCCCAAAAATTTGACTCTCCATTGTTTGGATGAAGCTGCAAATGTGAGCTGCCCCTTGGCTTGCACATAGCTTATCTTTATTTCTCGGAGACCTGTTGAATCAGGTGATGCGAGCTCGTCATCCTGAATCTCCTCGCGAATTGTGAACTCGCCATCTTCGCCGACGACTACCAGAAGCTCTAGTCCGGATGGATTTAGTCCCCCGTTCTTTGGTTTTGGCGCCATGTCTAGAGGGATAATGGCTCCCATCGGTGCCAACACGGGATACTCATGGATTTTGCGGTGCATTCGAATTGATTTGTTGCCTTGATAAACCATCCCGTTGAAGATGTCTACCCAGCGACCACGAGGAATCCATACGTCGACTGCGCCCGTGTTCGTTCTCTTATCCCGTGGCTTAACAATCGGTGCAACAAGCAAACTCGAGCCGAAATAATATTGGTTCGGCTGGCCATATGCTTCCTCCTGTTCAGGGTGCTTCCAGTACATGGGCTGGACCAGGGGCTCATTCTCAAATGCGGATAACGCATTCATAGTATGAAGATAGGGTATGAGCCTATGTCGGAATTGCAAGAACTCCTCCATAACCTTCTTGGACTCCTCTCTGAAGAGCCATGGCTCCTTCGAACCCCACGGGTTTGCCGACGAGTGTAGCCGCATAATGGGCGAGAAGACTCCATATTGAACCCACCGAGTGGCCAGCTCGTCGTCACGGTAGCCACCCATATGGCCACCAATATCATGGCTCCACCAGCCATATCCAATGTTAGACGCCGTAGCTGTAAACTCGGGCTGGAACTGGAGGGATTCCCATGTCATGATGGTGTCGCCAGAAAATCCGACGGGATAGCGATGACTTCCGGGACCACCGAACCTGGAAAAGATGATGCCTCTACCGTCTTCTCCCTGTTGCTGCGCATGGTCCAAGAAATGGAAGTGGTTCAACAGCCACAGGGGGTCCAAGCCTGGGATTCGTGAATATGGCCCTTGCTGCCAGTCGATCCACCAAAAATCGCATCCTTCCTTCTCCAGCTGGCGGTGTAGAATGTTCAGGTATGCATGCATAAATTTGGGGGATGTAGGATCGAACAGCATAGGGGCACCACTCGAGGTGTCATGACCAATGTCCCTGGCCATGGTTTCATACATGTCCTCGTGTCGGTGGATGCCAGCATGCGGGTGGTCGTTGAGAGTAATTTTGAGATTTTTATCGTGCAACGCCTTGGTAAAACCTAGGGGATCGGGGAAAAGCTCTTTGTTCCAGCTATACCCTGTCCACCCAGCATGTGGTATGTGGTCGCCACTGACCTGATGCCAGTCCATGTCGATGACAGCCACAGACAATGGGACCTCTCGTTTCTCAAATTTACCCATCAGCTCCAGGTACTCCTTGTCTGTGTAGGCATAGTATCTACTCCACCAGTTCCCTAAAGCCCAGCGAGGCAACAGGGGCTGCTTTCCGGAGATGGCGAAAAATGAGCTCATTGCACGTTTGAAGTCTCGCCCGTAGCAGAAGAGGTACCCATCGATTCGGTCACCCGGTCTGCGGGGAGATGCAAAGCCCGTTGAGTCGAAGAGCATGGAGCAGCTATCGTCGAGGACCGAGTATCCGGCTTTTGATAGAATTCCAGTCTCGAGGTCACATCGCCCATCGACATTGTCAAGTGTTCTCGCTGTGCCTCCCAAGTTTTCCGGGGTCGTCTCGCCGTAGCGCCAGTCGGCACCCCAAAGGGTGTTCTTATCGCTGAAGCTGATGATGAAGCCGTAGCGGTCAAACCTCTTCTTGTTGTATGTGACATGGAAGGTGCTTGTCCTGATTTCCAGATAGTCCCCGGTGTCGTTTGTTGTAAACTCTGGGGATGGAAATCGTCGATTGATCGCGAATGTCGAGGGTCTGTCTTCAAAGACTCCGTCTTCAGCCCATTCATATCGAAGAACAACATCATTGATCAAGGTGAACCTGTATTGAGGCCCCTTGACCATTGATGAAGACTCTCCGATAGGATCGCTAGGAAGTGAATATTTGTCCATAGTTGAGGTAGATATATTATCCTAGCAATGACTCAGAAGGTGAGTATTAACAAAACCGGCCGGGCTATTAAGCGCTTTAGAGCAGACTCTAAACACCAAAATATGCGACTTTTTTTGTTGGTTGTTGACAAGGTTTGACAGAAAAGAGTTGATTCAATAGCCCCGCATTCGAAAGTGTCTTGATGACGACATGGACTTACTGAACGCAGAATTATGCATAGTAATGCATGGAGCCAACCATTTGCGCCGCTTAAAATACTGGAGGCGTTCCATCATCCCTAGCGAGCCATCCGGCCAAGTGCCCAGATAATGATAAGAGGGTTAAACTCTCTCCATCTAGATTAATTCACACGGCTGCAGCTACCGTCCTCCACGGCTGGCCAATATCGTGATGTGGTTTGGCCTAGATCAACGGAGCACATGGCCAGGAGCAGTCAATATGCTCCTTCTTCAAGCTCAGCGAACTTCGGTAAAAATGCGCTTCAAGTGTTCATATGTATCGATGAGCCAAGGCACTGCACACTGCGACCACCCTTATCGTATGCACATTGACCCTCATCGCTGTAACGACAACCGATCTACTTGGTAAGAAGAGTCTAGTAGCTCATCCTCATCTCTGAAGAGAAAAAAAAAAAAAAAAAAAAAAAAAGGAAGTATAATCACAGCTGAAACTAATTTCTACAGAGAAATGCTAGGCACACCTATCAACATGTGGTGCTGCAGTTGCGGCTAGAATAATCCTACTTCTTCTACAACATGCGAGAAGAAAGGATGTGGAAAGCCAAAAAATACCGCATATTGTAAGTAGACTACTGCAATCTGTTTGTATCCAGTGTTCTCACATCACGATTCTCGGTGTCTATAAAAAATGAGGGCAATATACAATGGCAGAGTTCTTGAACTAGCTTTTGAACAAAGCAGTGCTCACTTCTTTTTGTATCAGCCTGGATTATATGGCATTTGACAACTGTCTGTACTGTTGCGAAGCGTAATGCTCATTAAACCACTGCTTCCATGTGGCTGAGACATCCGGAAATCCTCTTCTCTTAAGTTCTTGGTGCACCCGTTTTCTCCAATCCGCCTCAGGGATTCCAGATACATCTCCCAATTCAAGGTCTAGTCCCCAAGCAACAGCGAATTTAGTGCTAATCCATTCCCGTGGAACAAAACCTGCCATCTCCCAGTCAATGATCCCCACTAAATGTTTCTCTCGCGGATCAACCATTATATTGCCTGGCGCTAGATCATTATGAGAGAATAAAAACACTGCAGATGAAGAAATTTGCATGCCTAGTTGATTGCAGTTTTCTAGCAGAGTCTCTGATCGAAAGTCGTAGGTCAAGGGATCCAGCCAGCTATCAGATAACTGGAAGTTATCTACTCCTCCTATGCGTGTAGATGAATGAGTTGATAATTGAGTGCATATCTCAGCAACCTGCTGAGCGTAGTATTGCCTATAGTCGTCGTTCATCAATGGCCAAGCACTGTTTAACGTGACTCCGGGCAAACGAGTTGAAAAGAGGTAGCTCCGATCCTCATCTTCCGAGTAGTGCAAGACTCGAGGCATCGCGAACTTCAGATTCTGGTTTGCCAGCCAGTCCAGGGTCACATTCTCTCTTGTGCCGCCTTTTCGTGTTTGGAACAGCTTAATCTTAAGCACGACATCTCCAAAAGCCCAGACTGCAGAGACATTGGCACAGCTGTGCAGAAGATGGGGATAGCCGTCGGAGGGAATCGCAGTGGCAGGAGGGAGCGATGATATATTATCTGCGAGAGAGTAACAATTGCCATGGTGGTCCTTCCACAACGGCTTTTCAGCGACTTTGGCCCGCTGCAGAATAAACCTATTCCCGATAAGCCAAGAGTTGTCATCTACTTGCTTGACCAAGCCACTGATACAATCAGCCATTTTCAAGTAATAAATCGGCGGCGTGTCCTTGGTTAATTGAGTACTGAAGAGAGTAGATGTGCAAAAGGAAAAGGATTTCATGCTTCGGCACACGTAGCAGTCGGCACACAAATCTAAGACAGATCCTTGGGGCACGTGACCACCTTCGTTCCCTCACGTGGCGCCGTCGTACCTACCTTTGGCTCTTTCATGATGTTGGAAACAAACCAATAAACTTCTCCCCATCCAGCACACAATTGTACCAGGAGAAATCCTCCCTCGCCTCTATCGACCTCGAAGGCGTAAGAAGCGGCCGGCTACATTAACATTTCTTGGAAAGTACACCTTTTTTCAGGCTTTGACATTTGCAAATTTCTTCCAATGGTGTAAAAATTATGACTGGTTTGGTGGTGCCAGAGCATCCGCGCAGTTCGATATAATGAAGACGGGCTATGTCTTGTCTTCATGATCTTTTGGATTCTCTGGACGTATGATTGTATAAGCGGGCGGGAGTACCTATACATACATGCATCCCTAACATAACTTATGCATGATGTTTGAATCGTGATGTTTAATAGGATATGAGGTGGTATGAGACAGCCAATAGTGTCCGGGCAAAGGTCGTGTGTTGCCCAGGTTCGAACCAAACAATTGTTGCGGTTTTTCTACCTACATACAGTACTTGTACTAGGGCGAGAATAATTGAGAGAGATTGTGCACAAATACATTGCTTAGTTATGTACTAGTGACGTAGTGAACGGGAAGAGAATTAGACCTAGAACTCCCTGGCAAACGTGGGTTGCACAGCCCCATTGTCTCGTATTGGCAACCAAGTTGATCCATGCCAAATATGGCTATGGTTGTACGTTCAAGGACCAAGAGAATTCTGCCATCTGGTTCGGGTTATGCAGAGACAACCTGTTATGCAAAACAATGGGTCATTACAAAGGGGATGCGTGTGCCTTCACCCCAGCCCAGGCCAGTTGTACATTGTTTCATGTTCGGAGTGGGCATAAATACACTGATCGCCCCCTCCTCATTTACCCCTGAGATGATCGCCGTCACTCTTGAGTAAACCTCTCGCCTTTCCTCCGACGCTATATCCTGTTTGCTTCTGTTCTCTGTAGCTCAACCGAAAGCATTCATCAGTCGATAATCCCACACTAATATTGAACCCACCCCACCATCATGGCAGACTCCAGCGAGTATGACAAGGCTCTCGAGCAATTGCGATGCTTCGACACCATGTTTCTAGTTGATGACTCGGCACACATGGAGCCGTACTGGGAGGACGTCAAGAATCTGATGGAGATGGTAGCACCCATCTGCGCCAAGCACGACCCGGACGGCATCGATCTCTACTTTGTCAATCACCGCCCCGGAGGCCTCCTGGCCAAGGTGCCCGGCTTCCAGTCCATCCGCAAGTCGGGATACCCGCACATCGGTGGGTTTGTCGGCAACATGCTGCTGACAAGCAAGGGCAAGCAAATCGGCGCCATCTTTGACGAGATCAAGCCCGCCGGCAAGTGCAACATGGGCGCCAGGATCGGCGGCCTGCTCAAGTGGTACTGCGAGAAGTTCCAGGCAGGCGAGGAGCGTGCGGCTCTCAATTTGGTGGTGTTGACTGCTGGAGAATTTGATGATGACATCAAGAAGCCACTCATCACGGCAGCCCGAACTCTTGATGAGGCAAAGGCGCCATCGCACCAGGCTGGCGTACAGCTATTCCGTCTGGGCGCGCCTCATATTGAGCGACAGAACACGCTCAAGCACCTGGACGATGAGCTGCACAAGGAGGCTGGCACGCGGGATATTGTTGATACTGTGTCATGGAACGGGCACGGACTGGAAATGTCCAACGAGCAGCTGCTCAAGGTCGTCCTTGGAGCAGTCTCAAAGAAGGTTGATATGCGGGCGTCCGAGCTGCACTTGGATAATTCCACTGCTGCCCTCCGAGCCGAATAAACGGCCAAATACCAAATGGAGATTTTGTGTCGGATCTGACTTGAAGCGGGGCTTAAAGAAAAAATCAATAAAATGGCTCAATGAGAATTCTTTATGCATTTTCAATCTCTGTGTTTTGAAGCGATCTTGGTGACATGAACTCGTCTCAATGGCATTAATGATCTGATACTCTTTTATATTTGCATGCCTCGCCAAAGGACGTGAAACCCAAGCCAGTAGATGCCCAGGTGCTGGATAAATCTAGAAAACTGATCGATCTCGCATAGTTCCTACCAAGCCCAATCATGTTACATTTGCCGTCAACACTATGCGTTGATTACGCTCTCAATAGCCGACGTGAGAATAACGGCCATCTTCTCATGCTCCTCTGCTACTGGGTGATAGTCACATGCCACAACAGAACCTTGGCTGGGAAACTCGACAAAGTGCACCTTGTTGCCAATCTTGTCGACAACCGACTTGACAGCATTCGCATGAGTCGTATGTTGCAGGTCACCCTCGGGCCAAGAATCACCTAGCATCGGAGAGGATGTCAAGAAGACTTCAGCCTTGGGGTAGTGTCCTTGGACAACCTGCACGAATACAACCATCGCCTCGGTAAATGTTTCGACGTTGAGACGGTCGCGTACACCAAGGTATGAAAAGTCATTGGTTCCCAGATTTATGACCACAATATCTGGAGTATCGCTTGCCGGGAAGGTATAGCTGTTGTCAGCGTCGTGAGCACCGTAGCGAGTCCAGCGCTGCGACATATTAGGGTAGTCGTCTGAACCCATGTAATTTCGAGTCAGCCCGATCCCAGACCAAGCAATGATGTCGTATTCTGCAGATATGTTCTTGGCAGTTAATGCGCCATAGGTCTTGGGCGCATTCTCAAGAGCGGCCGTGTTCGTGCATGGGAAAGTGCCGTCTAGGCCATAACCAACGGTGATGGAGTCACCGATGATTTGAATCCGCTTGCCGGGGACTGTGTCACAGCCAAGCTTCCCACCCGTTACGGTCACCTCACCCAGGGTAAGTGTGCCGAAACCGGCCTCAGATCTCTTTCTTATGTTCACTGTGTGCTGGCCCTGTCCAAGTGCAGGTGTATCAATACTGGTTCCACTAACATTGTCAATGATGGTTGGAGTACCGTCATCAACCACCACCTCGACACTGTTGTCGCCGGATACCGAAGTAAAAGCCACTCTGGCAGAAGTCCCTGTAAAAGTGAACGATACACCAGTTCCAGGCCAAGTTAACTCCTTTTTCTCAGGGTCAACCCGACCAAGGAATCTGACCGCCTGGCAGGTGGTCAGGGCGGTAACGACCGAAAACAAAGTTGAGAGACGAACCATTTTGGGCAGAGGAATAAGCGCTACGTACAACAGATCTCATCGTCTCGGCTGTTTCCGTAGCCTTACGATCCTAGATATATACGCTCCTCGATGAGAATTGCCAAAAAGGACTCTTGGCACATTTTATCCTCCAATGAAAATAATTGGGTTATATTCGGAGGCCCGGGACAAACCCCGCGGAAGTGAGCCTCCGGGTCCGTTTACAGTCACGGCCGTTCGGGATCACGGTAACTTGATATCTGCACACAATCGGAGAATATGATGAAATAGAGGTCGTATTTGGAGTAATGGGCTACATGAAAAGTATTGACATCCGGAACCCACAACGTAGAACAGTCCTTCGTAGATATCCCCACCGCGCAATGAGGAGCCCCCATCCACCCCGCATTACATAACTATCAGCAGGATGATTATCGTAATAGGTCTATCATAGGATAATTGGGCTATTCCCTCTTCAAAAATCCTAGGATCAATTGTGATATTTTCTCAGGTTGATCCTCTGGCGAGAAATGCCCACAATCCTCTAGGATAGTCAGATCTGAGCTTGGAATTGTCTCGTGTAATTTATGCGCCCAGTCCGTCACTTGCCATACATCTTGAGCACCCCATATCAATTGAACGGGTAGTTTTCCCAGTTGTGGGAGCCTCTCTGCAATCTCCATTGTATGTTTAGGATCATAGTGCCGAATCTGATGTTGAAAGAGACTCGGTTGGCCCACGGAGCCGGAAATGTAGTCGAGATAAGTTTCCAGACTCGACCCAATAAACTTTTCCTTGTCATGAACAGCGGACAGAAGCCACTCCCTAAAATGGGCTCGGTGCTCTTCGTCAGGCAGCTTTATAAGAGTCTCAAGGCCCCGCTGCATCTGCTCCCGCGTTCTCTTAGAAGGGTAGCTGTCAAACGAAACCACATCAATGAGTGTCAGTGAGCGCACTCGCTGGGGAGAGAAAACAGAAAGTCTCTGACCCACACCACCGCCTATGTCATGGGTCACGAAATGCGCAGTTTCCAGGCCCCAGTGCTTGAGCAGGCCCTCCAAAATGGTGACCTGACCTGAAATAGATGTGTCGATTGCCGGATCCCATGGGCGCTCGGAAAGTCCATATCCGAGGAGATCGAATACATGTACTCGATAACCATTTGAGGTTAATTGAGGAAGAATATTACGCCAGATGAGTGAGGAAGAAGGAGTGCCGTGGATAAGGATGACTGGTTCGCCTTGGCCATGCACGCCATGGGCAATTCTCGTGTTATTGATTAGAACATGATCCGTAACTAAAGGCTCCATTTTTCAAAGAGAAATTGTATTTTTAACGAATATAGAATTAGAAGAAGTCCCTCTGCTGTAGCTGAAGCGGCAGTGCGATCTTTTATACTGGTTGGGGGAAATCTAGCACATTTGTCAGCGCAAGTCAAGTATAGGGCGTAAGAGGGGTTTTCCAAACTGCACCGCACAGGCTCTTATCATCAGAAGGATGAATAGATTAGGCTTAGGACTCTGAATGTTCGAGCTTGTCACAATACTTTACTGTTGTACATTGCTCTGTGGCCAACCAGTGGTGGACTGAACGAAGAAACTCTCTGTTAACAAAGCGTGTTTTGATGCTTGAGGCACATTCAAACATAATCTAAGGCAGAATATTCTCCATAATCATCAAGTTTCCCCTCCAGGATTTATGATGTTAATCCAATGTCTCAACTTGTAATGAGAGCAAGGTGTTGTTTGACTGCACATGAGCTTGATCGAAAGTAAGTAAACAGTGAGCACGTACGCCAGCTCGTTCTGGGCTAGAACTTCAATTATATCAGTCCATTTAATTGCTAGAAAATATGAACATACGAGCAAACCCCCTTTTGGAATCACAGATATGTAAATATATTATTTCCAAGCCCCTGAAGAAACACGGCCTACTGCAAAATGAAGTATAGGGTAGGCATCTTCTCTGAGGCCAACACCTGAAACATGCCGAATTGCCACTACTTCATTGGTCAAGCTATTTGGTCCTTTGATTGAGAGTCATGGACATCTCAGATTGCTGAATTCTATACTCGTTCCTCGCGTTTCAGAACATGGAACTTCTTTATAGAAATTTACAGCATCACACGTGAATCAGATGACGCAATTGCAGAACCGCCCTAACTGACAAGTGCTTACATCGGAATTAAGCAATATCCGTTGGTTACAGGGAGCGCTGCATCGCTGTAATCAACCGATAAGCACAAAACGGTCACCTCCTGAGGATAGAGAACACGTCTCACGCACCTCTAGGAAGAGTACGGAACTGACGACCGACTATTGGAAACCAGGCAATATGCATTTGATCTTGACTGGCGCCACGGGCCTTGTTGGCTCTGGAGTTCTTGATGCCATGCTCAAGATGAAGGATGTGACCAAAATCTCCATCCTGAGCCGGCGGCCAGTGCCAATGGCTGACGACGCCAAAGATCCCCGGGTCAACGTGATAATCAACAAAGACTTTGAGAAATACGATCCGACTATCCTGTCGCAATTGAGTGGTGCTACAGGCTGTGTATGGGCGCTCGGCATTAGCCAGACGCAGGTCGACAAAGAGTAGGTACATATCCGATATCCAATTGACAAAAGCAGGGCTAAAGAAAATGCAGGCAATACGTCAAAATCACCAAGACGTTTGCAGTTGAGGCAGCAAAGGCATTCGCGACCTTACCACCCAAGGACGAACCGTTCAGGTTTGTATACGTCTCGGGTGGAGGAGCGACAGTTGAGCCCGGGAGATTCACACAGATATTCGGTCGCGTTAAGGGCGAGACGGAGCTGGAGCTTGCTGAATTGCGCAAGAATAACCCACTACTGCAGACAATGTCGATGCGGGCAGGCTGGGTTGACCCCTCTGCTCATGAGGCCATCAAACCGTATATCCCTCAGCAGTTTCTGGCTCTCCGAATAGGCGGTGCTTTGTTGGGTCCACCGATCCGTGCATTTGGCCGTGACATGCTCTGGAGCCCGACCGAGTCTCTGGGCGGCTTCCTGACAGAGATGGCCAAGGGCACGTATGATGATAAATATGTGCCTGGCAAGTACTTATACAAGCTCGGAGACTTTCCCATCTTGGAAAATCCGGTGCTTTGGAGTCTGTATGGACAGAAGAAGGAGTAGGGGAGCCATTGTGAATGGGGATACAGTTTACGTTAGGGTTTTTTTCTGATCATCTAAACCTGTTGGCAAAGCGGATGTTGGTTGATGTTTGTTCACGGGCTTATCAACCGGACTGTAGAGTTGACCTGACATGCATCATTTATGTTTTTAGAGGCAAGAAAAAAACATATTGGTGACCTAGAAGTTGTGAATGAAAATGTATTTGGCCTAATTTCAGGGAGGGAATTGCGCAACAAAGGGTGTGATACGCAAGTCCGCCTAACGACAGCCTAATAGTATAAATTTATAAAAAATACTGATCTTGTTCAAATTAGTAGGTAATCTTTATATAAATTTATCTACTCTGTATAACTCTTCTATTATCTTATTATACCCCTGACTTTTATATATCCTACTAGTAGGAGCTACTTTAATATCTATAAGAGATTTAGTTACTAAGAAATTCTCTTTTTTCTACTATCTAATATATATTATTAAGATATAAGAAGATAGACTACTAATTATATATTTTATATTATCTAAGAGCCTATCTAACTTCTATATAAAATTTATAATTCTACTTATAGTATTAAGATAGCCCTTCTAATAATAATCTCTTCTAATTTTTCTCCTTAGATTCTTAAGTAGCTAATTAAAAATAATAAAGATAAATATAAGTTTATATTAATCTAGTTTATCTAGAATTTACTTAAGAAAAGCCTAGATAATAAAGACTTCTCTATCTAATAGCTATATAAGCTATTTTCTAAAGATAAAAAAATAAAAGAATAGTATTAAAATAATCTAGTTAAAATAACTAATTATAAACTATATCTTCTTTTCTTATTAGATAAGTAATTTTATTATATATTCTAAATAATAAAGATAATCTTCTATTTACTTTATAAATAATTAAGAATAAATATATTTCTAATAATAATAAGATTTTAAATAATTAAATTTAAAATTATAATATTCCTTTAGATCTATATATATAATAAGCTATAAAGAAATATAGTTTATAGATTTAAGATTAGCTAAATAGATATATTCTATATCTTCTATATAGTTATTAATTTAATAAAATATCTTTATAGCTATTTTATTAAATAGCTAGATTTAACTTATTTATTAAGTAAAATTAAATTAAACCCTAAGTTTATATAATTTAATAGAGTAATTAGAACTATTAATAAAATATATATTCTAATATTTATTCTATTTATAAACTAAAAGAGATTTTAATTATATAAGAATAATATATTATAAAATATACTTATAGCTATTTCTTTTAATAAGCTATTTATATATATATTAATAGGAGCTAAAAGCTTAGTTTATAATTTAATATTATTATTATATATAAACTTAAAATCTCTTAATATTCTATAGAATTATTTTCTTCTTATAGATATAAGCTTTAGTCTAAGCTAGAGAATAATAATACTCTTTAAGGGTATATATTACCTCTAAGACTTTAGTAATTATAATAAGTAGCTATAGAATACTAAAAAGCTTTTTAATCTTTATTATATCTAGTTATAAATATTAAGATTTACCCTATAGACTATAGAATAGATCAGATTACTCTATATTAGTTAATTAAATAATCTTAGATTAATATAAGATAAGGAGAAATAAAATAACTAACTTAGAGCTTTTTAAAGCTAGAAGTCTGCTAAAGCTACTAGCCTAATCTATTATAACTACCTATTAGAGTAATTATATTAGTAGTTATAACTATTATAATAGCTACTATAGTAACTATATTAGTAATTTTATATTATACTATAATAACTATATTAGTAGTTCTTATATTTACTATAATAACTATATTAATAGTTCTTATATTTACTATAGTACTTATATTAATAGATCTTATATTTACTATATAAGAATCTTAGTATTTAGTTAGTAAACCTTATAACTACTATAATAGTTATATTAATAGACTTTATATCTATTATAGTACTTATATTAGTAGATCTTATATCTACTATATAAGAACCTTATAGTAGTTATAAGCTTATATTATAAAAGATAATATATTATCTTTAGAGCTCTTAGAGTTCTAAAATATCTATAAATATAAAGCTTTCTCTCTACTAAATAGAGATTCTTTAAACTACTAATTTACTTTTTTATTTACCCTATAGTTTATTCTCTTAGTTATTCTATAGCTAATAAAGTCTCTCTTTCTTACTTAGTAAGCTACTTTTTCTATTATACCTTTTAAAATAATTCTTTTAATATTTCTTAGTTTACCCTATAGACTATACTTACTCTAGATCTAGCTTATTCTATAGCTAGTTTATTCTATACTAAAGATCTTAATCTTTTAAAAGATTATAAATCTGGATCTTATTTACTTTAGTAAGAAAGAGCTTTATCTTTAGATTTAAAAGCTCTTACTCTATACTAAGAAAGTCTTATAACTTACTTTATATCTTAATCTAGATTTTAATAGCTTTTTTTACTAAAGAAGATTTAAAATAGCTAATAAAGATAGCTATATAGAGGAATTAGTTTCTAAAGATACTAAAACCTATTCTTCTTTAGTAGTTATTCTAATAGTTAGTACTATTACTATAGCTAGCTAACTAAATCTTTTTAGTATTACTAATACTATTCCTATAGTAGAGAGTATTATTATTATTTAGAGCTTATAGAATTAACTAGTAAACTTTAGTACTATTAGTATTATTTCTTTAGATCTTATAATAAATAATACTATTATTATTTAAAGTCTTTAGAATTCAGATACTATTAAAGCTATTACTACTATATAATAAACCCTTTAATAGCTAATAGCTATTATAAATCTACTATAGTTATAATAGATCTCTAGTATTACTAGTACTAGTTAATTAGCTTCTAATATTATTAATACTACTTAATAATCTATTTTATAGAGCTTTTAAAGTTCTAATCCCTTAACTAGGGTTTTTAAAAACTCTATTATTAAGAATTTTAATAAAAGGATTTATAAGTTTCTAAAAGCTTCTAAATTATAGAGATCTTATAACTTTAATTAGTAAAAACAGGTTCTAAAGATCTAATTTAGAGCTTTTAGATTATTACTATTTATAGTAAATCCTATTATAGTTTAATAGCTATTAGATCCAGACTAGACTATCTTACTTATACTACTAAAAGATAGTTATATAGAGGGT